GAATTCACTCCTAAGCAGCCCAATGACTCGCCGGTGAAATTGTACAGAGAAAATGTACGATCGTCGCTTTGATAAGCCGCCAAATACTTATCCCGCAAGCCTCGTCGAATATTTAATCTCGCACACGGTCAATTGACGCACCGCATTGACCCTCTTTCGCGCAGCTGACTTTGCGAGTCATGCCGTACTGCGGCTGGAAGAATATCCCACCGACGGTACACGAGTCGAACAGGTGAAGCGAGAGATGGGCTGCATGCCTCAGGTGTGCAGGTCTCTGTGTATGTTGTCTATATGCATGCGCGTATACAAACCCACACTGAACTCGTGTAGTACGTGCCTGTAACCCCATGCACACACAAGCAAGCGATCAATACTCTCCACGAGGAAAACTCAGTCCAAGTCTACGTCGTCGTCGTCAACTATTCAAAAGAGAGTCAAGTGCATTTTGCAATTTATTTTTCGTACTCCCAAATGCAATAAGCTGAATATTCCGTAAGGCACTTTTTTACGATCATGAGCGGACTCTATGATTGGCGCAGCTTTACCGTAGCCGACTGTACAAATGTTCACAAGCGCAGTCCAAAGCGAAGAGTATAAATTATGTAATTTCTTAGGAATTTTTGTTGCAGGCTCCTGTTCTGAGTCACCGTTACAATTTCAACTAATTTTCTTTTTCTTTTTATAAATTAAATGGTCAGTGAGCTACAACGAAGGGTTTAGTCGGTTTATATTTTCTTTCGCGTACCGCAATAACACGTTGGAGAACTTTTCGAACGCTTCGATGGATATTGTGACAAATGGATGGACAACATCTTTGATTGTCGATCGAGTCAGCTGTGGTATCTACTTTTTTAAAGAGACACGAGGGTCCAAGCAGCGGTGCAGTAAAACGCCCAACGCTCGTAGACTAGGAATACATAGGCACACAAACACACAAGTATTAGAAGCCCCAAAAGAAGAAAAAGCTTGGAAGATTATCGTGTATGCACGCATAAAAACCGATCCTCTCCCTTTCTTTTTTGCGTCGTAGCACGAGCTTTACAACTATAGGTATATGTCACACGCAAGTATACTCACATAACGTATCGCGAGCACACGAGGGGTGCGTGACGATGATTACGTGGGCTTGATTCGCGCATGCAAGAGAGAGATAGTACCGGGAAATTAAGTCACACATAGCCCTGCAATATGATCCGGAGTATCTCGAGGAGATGTGCGCCGAGCATATTATCGATGGCTTTATTCGAGTCAAGTTCTTTAATGATTTTGATCAATCTGTTACACTTGGGTAGAAAAGCTCTAGTTAATACAAGTAGATCGAGTCAAGTAGTTGTGAGGAAAAAAAAACACGTTCTCGCGAGACGAGGAGCTCGAAAGATAATGAAATCGACCAGTAGCAAAACAATATAATCAGTAAAGGGCTTTTTTCCATGCAGCACGCAATTTTGCGCGCTATATATATGAGTAGCTATTAGTGCACTTGCATGCAGCTCCAAGTTTCATTGCAACGCAATCCCCGATGGTGAGCGTGCGAAAGGCTCTATTACAGTATTCGTCCGGATTAACAAATTGAATTTACTCGGAGCTCGAGCGGCAGTTGGCAGCTGCATTCGACAATTCCCGAGGATCGATCGTCTTTTTAAGAATACTGACGTGCCCGAGCTCCTGTTGTTGACATTAGCGTGCACGTATACGACTCGAAGGTCACCTTTTGTTGCCCCGAAAGTGTAAAAATACCTGGAACCTGCAGCCACCTGCATCCGCGCATAATACTCGAAGCTGCAAAGCTCGTGACAGTGAGCTTCATCATTTTTTGTATCAAAGTATTTTTTCATTATAATGGATGAAAGTATAGAATTTTTAGTGAGATTTAAAATTTATTTAATTATTTGTAATAAGAATTGAATGAGTAACACCAAGTAAATTTATGCTACGAAATTGTACGTATAAGCTATCCTATTATGAGATAGAATCACTCTACCTTTATTTAATTTTAGTTGGAATAAATAGTTCAAAGGTTAAAAATCATATTTATACGTGTGAAATATATTTCGTTCAAAAATTTCAATGCTACACGATGGGCTATGAATCCATCATTCGTAAAGTTGTTATGAATTCTTGAAGTACTAGTAAGTTTTAGTCGCGCGAAGTGGGCTGGATGAGACTTTATATAAAGCTCAAGGGTAATCTGTCAAAAATACGGTTACATTTGCCGCACGGAGATTTATCTTGGCTGTTATTTACAACCGAGCTTACATAGAAACCCAAATAAGCTGTAAAATGTTGAGCAAATAATCCGTAACTTGAAAAGCTCAAAGCTCGAGCATGTATGTTTGCTTATAATTTAGGCAAGCAACTTTCAATGAGGTACATTCGATCGCGGCCACCGCACATATATTACATACTGTAAAATGTATAAATGTGCACCCCCACGCACTTGATACGTGCTTAAAAAAGGCTTTCTAGCTCCTTCTTTGGGGATTTTTTAAAAGCCAACGCTTAACATGAAGCGATCGATATATATGTATGACTGCTAGATGCGCACGTGTGTGTGAGCGCGAATGCGATGACGGAGGGATGGGACAAGCCTTAGGGTGAGGTCGTCGCGCGCTAATGCCACTAACGAGTGTGTCTGCTTGCCGCTTCGAGTCCCTCGACTCTCTCTTTCTCTGCATATATATGTGCATCGATGCATGCGTGTATTATATAGCGCGCGAATGTATAATATCAGGTGTGTACGAAACGGAAGGGCAAAATATTCCCTGGAGGAAAAAATGGATGAGGCAGCACACATGCGCCTGCTACGTGTGTGGGTACATAGCTAACAGCCCGCGTCGCGTCCACGATTTTTAATAGAAATTACTGCTGGAATTGGCGAGTTGAAACGGAGATTCAGGTCTGCACGATACGCTGACGGCAGGCAGGCATACGACCGATGCTCGATGACTCAGCTGTGCGCGCGTATCGGAGCGAGCATCTTCGTGTATACAAGCATTGGTGTGCGCGCTTATAGCTCACACACGAGCAGATCGTCGAGCAAAATCATGTAAGACGTGCGAGCTATCAATTCTATAAATATATTATTATTTCATCGCTGACACGAGCCATGCCACATTGCCACACTCTTAGGTATCGCATTTTCAATATCGGACTCATCGAGCCGCGCCAACGAATTGTTTTGTCGCATTGAATCAGCGCGTCTCTTCTGGAGCGTCGCCTACGACAAAGAGCCTGCATCCAGCTAGAAAGTCGAAAATCGTTTTCAAGCCCGACTTTATCGATGCGCACCGATCGCGACCTGCGCCGCACCGATCGATCGACAATTACGAATGCATCATTTTCATCGGCTTTGGACGATCGCGCGAGGCCTCTTTAACGCGCATCCTCTTAATTAGGTTAATTCCATGAAGACACCACGGAGCTAATACTGATTTTCTTTTTTCCCCCACAAAAGGAGGCAAGCGATTCATTGAAGAAAAAAAGTTAAACTCGGTTAAAGCGCCATTGAATGTGGCGCGCCCGCTATTAATAGATTCTCTCTCTCGCGCGCGCGCGTGCATAATAATGTACATATAGAATCGCTACAAGTATCGCTTGCAAAAACGAGAAAACTTTCACTTTCTATTTTTACGTGCGGCTTCTGTTATAGTTGTTGTCGATGTTGAGACAGCAACGCAGCCGCGATCAGAACTTTTCAATCTACATAGCCAGCGCGGTATAATGTGTTTTTCGTTATAAATAAGTTAGGCGAAAAACAAAGTCTGAGTCGATCATGGAGCACGTCCATTGCGAAACGAGATAAGCCTGATCTGCGAGCGCGCGTGCCTAAGACTTCGCGTCTATGCAAAGACCATGAGAAAAAATGCCTTTTTCGACAGGCGCCCAAATTCTGGCCAAATAGCTGCGAAAGCTACTTTTAAAATACCCACAAAACGGTCTAATTTTTTCGCACACGACACTGCAAGGCTATTCGAGACAGAAATTTTTCTCATAATGACTCTGATGTAAGCGTTATATATCTTAATAACACGAAGTAAAAAAAAAGCGTCGAGCGCGAAACTGGGCTTTGTGCTCGCACGCCGATGTAGATCATTGAATTGGAAGAAAAACAAGAGAATCAAGGCGATATTCGATCAAGTCGAGTTTCATTTTCCACAGCCTCGTGGCTGAGCCCGCAACAATATTTATTGCAATGACAATATTATAATTATTATTATTATTATTATCATTATCAGTGCCCCGATAGCTTCTGAGCCAAAAGAGAGTCGATCGTGGCAAAAATCTGCTTTATTTATCATAATAGCTGTAGGTGCGCATATTATGAGTGGTTCGTTGAGCTAGATTGGCACATTACTTCCGGGAAGAAGAGGATGAATGAGAACTGATGTATACCAATGGCGCTTTGTGCTCATCGCGAACAAAAGTCCATGCCCAACGAGAATGTCAAAAACGTGGATACATCGTTCAGAGAGAAAAAGAGAGAGAGAGAGAGAAAAGAAAGTCGGAGGCGCGCGGTCAAGCTCTAGAGCTTAAAGAGGCCTGGCGCATCGCTGCACTGGCGCTCTCGCTCGCATTCGGCAGAAAAGCAGCTCGACGCGAGTCGAGCCGAGCCACGAGTGCAATAAACTTTCGGAGCAACATCAGCATGCGCACGAGTTAGCGCACTCGACGACTTTGCTCGGGATGCGAAAAGTTTCGCGTCTTTATCAGCAGGGCAGCTAGGCAGGGCCGCGAGCTTGGTTTATTTTCGGAAAATCGCGTACACGCTTTGACGCGTCGCCTGTCGCGTTGCACTACACCCACAAACAATCGGACTGAGAGAGAGAGAATATCTCGTTTCAGCTCCGTCGTGACTGCATTGTCATCTCGGTCGCGCTCGTAAAACCCAACGCGCCTTGCACTTGCACAATATGCTAAAAGAGCAGCTGTTAATATGCGCGCGCTGTGTTGAAAGCAAAGCCGAGTCAGACACGCCAGAAAAGACACGCTTGGCCGCTTACCTGGCTTGAAACTGTCGAAAAAGTCCAGATCGCCGTTGGAGCTGTTGACTTTGTCGTTGTTGGGTCGCGCTGCTGCTACTGCAGGTGCAGGTGCCTGTTGGGGAATGGGTGCTGCCGGTCTCGGCATCGGGGCACTCTTGGCCGGCGAGCGCTCGGGCTCCGACTCGAACTCGTCGGTCTCGCCGCCGCTGGCGCCTTCGAATCTCTTGGCCTCGGCAGAGAGGAAATCGTTGCTCATTTGGTACTTGTTGTTGGCTTCCTTGGCCGACAGCTCCTGCTCCATGTCGTCGAATATGTCGTCCTCGACGCCCTGGGGCAACGGGGGCAGCGGTTTGGTGTGCTCGAACTCTAAGTAGGGCTCGTGGGCCGGCGGAGCAGGTGCCGATGCCGCCACCGTTTCCTTGTCCTCGAAGCGATCGAGGACGTTCCACTCGGCGTCGTCGAGCAGGCCTTGCGGCTGGCCAGCCGGTTGGCTCGCCACCACGGGCTTCTCGCGGGTTTCCTCGTGCACGATCAGCTCGTCCTTGAGGTAATCGACCTCCGGCGACTTTTCCGGCTGGGGCAGGGTCGACGAGCGAATCTCCCCCATGAAATCGTCCTTGTCGATGTCGTAGAGGCTCTTGGGTACTTCCGATCTTTCCTTCAACGAGCTAAAGTCCTCCTTGGCAAACATGTCGTCGTCGTCGTCGTCGTCTTCGTCGTCGAGGAGATTGCGCTGATTGTTTTGGAACTCGTGCTGTTGCTGCTGCTGCTGCTGGTCCAACAGATCGTCCTGGAAGTTGGAGAGCATCGGAGCGGCTCGGGTCTGACTGGCCTCGCTCCTCTCGGCCTCGGTATTGTCGTCCTCGCTGTCGTCGCCGAACTGATCGTTGAAGCGCGCCGCCGAGTCGCTGTTGAGGTCCAAGTCCCGATGGAAGCTCGACTTCTCGCTCTCCATGAAGGCCATGCTGGCGGTCTTGGGATCGGTCAGCTGTTGGCGGATGCGAGCGGCCAACTCGTCGGAATGCTGCTGCTGGACGACGGCGTCGAGCTCGGTCGAGTCGGCGGACGGGGGCGGCGTGGCCGGGATAAAGTCGCCGGCCGAGCTCACCAAGACGGGATCGCCGGCGCCGTTGTTCAAGCTCGGGATGCTGGTGTCGAGCAGATTGTCGCTCATCAAGGGATGACGATCGTTGGACAGCAGGTCCGGGGAGAAGTCGTTGCGCAGCTTGGGCGGCGAGGCCGATATGTCGAGGAGCGGCTGCTCGTTGCCGCCGGCCCCCGAGACGGCTTCGCCTCGCTGCAGCTCGTGCTCCAGATGCTCAAAGTCGTCGGTCGAGTCGTGCTCTCGTTTCATCATCAGATCTGACATTTTCCTAGCCTCCTCTTTTATTTATATCCAACGTAATGGAATTTCTATACGAACGGGAGTTGCAAAGATCAGCGAGGACTTTTGGCACTGATTTCCGCTGACAAGTAGGGCGAGGAAAAAATGCGACGCAATGATTGGGGCGAGCAAGAAGAGGTGCTTTTTCTGCTATTCGACGAGCGAAGAAAAGCACAAAACACTGCACTCACACGCACACGCACTGCTCACTGGAAGAGAGAGAGATGCGAACGTCTGTGTATATACACGCACACGGACACACGCAGCAGCAGACCGAATTGGTAAAGATGAATCAGACGGACGGCAGGAGCTTGCTCGAATGTGCAGGACACGATTAATTATTCACGCACGAGTCGCGACTAGGTACGAGGACGACTGACACAAAGGACGACTGGCTTCGGGACACGTACACACGGGTCACTCGCACACACTCGTAAGTATAACGAGGTATACACTCGTTCGAAGGACACAGGACACTGGACAAAAGCAGGATTAAATGCCGCGGCCCTTGCTTCACTGTTTACGTACGCAGAGTAGGATGCACACGGCTCAGCTGTCAGATGGACTCGGACGGACGGTACTTGGTCGTCGCGGAGACGGCCAAGGCGCGACGAGGAACGACAACGACACGCACTACTGGCAACTCCAATCGCTCGGAGCTAGGAGTCGTTGCTTTGTTTCTGCCTCGCAAAGTCCGACTGCGTATAGCTGCGTATTACACTGCACTGCACCGAAAGTACATGAATTTGGTCGGTAAATATAATCGGAGTCGAGGCTGTGTAGGACGATTATACGCTGCTGCGCGGCTACGGTTCTGCAGCGGCGGCGGTGGCGGCAGCGACTATGGAGCTGTCTCTCGAGCGAACGTGTGACTCGTGTGAGTCGTGAGCGTGGGGTTGCTTCGCTACTATTGCTCCGTTCTGAGGCGAGCTCGTCCGTCGTCGTCGTCGTCTTCCTGCTTGTATATTGTATTTTTATATATGTATTGGTAACGTGTGCTCTGTGCCGTTCTCGTGGACTCGCAGCAGTAGCTCGTACAGATACAAGCGGCAGCAGAGAATGCCGAGGATGCCTGGAAAGAGAAAAAGAGGAGAGAGGGTAGAGACCGGAGCTGCTTTGCTCTATGCACTGTGCGATGTATATTATATATGTGTAACGAGAAGAGAGAACGAGAGAGAGAAAGAGAGACAGAGAGAAGCTGTTTGGCCGACGCGCACTGCTGGAGAATCGCACAGCACACCCGTCGACGTCGTTGGCCGTTGCGAGTTGCCCGCTCCCGCTGCTAGTGCTCGGCTGCCTTGCGCTGCTGGCTGCCGCTCCTCCCGCGCATGCTCGCGCGCCTACACCACACGAAATATACAGATTCGCGTTCGCACAGCCATACTAGAGTCCCATTGCGATGCTCCGATCCAACTCTGCGGGGGTTCAACGGCTACCCCTGTAGCGGATAGGGTAGGTTGCGCGTTGCGCCGAGTCGAGGCAGTTGCCGCCGTACGTAGTACCTGCCGATGGTACCTATCTGCCACCCAAACTCCAACGCGCCATTTAAACGAATTTTCATTCGTTTCGAGCCAAAGACAGTTGGCTATTAAGGCTTAATCTCTTTAATTGTAGCAAAAAATATTATGGCCGAACGAGTGTCGATACTCCAGAAGAAAAAATATTGTTTTTCCTACGGTCAAGTTCAAGCGTTCCTCGAACGGAATCGAGCTTCGGGTTTCGTAATTCGTATCGGTCGATCGACTAACTGTTGTTGTTTGAAATCGGCCAGCTGCAAAACACTGCACTGCACAGCTGACTCTCTTTCTCTCTGTCTGCAAGCCTATGCTAGCGACAATGTAAAATGACTCGGTGAAAGTTTACTACAGCTCGGCGCGGAAAACTGTACTGCGTACGGAGCCTGCAAAGATGAACAATGGAGCGCAGATCTCGTGCATGCGCTGCAGCATCCAATAATGTGCAACTCGTTCTAACTGTAAAAAGAGACATGCGAGCTAACAAAACAAGGGAAAAAGAAACACTACTCGAAGATACCGGCCGTGATGATGATTTCACGTGGGTTTAGTTCAGCGATTATGACTATTAGTATCACTGCTTACGCATTCTAGCTTCTGATAAGATTTGCTCTCCGCGTCCATGAATCACTCATGACTTTCGCTGTCACTCGTAATACCCCACTACTCCATAACATTTTCGGCAAGCTAAACATTTTTGAGCTTTCGTTCAATTTTACCAATTGTTGTACAATTTTTTTTCTTTCGAAAAACGTTTCGAGGAGTAGAGGCTTTGCGATAAAACTCGCACGTCTAGCAGTAATTCGATCATTATCGATCGATATACATTGCTCGTTACGACGCATGCGATAAGCAAAACTATAAAAAAAAGTATCGAGCTTGCAATCTTTACACCAGCGGGTGTAAGCTACCACGCGCTTACCACAGCTACTTATCCAATACATAAGTAAACGTCTTTTTTTCGTGCGTAGGTACACAAGTATATATAGCCTACTATGTGCTAGATTCGGGCTTTTCGGCATTATTTTTAATGAGCGACGGCCACCTTGGATGAATATTGCTATATTACAGCTATAATATAAGCGATAATTATCACAAACTCGTGCGTTTGAAAAGAGCAACTCTTGCTTCTGCCGACTCTTCTGACGTAGCAATCGTAGCGCTTTGACGAAGCTGCTCTGATTTCGATAATCGACCGTTGGTTAAGTTAAATGTACATTGTATAGGCGTGCGCCGAAAACAGGAATTTCTTAGTTTCGTCGTAAACGGAGCTGTACAGTGAGATATAGATGCGGTGAGTCCTTGCGATGCGTCTCTGGGCCGACAAAAAAACGATATAACAGCAGCGGCGGCGACGTCGGCTCATGGTGCACGCGGAGGGGGGGCAGCGATGCCGTAAAGTACACGTGCACTCAACGACGCAGTCGACAGCCGCAGAGCATAGGTACATGACGCATGTATGTACACAGCATAGAGACGTAATCATCGCTTAGCGAGCCGTAAGCGCGACAAGCACAAATGCGGTGTAATGTATACAGAACATAAGTAGTGGTGCAAGGCAACGGGGCTCCTCAGTCTCGGGTCACATATCGGCCAGGCGGCTGCGCGACCGCATCTCGATTCTCGGCCTGCCTTCTTCGCTCTCGAGTACGAGGCCAGGTATAAAACTATCGCTCCTGCAAAAGTGCCACACATCGTCCGCCGTACATCAAGCACATGTGTGTGCGTGCGCTACTCGACAGTCGGATTACGGACAGAGCAAATCAGGCGGTCGGCGTAGGCCTATCCGCGCGTCTCGTGTCAGTGGGCGCGCGCAACCAGCGACTCGGCAGAGCGCGCTATCCTAGAAGCGCCCAAGCTACTCGCGTACCGCACCGAGCAGCCGTCGAATCAGTCGAGTGATCGCCGTGCGGCGCGGGCCCCAGTTTTCGAGCGATTGCGAAAACGGAGAAACGCGCGTGGCGCAAGCAATTTCGGGCCCTCGATACGCCGCCGAAGCCAACTCGCGCGGCCTGCCTTTCAACACGACGAGCCTGTGACTCGCTGGACCGATTGTGATTCCGTGCTCGACGACCACCGACAACATGGCAACGACCCAAACTACCCTCTTGGAGCAGTCCTGCTCGTTTTTGTCCTCGGCCACGCACTGCACGCTCAACAAGAAGGCGCAGCAGCCGGCTAAGCAACACAACGGCTTCAGCAATGGACACGCCGCCCCGGTGAGTGCACCCCGTCGTCCTTCCAACTATCCCGGGGCTCCTTGGCACAAAATATTCCAACAGCCACCCGGAGCCCGATTCGCTCGATCTCGTGTCATCTACTTGGCACGCACTTATCACATTCGTGACGCGTGGTAATTACGACGATGTTTAGCACCCAATGGAGTATATGGAGCGCGAGTAGTTCTAGCCTCGTTGCGAGGTCAATCGTCTGATTCTCGCTGCGTGTGCGACGTGCGTGTGTTTGTATATCGTGCCATATACATACGTGTTGTAACAGGAGAGGAGTAAGCGAGCCACGCGTTACGAGTAGTTAGAGAGAGACCGACGGAAAAAAGCTAAAGAGAGCAAAAAAAAAGAAACGCTCGTGAAGCAGTATTTACGAGGTGTGGTTCCTCAAGCACTCGAATGTAATAGTAATTTTTATCGCGCTATTTATGAGGACGCGCATTGTTATTACTTTGATTTTCCTTGCACTTGGGAAAAATTACGCCGCTAGGCAGACGGACTCTCCCCACGATGACACATCACGCGTATTTTACATTCGCGTACGCAATTCCTCAAACTTGCCTACGGCACGCGTAGCATTTTTAATATTTTCACCTCGTATCGCGTTGGCCGGGGGAGGGAGGAAACACGCGGTCGAGAGCGAGTTGTTATCATTATTTGCCATTGTTGTCGTTTGCGATCGAACACGCGCGCGTACGTTGCTTCCTAGCGCCGCCGCCACCGCCAGCATTGCGACGACATGCCGTCTGCAGTGCGGCAAAACCTTTATTATTCGCCTTGATTGAATGCACGCGAGGCAACTCTTGCGCTTGTTTAGGATGCGATAAATGCGCTTGAAATCTCGACTCGAAATCGATTCGTTTTCGAAAGACTATGTGTCTGGAGTAGCTAACAGTTATTCCCTCATTTGGCAGCGCTTTCACTTTTATTTATATAGTGTAATCCAAAGCATAATGACGAAAATAAACTTATCCAGGTCATTTGTACATTTATATTCTTAGAGCCCAACGCTGTATGCAAGAACAATTTAATTGAATCAGCTTCTCAAGTAATACTAACTCTTGCTCTTGCTTGCTTTGTTTGTAGATACTGCTAGAGGGCTCAAATGGAATTAAAACAAAGAGTAAAGACTGTCAAGTCAAATCATCCAAAAACAAAGAGTCATTTGAAAAAGTTCCATTCATCACAGCAGCTCTGACACATTTTGGTTTCTATGTGCTCATGTTACTGGGCTTTATTAATCAGCTGCTTTTCACACCAAATGTAGCCAAAGAAAAATTCAGGGTTGGATATGCTCCACTTTATGAAAATTTTGAACAGTTCTATTTGAGATATGTGTACAGAAGGATTAGAGATTGTTGGAACAGACCCATTTGCTCAGTACCTGGTGCTAAAGTTACACTCATGGATCGAATAACTAAAGATCATGGGTGGACTTTTGAGTAGGTATTATATATTCTCCTTATCTCAAACGTTCTTGAACTAAACAGTGAACAATTTGAGGTGAACTTTATTTAATAAATCTGAGAAAATACTCAGTTTAAATTAATTTTTTTTAGATTTACTGGCAAAAAAAGAGAATGCATAAATTTGGGTTCTTACAACTACCTGGGATTTGCTGAATCAAGCGGACCTTGCGCTAAAACTAGTATTGATACATTGCGCAAATATGGATGCGCCACTGGCAGCAGTAGATTGGAATTAGGTGATAGCACTAATGCTAGCACATTTACTTTTTATATATCATAAAAATAAATATGCATTTATAGATAACATTTTTGGTACGTCTTGATTGTAGGAAATCTGCCAATCCATGATGAGCTAGAAAAACTTACAGCTAGATTTTTAGGAGTAGAAGATGCTATAGTTTTTGGAATGGGTTTTGCAACAAATGCCTTAAATTTACCATCTCTTGTTACCAAAGGCTGCCTAGTTCTAAGTGATGAGAGAAATCATGCTTCTATAATTTTGGGTCTTAGACTTTCGGGAGCTATAACCAGAGTTTTTGATCACAACAGTGAGTAATCTTTATAATATATTTTTCATACCATAATTTATAACATTTCAGTAAATTCTGAACTTTTTATTCAGATGTTAAACATTTGGAACAACGTTTAAAAACAGCTATAAAAGAAGGACAACCTACAACAGGAGAACCATGGAAAAAAATATTTATTGTTGTTGAAGGTGTTTATTCTATGGAAGGATCTATTGTCCATTTACCAGAAATGATTGAACTGAAAAAGAAGTATAAGGTAAATAAAAATAATTAAAAATTATTTGATGATAAAGTTGATTATATAAAAATTTTATTCGCTTCAGGCCTATTTATATTTAGACGAAGCTCACAGCACAGGAGCCATGGGTAAGCATGGCAGAGGTATCTGTGATTATTACGGAGTTAATCCTCGAGATGTTGACATTCTCATGGGAACATTTACCAAAAGTTATGGATCTGCTGGTGGCTATATTGCTGGATCAAAAGTGAGCTATAAATACTTGAATGTAATTTATTTATATAAAATAAGCGTTTAATTTTTAATTATATTTTAGGCCTTAATCAATTACTTAAGAGTACACAGTCATGCACATACATATGCAGTTTCTATGTCCCCTCCAATTGCTCAACAAATCATTACATCAATGAAAATAATAGCTGGAGAAGATGGTACTCATGATGGTGCTAAAAGAATTAAGCAATTAGCTAGAAACACTAGGTATTTTAGACAGAGATTAAACCAGATTGGAGTAATTATTTTTGGAAGTGAAGATTCCCCAGTTGTACCAATGATGGTGTATTTATATTCAAAAATTGGGTAAGTCTTTTGACTGTATTTTTTGTAGTGTAAAAAAAAGTAAAACATAAATATTATAAGTTCAAATTTGTTACAGATCTGTAGTTCGAACTCTCACAACCAGAAATATTGCAGCAGTAGGAGTAGGTTTCCCTGCTACTCCATTGATGGAGGGTAGAATACGATTTTGTTTATCAGCTGCTCACACAAAAGAACAACTTGACTATGTATGGAAACTTATTTTATATTATCACCTCAATCATTGTCTTTACTTATTTTCAATTTCTTTTATTTTCATTATTGAACAGGTATTAGATAATATTGAAGAACTTGCTGACACACTAGGCTTAAAGTATTCAAGGAAACCACGCAATCCTAATCCAATTGAATACTATTCAGATAGTGAAATGGAATGACCTTCCTCACTGTAGGAAAAACCCTTCAAGGAAACTTGATTTGACTAAAACAATTGCACAAAAATCACCTGAATTTGAGCTTAAACATTTTTGGTGCAATGTGCTTAAGTGCAGACTGATTTTATTAGCTAGCATTAGCTTTTTTCATCAATATTCTGTTATGATTAAAAAATTATACAATTATTGATTGACCAAACATACTTTGAATGACCCACAAGTGTGGGGAATGTTTCAGAATGACTTCACTCTTGTCATTTTACACTTTTATGAAATAAAATAGATGAAGTAGATTAAATTAAGGTCAAGTGCATCATTTTCTAACATTTAAAGTTCTACCTATCGAAATAAACAAAAATTCTATAATTAAATTTGAAAACTTCTGCATTGCAGATAAATCTTGTTAATTAGATTTGAAGAAGTAACTTGTTCCTTTTTTATCGTGTAAATCTTTTTAATTATTTTGTTGGGTTATTAAATTTGTGTAAGAAGTAATTAAAAATATTCCCATGTTTATTGATTAAAATTGAATGTATATATTTATAAATTATTATGAAAACTATATACATGTAAATACATTCGTGTAAAATTTTTCAATACATACAAGAAGGCTTGCTATATGTGTCATAATGAGACAAATTTTAGAAATTGTCGAATGGTAAAGCCTTCCTTTAATACTTTATAATCTTATGAGTTTTTTAAATAATATGATATACATTTAATAAACTCATATGTTAAAATCAGCTTTTCATAGTTCTCTTAAAAGTTCTTTTTAACTTACTTGTGAAAGAAACATAGAATTACATTGTTATTCCAATATATACATTTCTAATTCCAACGAGAGAAAACTTTGTTAAAGAATAATTTATCGCACAACTAACATGTAAACTATCATTTGGATAAGCAAAACACAATAAATATTTGCTTAGTATGTTCATCAACATTCTTCATTCATAACATTAATTAGTTCTGTAAAATTCTAACTAGAAAACATAAAATAAATAAAATAAACTAACCTGATCGTTTACTCACAAATTATTAACAACTTAATTGTAAGCACGACTTACAATGTCTTGCATTCTACTTAATATTGTGCTGTTCAAACATATGCAATTTTCTGGACGATAAGGAGGCTCAATGCGCACAGTATCTTCAATTAGCAAAATACCATTCTCTTCTGTGACGGGAAACTGACTATCAGTTAATAATTTAAAAACTGAATTTCTACGTTCCAGTAACTCTTCCTTAGACATCTTCTCGATTGGGGTGACGAACATTTCAGGCAAAGGCATTTCGTTTTCAAAAGAGCAATCAATGCTTTTGATAGCAGATCGCATAATAATTTTCATAAGCATTGCATCTTCTCCACCTTTTGATTGCATCAGTACGACACTATGAATTAATTAAAAAAACATCTTATCATTTTTAGTTCAAGGGGTGAATAATAATAATGATAGAAAAACATGATGTAAACAAGAATCCTAACCTTTCGGACACCGGGTCGATAGTATAAACAATGCCAATGTGAACATTTCCATCTTCGGTAGTAAGGGTAACTTTTTTATTGACATAACTTCGAAAGAGTATTGGATCGTTTGTGTAGATTTTTGGCAGAAAATTTGTTGAAGCGTCTTTGCTAAGTTGAGATGACATGTTTTTGAAAAATTGTTAGTCTTGAAAGTTTATATCACTTTTGTGATACAATATAAAAAACTTAGTTATATTGATCGTTTTGATAAAGTCAACTTGACGTTGGTCTTCGAATCAAGTAAAATATGTTTAACACAAATTCTTATTTTCATTCGGCAACGAAACATTTAATTTAGTAAGCAAAAAATGAAAATCAATGTCGCGGTATTCAATGATTGAACGACCTCTTGCGAGACACGCTCGCAAACTGACAACACGAGTTTAAATTGGTTTAAATTTTACAAGTCATTAGACAGGATCATTTTTAATCAAATTTGTTTTTATATATGCTAAAAAATTCGTTCATAAAAGTAATTATAAATCTTATTAATATTTCAGCCATTGGCTACTAAAATTTGGCTAGTAAAAAAAATAATTATTTACAACATTCAAAAAGCAATAAAAATTTTAGGATTAAGTAATGAGAAACATAATTTTTGTTATTTAAAACTGTATTTAATAGATGCAACAGACTTAAAAAACATTCAGAATAGTCAGCTTAAGCAATAAATTCGTATGGGATTGGTGCAAGCATTTGGGGCTCACCCTTTCCCTTTACAATATGTGCTGGTCTTGGTTGAGCTGGTTGTCTCTTCAAACAGACCTTGGTTTTGTTCTTCTTAGCTTCCAATCTCAACTTTTCGTTTTCCTTGACTCTTCTCAAGAAATCGTCTCTACATTTGCTGTGCTTAACGTGTTCAATGCGAACATTGATTCTCTTGGGTAGGATCTTACCCCTGACCCTCTTGTTTACGATGATACCAAGGGCATGTTGTGTCACATTGAAGACGCGTCCAGTTTTGCCGTGATAATCTTTGTATGGCATGCCCTTCTGGATGGCACCATCACCCTTGATATCAACAATGTCTCCAACTTTGTAGACTCGCATATAAGTGGAGAGGTGGAGGGTACCCCTTTTGCGGAATCTCCTGGAGAAGAGATCCCTCGTTCCACGACGATAACCTTTTGAGTTGGTCATTTTGAACTAAAAACAGAAAAGTAACAATATGATTAAGTATGAGATTGATTGCCTGCTTGGACTATAATTACAAAAATGTGAGGTTAGAGAAAGTCAACACAGTGCGAAAGTACAATGATCCTTTGAAATAACAATTTTCACAACAAAATTGTCAACGAGATAAACTTTAGCATGATTACTTAAAATATCTCAATGGATATGTCAATTTTATTAAAATAAAAAATAGGGTAATGATTTGATGACCCACGTGTTAGTACTTGTTGCCGTGTTCGTATGTCACCACGGTATCAATAATTTTTCGAGTTAAAAACTCAATTTTGCGAGACAACAAGGATCATCAATCACTTTCATGAAAATAACGTTCTTAGTTTAGTAAAATTATCGTAGAAAAATTGCAAATAAGTAATAAAATAAACAATTAATAAATACTTACGTCGTCTCTAGATGAGTATAAAACTTTCAAAAAACTAAAGAGAGGTCGCTTCCTATTTTTGCTGACAGTCACTTCACTCCTTGTTCGAGCGTGACACAACGATTTAACGAACGCCAAGCCAAGTGAAGCATACACCGCGGCGCCTTTATTCAAATTTCAACGTTCAAACTTTTGGGATATAAATTTTCATCTAAATTGGTATTCTACTGATATAAAATTCACATTTACTTTCATGATAGCAATAAAACTTGTCTATAAAACTGTAAAATGTCTAAAAATAATAAAATAACAATATATTTAAATTTTATAATTGCTACGATTATCGGTCATGGTTCATGAAATGGGTCCCGATCAATTAGTATATTATATTTTAGAACTTTTCAGAAATAAAAAGCAAGAAACTGCTACTTCTCATTATTTCTATGAAATGAAGTAACATTTTTTTATAACAAAATTCGCACGTTTATTTGAAGCAATATCCACGTAGGCGGAGCCACATCCCGTAAGACAATATGCGTTTTTGCGGCTGTCTATGGAGTCTCGCGTAGCGTTGCTATATACCGACTACCGAGTTTATTTATGAGATCACTTCTCTGAGATTCGTACCAGCCAAAGTTGTCAAATAAGGTAGCGCTTGAGAGAAAAGAAGAAAACGAGAAAGAAAGAGAGAGAAAACCAATGCGTATATGAGAAGCAAATCGGCGTTTATAGCGCAGCGCTAATACATCGCAGTGCACAGTGCACACATCAAGATTGTTGCATTTTGCACGGCAAGCAAGGCTCGACACACATCTCGGCCGCCGCGCGACGACGTCTCTCGACACACCCTATCCCGCAGTTTCAGAGCTTCCAAGTCTATATCTATGTAAATGTGTACACAAGTTGCGACCGGCTCGAAAAGCAATCGCTGCTCGAATGGATCGACGTAAAAATAAAGACCACATAGGATATTCGATAATTTCGATTGTTGAGTGTTGACTGCTAAGGCAGCTACCGTGTGGCGTGTACATCTTAGCATCATCGAAAGTCATCGAGCAGCTCTCGATAAGCATTGCGTGGATAACGATAACAACTAGGAGCTTGCTCTGCGGCTTTTCGTGATTTTCGCATCCAAACGCCTTACAGGCCTCCAACTTGCTCAACATGGTGAGTAAGACAGCTCCGACTTACTCATCGCATTGCTAATTATTGTTTGCGTGGGCAATATGCTCGTTCTAACCTGCCTTATGCCAAATTGCAATTTGCTCACACAATCTGTCAAAATGGCGTTGCATAGTTGTAAACATTATTAAAACGATTTTTTATCATGTTCATGACTTTTCATAACTACTGTTCATTATCCTTTGCTTAGACCGAACAACAAATGGACTGTGCTTTGGACCTTATGCGTAGGCTACCACCACAGCATATTGAAAAAAATCTTAATGATCTTATTGATTTGGTTCCCTCACTTTGTGAAGACTTACTATCATCTGTTGATCAACCATTGAAAATTGCAAAGGATAAAGAATCTGGAAAAGATTACTTACTTTGCGATTATAACAGGGATGGAGATTCTTACCGGTAAATTACTTAGTACAAATGTTGCTTTGAATGTTTTCTGTAATAATATTTGTGTAAATTTTGTGTAGATCACCTTGGAGTAATACTTATGACCCTCCATTAGAAGATGGGTCAATGCCCTCAGAGAGATTACGAAAACTAGAAATTGATGCGAATCATGCTTTTGACCAGTATCGAGAGTTATATTTTGAAGGTGGTGTATCTTCTGTATATTTGTGGGACTTAGATCATGGTTTTGCAGGTGTTATATTAATAAAGAAAGTTGGTGATGGTTCGAAAAAAATTAAAGGATGTTGGGATTCTATTCACGTTGTTGAAGTTCAGCACAAATCTTCAAGCAGATATGCACATTATAAACTTACTTCTACTGCCATGCTTTGGCTGCAGACAAATAAGCAAGGATCAGGCACTATGAATTTAGGTGGCAGTCTTACTAGACAGGTCAGTAAAAAAAAATAATAATGTTTTAAAAAAAAGTTCTATGTATACTGAACGAATGAGAATACTTTTTGTACCAGCCGCCTAAAAGTAACTATTTTCCTAATAATGTGCAAAGCAGAAAATGTTACATTGAGGCAACAGGGTTTCAAACATTAGCAAAAATGAACAAACATATTTTTTATTTTTATTTATAAAAAAATATTTTATATAAATATACAATTGACTATTTATGATGATAATTTATGATTTTTTATAATAACTAATGTATGTTCTATGACTCATGAGAAAATATTCAATTATTATTCACAGGTTGAACAAGATTCGTTAGTCAGTGAAACTTCTCCACACATCGCAAATATCGGCCGCATGGTTGAAGACATGGAAAACAAAATACGTAACACTTTGAATGAAATATATTTTGGCAAGACAAAGGATATTGTTAACGGTTTAAGATCAGTACAACCCTTATCTGATCAAAGGCAGCAGGCCGCTTTGCGACAAGACTTGGCGGCAGCGTTACAGAGGCGAAATGCCAACAATTGATCCTCCGAAAAATCCGAAAATTTTAAAGATGACGACTGTGAATAGAGGAGAGTAAAGAAGAAAAAAATTACAAATCAATTACGACTTAAGGTCTTGCACAGCTTAATGCGCTAAACTTTGTTATTACATGTAGGGTAAAAATAAACAGAGAGAGAGAGTTGAAGTCTATTATTGAGCCCCTCCAAAAGTGCTCAAAAATATCGGTTTTTTTCATAAAAAAAAACTCATTAATAAATAAAGCGAATAATATTTATATTGAAACAAAAATGCATTTTGTTACAAAATTCCTCTTGGGAGTTTTCATCTGTTTTTACTGTAAGATAAACCAATTAAAATTGAAGATTTTTTTTCTTTGATTCATGCAATCTTCCATACCCGGAATTTCTTACTCCATTTTAAAAACTTTTCAATTATTGTATATTTCATAAATATCGCATTATTAAAATAAAATTTTTAAAGTATTATTACTTACTATAATGAGACGGTACTATCAGACTTTTTGAAAATTTTCAGTTTATGGTGAATTTTGATTTATTAAATTTTTAAATAATATATATACATGTATAAAAGAAAGATTTTTAATGTATTAAAGCGGAAAATAGTATCTGTTAATTTTTATATCTTGCAATATTTTGAACAATATTTGATAAGATAATAGTAACTAGTGCATAAAATTTTAATAAGTCACATATGAGTCCTGAAATGAAGAGAAAATAAGTGTTTAGTTGCATTATTATCTTTTTATTGAATCATATTTTAATTTTATTTGAAAATGTAAAAACTTAAAGATTTTTACAAGCTTCAAATTTATATGTAGATGTATAATTTTAAAAATCCATTGATTTTGGTCTATCAAGTTGAATAGTTTGAAGTAAGTTTGAAATGTAATTTATTACAGCCTAACTGTAACAGCAGGTTTAACTTTTCCCATATACTTTTTATCAAATTTAAATTATGGTAGTTATTATGTGCAGAAAATTTGGTAAAATATAATTGAATTTTTTTCCAAAATTGTTCACTTTTTTAATGGTTTACATATGTAATTATTATTATTATTACATATCGAATTATCGATTTATATTAATCACAGAATATGAAAAAAACATTAAGACAGCATTTAATTATAGATCATTTATAGTTGGATGAAAGTGGTCTTTCAACGTGATTGGCTGTATATTAATTATGTGGTAAAAATGGAAGTAGCACCTTCGGCCATCATTTGTCATAATAAATGTTCAATTTTATTTATTTCTTTTTATTTCATAGCAAATGTAAACAAAATACTCAGTTTTTTAGATAAAAACTGCAGAACAATTATTGTTCTACTGTTTGGACTTGTTCATTTCAATGCACTATAATATTAAATATTAAAGCATAATGTGTTATTTTTAAGGTAATTAATTATTATCAGGACTCAACAATATTTACAGTAAATGTACTGCATGTGGACTTAATAACTTTAAATTCTTAATGATGACAGGAGGCCCAAACCGTTACAAGCCTTCAATTCGGTAAGTAATTTTTACTTGTGGAGTATGAAAAGGATTAAATTGCTATACGCAATAATTATTTCATAGTTCATCACCTTGAATAATTAATATAATTCTTCAAAAATGTATTATGAAAATCTAATGTGCACATTAGAATTATTTGGCTTACCGTTACATTAATCAAAGATACACATGTCTAGTCGTATCAAAGCTCTAGAATATCAAGAAAAAATAATTATTGCACTCATAAAAGATCTCATCGATCAGTGTGCGTATCTGTTAAATTATCAGTTACACATGAAGAATTCCAGTTATCTTTCAAATTTATTTGTATTTGCATAAACATACTTTCATTAAGACATGAAGCATTCACTTAGTTACGAAAATGTTCTCTTAAAAAAATATATTTAGCTGTTTTAGGGAAGTTTTGTTTAATTATAAATGAGAACATGACTTTTTACTAGGGCTTTTTTTCAATCATTATGCATTTTATGTTAAACATAATCTATGTTCTAAACATGGATCGTTTTGTATGATAATAACGAGTCTTCATAAATAATTTTTTGTTTTTTTAAGTAATTTCCTTTGAGGCGGTTCCAAAGCAAGACCAATATAAATATTTAAAAACACGTTTTATGAGTTTTCCACTTGATATTTTTCAACAAAGCTCCAAGAATGTATAAAAAACAACAAAATGAAGACATCCTTGTAGCTTATTAATGAAATAGTCAATGGAATTCTCAAAAAAATATGTTCAAAATTTAACATTATAGCCCTGTTTTGGTATCTCCTTAAAAAATATAGGCCATTTTTAGAGTGGCTAAAAAATTGATTATTCAATTTCTATACCATGGCCATGATTCTGTGCAAATCACTAACGGGTCAATAAAACCTACCATATTTAAGAGGTACGCATTATCAAAAATTAAGGTAAAAATGCTATGATCTTGGCATTCAATACCAGTTTTGGTCTTTTGATGAGTAAAAAATATTTTTTTTCATACTTAATGTAGTATAAAATAGAGATAGAAAATTCATAGTTACAATTCATAGTAGTTTTGTTTAAAAATTTATTAACATTATGAAATTAACAAAAAGAAAAAAAGATTTTTGTGTAAAGGCTTTTTTCAATTTATTTCCATTTTTCAATCTTTCGATGTAGTTGCTGCATATATCATGTATAACAAACAACATGTGTATTTTAGTGTAAAAAGTTTCTAAGACTGAGATATGCAAACTTATATGTAAGCTCAATCTTACAATAATTAGAAACTTTATGCTCTTTAGTTTTCCTTTCGGTTAATTGTATGAAAGTATTAAGGATGTTACTTTGATAAAAAAAGTTGGTGGTTCTTGGTTGTCAAATTTATTGTAAGTTGATAGTTGACTTAATGCTTATTAACCAAAAGATGTTGTTCGGCTGGGCAGTAAGCATTTATTTTAACTGAACACAATTATTTATCGAGGGCAGTATTGGTTTTGATAGCAATTACTACCTCCTCGTTGCAGGCCTTCAGTACAGTACACTGAAAAAGAAAAAAAAGAAAAAATCAAAATATTGTTGTTATAAAAAATTGCTAAATTTTTGAATCATCATAAGTTACCAGTAGCTCTTTGCCAGCATCGTAATCAGCGCGGAGCTGAGTACCTAAGTCACCATCAGGAATTTTGAGATCCTCGCGCAAGTCTCCGTTATCAGCCATCAAGCACAGGTAACCATCATCAGAGATGTCTGTGAGCTGATAATCTTCTCTCTTGACAAATGGTACATCCATGTTATGTGTGGATGGGCAGATATCTTCATACTTCTTGGAACTGAAGATATCGATACCAACAAGATGGACCTTGGCGTGACCGTGCTTGCCAGTCTTAGAAGTGGACATCTCCACAATTTTGCAAGGTCTGGATTTCAACATGACAAATCCATTTTTGCGAAGTGCAGAGCACTGCATAGGATATGTGACAGAGGCTCCAGAGTCACCAGTCTCAAAATGAGTATCTTCAATATCTGCCATATTTAGTTTGTGTTTTGATTAACTGTAAATAGAAAAAAAAAAAAAAAAATGGTAAAAAATCAATGTTAAAATGAAGGTAAATTTATTGAAATTTTTTTAGCAGAAAGAAGAGTAACTAAAGAGTTTTCAAGGTATGAATCACTTTATGAAGCTGTAAGATAAGTAAGTGTCGTAGGTATTTTAAAACAAGATTCAATACTGGACGCGTGGGAATACGAGTTGGGCGGCTGGCGACTTAGGTTCGGCATAAACACATAGTCGATATGTATGCCTACGAAGTACAAGAGAAAAAGACGGAGCTAGATATAAAGAGAGCGCGCAAACGAGGTGATATCCGTTCGTTTCGGCGTTGACCATGTGGCAGCAAGGAAAGCACGCGGTGTATGAAAATCGAGCAATCCGAACCTAGCGTATTGCACGTGCGGGTGTACAGAACGCAAAATACAGCATTACGGGCACTTTTTCGCTGCATAATTTCGAGTCGAAAGCGAACAAAGTTAGCATATGAGAGAACGAAAGAGAGAGACAGAGACAGAGGCAACGCAATCACAGGCTGTGCCGAGAGCGCGCGGGTGTCCCCTAACCCTCAAAAAATTGTAACGCGGCGTGTTCGTTGCTCTGGCTAACCCACCAACCTCCACCGCGTGTGAAACGATGTCTCCTCACAAGGCGGATTCAGTAACACAAGGATGGACAAAAAACAACGAAAAACACTTGTTTACGCTAAGCTCGATAAAAACGACTTGGCTGCGAGTTTAGTAGATAATGCATAAGGAAAAAAATTTCGAGAGCACACGGCACCAGTGCTCAATTGGGAAGCAGAGAGCCGCGAGACGGCGGCGAGCCTCAATGAATATTTCTCTCGTTTTCGTATAATAGCCAAGGGTTGACAGAGTTGATTCTGCTTCAACACAAGAACACTTGAAAAACGTCCTCGAACTTGGTTAATAATATAGCAAAGTCAGCACTTGGTTATTACCGGTCGAAAATGTCGATTCAACACTGAGAGACAGAGAGCAAGAGAGAAAAACTTGGTCGTATACTCACATGTGATCAAAATGGATACTCTAACCAGAAGAGTTCTCTTGGTCTTGCTTACTGCTTGCTTACTACTGCGAGTTTTGGCTGCGACCGTATTGGTATTAAAATTCGACTAGCAGGGGGCGCATGCGTATTACAGCATTAAGACTTGGAAATTGTTCGGACTTGGCTCTTCGGAGTTCGGACTCCAAACGGCGATGAGAGAAAGAGAAAGATAGAGCGAGGGCGACGAAGAGCGGGGAAGAGGGAGAGATAGCGAGATGCGTGTACCGTACAGAAATGTAGGTATGTATGCGTACCATCCGTCGTAATTCGTCAGAAAAAGAAAAAGATCGCGCGCGCACACATAGGACATGCAACTTGGCTGTCGAAGAAAGAGAAAGAGAGGAAAAAAAGGAGTCTCGCGGTGGAAAGCGGAATTCTAATGTGAGGACGCCACCAATGATTGCCACCATAACATTGCTAATTGTAATGAATCATATTTTTGCTATTTATGATTTTTTTATACTATGACACTTGCGGCTTTATTCTCTTGACAATGGAATTCACAAATATTTATTTCTTACGGAAATTGCCAAATTTTTTGACTCCGTTTGTTCAATTATCAGCCAAAATACCGATGCTTGTGTACAATAGATTTATAACGGTCCATTAAATTTCGAATGCTCATTTATTACTATCGTCATTCGAAATAGTTATCGCGGTCTTTAAAAGTATGTCAACTAACTTAAGAGTAAGTACAGTTAATGTCATTTTTGACAGTTTTGAGGATTTATCGCTCGTAATCCTGATTGACGAATTCCGACAATTTTCCAAGATATGAAAAAGTATGAAGAATACGTAATTATTGCATTTAAAAAAGAGCATTCTTCATTAGATGAATAATGTGGATTCATCAGTGTACTTTTGATCGGAGTTCATGCCGTATAATTTTCAAAACTCCACTCGAGTGTTTAAACGTTTGTAAACTTTGTATAGCCATTTAAGGCTGTGCTCAGACCATCAGGTGCAAACATTTATATATTGACACGCAAACGTTATTGGAAAATCGTGTTTACTATATGTAGGTATACAAAATACATGTTGTTTACGGTTTCCCCGATGATTTTGCGCCATTTTTCCATGCAAATTGTATATCTATATGTTTATTGTAAATACACAATTCTTCAATACCTGTGCGTTGCATTGCTATGCTGACTTTGCGGTGTGCCGGTGAAGTGGCTATTGCTTCGTATAATCGTATGTCACACTAACACACTGCAATACATAGAGTGCCTTAGCCATCTAGCGTAAACGAGTCGAATCGTAAAAGCTATGTTGCCGACGATGTTCATGGAGCAGTCCGGCAATGAGTTCCCGCAATCTTACAAATTGCCCAGTAAGTCTGTTTACTTGAACTGCGGGACTTCTCTGACTACATTCGTAAATAAGTTTATTACGAGCAATTTTTACCCAGTCATAGCTCATTGTATTGTACAAGTGACGAGATTTCGCTTTACAAAGTTTCGATCGATTCACGGTTTACAAACTGATAAAAAGTGATGGGGTTGGATAATGATTTAGAACTGCTGCCATGCAGTTTTCAATTTCATAATTTTCAAGATAAAGTTGGCGAGGTTAACTTAATCTGCCAGATCACGAAGATGAAACAGAGTTTCTACGTCTGGCTCGCTGAATACAACGATCAGAGTTTAAAACACTTGGCGGTCGCTTCGACTGTGGCCGGTGATGGCAAAAAACAAGTTTTGTCGACAAAAATTTTGGGACCCATCGTCGATGACACTTCGTCGTTTATCGCGTCGAGACTTTCCGCCAAAGTTGGTGTACCAGTGTTTGTGAGCTTTAACGTGATGACTGACAATTTGTCATTGCCCGCAATTGAAAAGAGAATTGCTCAAGAGTTTAATAATCATCCTGAACTTCTAGTCTTTTAATGTGTAGCTGAATGGTGTTGTGTAAAATTTAACTTTAACAAGTTAATTATTTAATGTAAAACTCAGTGTTAATTTTTCATCATCCATTTTTATTTAAAAAATATAAACATTATAAACACTATAAGTTCTTTAATTACAAAATTTAATTTCAATTTTTAAGATTTATCTCTTTTGTCATTATTAAATTATAAGCATTATATGTTTAACAACATTAGAAAAACATTACACATAATCTGGCAATGAATTAAGATTCACATGTAATTTTACGTAACAACATATTCAATTATAGTAAGTTCTCAGATGAAATTCAACAATATTTCATGGAAATAATGAAATAGTAAAGCTAAAAACTGTATGAGTCTATGTATTTCATAAGTCTTTTGTTTCCTTGGTCTTAAATATTTTTTATTACAAGTAGGAATACTTGATCTGTTTGATTCTTGGAATCACTTAGTTTGTCGTGCGAGTATTTAACAGAGAATTATACAATGAAAAAATTACTGCTGCTGCTCTTTTTCAAGACTATAATCATCTACTGTATATCCAGTACCTTTGGCATCGGTCAACCAAGGGTACCTGTTAGGACATTCGGTGCAAGTTTCCATATACCTGTGTAAAAAAAACAATAGTCATTACTTGTCAAAGTATTATTTTGAAAATATTAAAGACGGTACCTAGTTGTTGTGAAATTAGAATCAGCTGGTTTAAAGTCAAGTGCACACTTGTTAGCATTGTTGCAAGGAGGTTCAGGTAAATTTTCTTTTTTATTCTTGCAATCCCAGCCTTCAAAATGACTAAGTTGACTAAGAGGCTTTGGTTCTGTCATCCAGTGCAGAGCTTGGTAAGCAGTTACAAAGTAAACATCAGGCCTGGAAGTAAATTTTTAATTTAAAGGGATGAATACATTAGAATGAAATACTAGGTAAAATGTTAAATTTACAGAGAGTTTGCCCAATCAAGGAATTTAGCAAGTCCATTTTCCAGCTCCTTGATCTGGAACCAATTGGTGTGGAAGGGCATCATATAGGGTGCTCTGTTCTGTTCATAATAACGGTTGAAGTCCTCCTGAAGCCACTGGAACACATCATCGGCGTCGTGACTGTGGAGCACACATTGATCAAGGTAGGGACAATGGCCACCATCGTAAGTTTCCACGTAATGAGTGTTGAGTGGCAACTCCCAGACGCCGGGGAAGGATTTTGTCGGGCAGGTGCCGGCCTTGCACTCGTGCGGGATCTTGTAGTCCAGAGTGTAGGGCCAAATGGGGGTTTTAACCGGTGAGACTCCGATACTGCTGTCGTAGATGAAACCGTAGTCCTCGATCACCCTGTACTGGGTGTTGCGGCCTGGCTTGAGATACGGAGCTCGCATGCCTATGACCTCTTGCTTGGAAACGTTACTAAAGCGTCTGAGTATTTCCCGCATACCGATCATCTCGTTCACCCACTCGTCGTAGTCCTTGTCCTCGAGTCCTTTCTGGAGACTGTAGGGGGAGCACCCGAAATGGATCATTCGTTAACGAACGTCTAAAGATGATGAAATGTTATGGGATGTGGATGTACACTCACGAAACGGTTTCCACGGCGATTTCATGGCCGTCGTGCGCTAAACTTTGAACCATGTTGTAATTACAGTACTCGTGAGAGATGAAGAAGGTACCCTTGATGGGACAACTGTTAGGGTTCAGACGACCCGAATTGAAGATTTTTTGGTAATGATCGAAGTTGTTGTGATTGATGGCTCCATCGAAGGTCAAAATGATCATCTGTGGGGTCTCGGAAGGCTTGAGACCGCCCGGGATGATGGTACCATCCCTGGAGCAGAAGCAGTAGGGCAGCTGACACTCGGACGTATCGCATCGTTCGGCAAGATCGGTTGGCTCCTCGGTTATCGGTGCCGGAGCTGCGTTCATGCAAGCATAGATAAAAGTTTAAAGCTAGCTCAATAATATATCACAGGTTCATCTTTGGATACTCACTCGTTGGGATTGGTCCGCATCGGGCTTCGTTTTTAAAGGTGCAAAACTTGCTGATGTCGTCGAAGTACAGTCCCGATGGGCAGCGGTTCAAGTACGGGTAATTGTCGACGCACTGCAATTGTCAACGTGACATTAATATAAAAAAGCTCTCGGGAGCAAAGTCGATGTACATCGTTGTCGTGCATCAACGTACCTGATAAAATCGCCTGCATGTGGCTGGATCGGCGAAATTGCCGTTGCCCTGTCCCTCTGGACATTTGAATTCCTCGAGCTTGACTTTGCTGGCCTCGTTGTTGTTGATGTACTTGTTGCCACCAGATTGCGCGTTAGCTGCGAAAATCAACATAAATTGACGTCTACATGGCAAATGTGCTCGGACACGCTTATCTTAGGCTGGCCCACGTACGGCGGCCGATTGTTTATGGGTCTATATTTATACAGGCGTCCAGGCGCACATACAAAAGAGAAATTGTTTCGAGAAAGCGCATTATAAGATCGATGGGTCCCGCACGCGCGCGACTCTTGCGCTTATTCTCGTTGAACGTATCTACGGCGCGCATCTATTCCACAACCAGCGCTCGCTGTTATTGCTATTGCTATAAATATATGTATTATGTACGTGAAAGACGAGCCGATTTGGCCGATAAACGACTTGAATTTCACTCTAAGAGATCCTTGGACGAGCTCCCCTCCCCCTACACCCACACACACGCACACACTTATACTCGCACGTACAAACATGCTAGCACAATTGCGAAAGCAAAATTATTATGACAGGCTCGAGGATCGATTTTTAGCTCGTGAGTGTATGTCGAGCAGTCTTCGAGCCCAAATTAAGGAAAAACAAAATTCAATTTTATAAATATATTTTTATAAATATAAAAAGCGGCCCCTCTCACGGTTAAACAACTTTTACCCGATTTTATTTGAAGGTCAGTCCGTGAATTTCGAAGGTTCTATTTTCACGCGCGCATTCCAGTAGACTAATTTTACATAATAATTTTTCTCAACGAAAGTTGACTCCTATAAAAATGCGTATAGACACACATGTTGGAAAGAAACCGGTATTTTATGTACGGGTGCACACGTATAGATTTGAGGAACGCCGAGCTAAGTAACAAGTTATTACATACATAGCAGCTGCCGAAGCTAAACGCCCGACAGTCCTCGCTCGGTGAAAATTGAGAATTTTTATACGAGACAAATGCCGGCTGGTGTCGAAATTTGTCAATACAATCGCTTCGAGCCATTTGGGCTCGTATGAATATTCAAAAACAAAAAAAAAGGAAAAACCGTCCAACTCATTGCCATTGCTCATACAAAGTCGTTTCGAAAATCTGCTCTTACATTGTCAGAAATGTCGATACTCCGAGGCTCGAGGTGACTTTGATTATAAAAGCTTCTTTAACGAGTGTGAGATTCGAGAGGCAGAGTGCGTAAGGCTGCGCGAGGAACCGACAACAGATAAAAGAAAGTAATTTTATAACCATATAAGGAACGAGTAAAACTTGAATTCGATGCAAATTCAACGCGAGGAAACGAGATTCTAACGAAATACTCGGTCGAATTTCAATTAAATCATGCGTATTGACGCAATTTTAGCCGATTCTTGGAAAAAATAAGAAAAATCGCTGCAGCATAATGTATGAATCGTTACAGGCGGATAGGAGACTCGGTCTTAAAAATAGACAGAGAGGCGAAAATAAAAGGAGCGCTAATCGGCGCGGATCGCGTCGATTTCGTACGTCGCACATATAATGTGCATGTGTGCGATCGTGGCGTGACAGGCTGCACGCGCGCGTCTACATAAACGAAAAATTGTAACAGTAAAGTGGAAAGTGAAGGTGCATGTTTATGGAGGAAGGTGTACGGCTATAGAGGCAAGCGTGTGCCGAGAGTATACATTTATATACACACACAAATACTGTGCAGTATATAGCGTAGGTATAAAGTATGAGCGGCCGTGCGCGTTGGATAGCTGCACGGACATATCTATCCAACGCACAAGTGCAGAAACACGCGAGCGAGCGAGCGGAGCGCGTTCGGTCTCGCTTTTTTACCTGCGCGCTCCGTCGTTGCAGCAACGACGACGAAATTACGAGAGAGAGAGAGAGAGAGAGAGAAAAAAAACGAGCAGGGCCGATCTCCTAATAAGGGCGAATGTCGACGTTTAGGCGTGTCGCGCTTTTGCTTCGACTATAAGCTCCGCTGTTATATCTGTTGGTAAACACGCAACGATTAGGATGCTTACCTGTCGAAAAGACGAGCAGCAGTGCGAGGAGGCACGGGCCAGACGACGACGAGCCGATCATCCTCGACAAGGACGACGTAGCGACGCAACACACGGCAAAGAAAAGAAAAGTCTGAGTAGAGTCGCGCTTACGACGCGCCGACTGTTATGAGAGCTGTCTCGATGGCTCTCGCTCTTTATTGCGGAGGACCACTGCTGATACTGCTGCTCTGCGAACTGGCCCCTCTAGCACTTGGGACTTGGCTCGGGACTCGGGAGAGCGAGTCCGCAGCGCAGATCGCGTATTGCGCCTTATCGGCCGCTAGACGTCGCGCCACCGCCACCACCACCGCCGCTGACCGCTGACTCGCGTAACGAGCTCGGCATTACCGATCGGTCGAGCTTCACCGGGCCCACGAGCTATCATTATCGCCAGCTTCGCTCTTTCGTCGTGGGACAACGAGGATATTATTCAATCGTTCTTCATTGACTCTTTTTTGTATTATATTTAAAAATACTTTTATTTCTCACTTCGTATTGATAACATATTGCACGTCCAGCGTGCCATCGTCACAGTTCATATTTAGCCATGACAGGTCCTTTCTTTTTCTTCTTCTTCTTCTTCGATTCCTTGTCGGAGTTTCTCGGGCCGATCTGAGAATTCGGATTGGAATAGCCGGGCTCCCTCTCGATTATCTCGAGTTCTTGACTGGCCAGATGAATTTTCTCGAGAGTCGTGTCGTCGAGCAGAAAGCGGCAACGTTCTACGAAGCCGAACGACCAGCTAATCGTCTCCGATAGTTTTTCTTTGATCTTGAAAAACAGTCGAGCCATGTCCGGCTGTTTCCACACGATTTCGGCGAACAGAGCCGCGTTTTCCAGCACATTGGAGATCGCTAAGCGAAACAATTAAACAACAATTCACAACTCGATCAATTTTAAATGTCAAACTCGATTGATTTTAAGACTCGTACGTACCATCGACGAATTCGGCATCTTCTTCGCTGGTGGCGTTCATGAAGGTCGTCCGAGTGAGTTGGTCATCGGTGACGCTGTTCAATAACAATCGCCTCGACTCAATTACCTCTATGATCGTGTCAAGTACAATGTTTACCATATTATATCGGAGCTCGTATTTGGACATTTTCTCGATGCTCTGCACGGCTTTGGCGTGCTCCTTTCTTCGCTGCACGAACAATCTCTTGTCTGCGTTATTTTTGCGTTACATCGATTAGTTAAGAAACGATTGCGTTTTCGATAATGGTAAATTTTTCATTCAATGAAAAAAGGATACACAACTTCTTATCGGCGTCCGATGCAGCGATCGATACCACCTCGTCGCTTTGACTTTTGTCATCGTTCGATTTTTCCCGCCACTCTGCACTTTCGGTTGCGCTCTCGACCTTTTCAATTTGTCGAGCTCCATTCGTCAGCTGCTGCTTCGCGACGTTCAGACCTTTTGCCACCGGTCGGGTGCTATTCGCCGCTTGGCTACTTAACACAAGGGCAGCAAATGTGAAAAAAATGAATGTGTTGAGTAACATATCCAAGCTGACCCATTCACTTTCCACCGCCCACCGAGAGTAATATCTGTCACAGTGCAATGATAACCGCTCGTCCTATTCCGTGGACAAGGGCAACAAATATGCGACGGACACCTTAAAACGAGCGATTTTTATTTTGTCTTTTGTAACTGTTTCTCACATGCACACCGTCCAATATTTACCTCACACTGCCCTAGAAGTGAGAAACTGAGAAGCGCTGTGCACTTTAGCCGGTTTAGTGGCTGATACTGTGTAAATATCACGACATCGTACCCGCGGCGCGTTCCATGTGTATAAACTTATGCTGCCATCTGGATTTTTTAGAAAAATTGTCGACGTGACTACTTGACAGTAATACACACATGCACTCTTAAATACGAAATTCGCAACGACATAGTCATTGAGAACCGAATTGATAGCTATTGATGATAAGCGCATTCGTCACGCCTATCAATTTTAATTCTGCTATTCGTTTGAATTTGGTTGTGATCTTTACTGCTGCACTGGGCACTCGCGATACTTGATCCTATTCAGACTGTAAGCTACAAAGCGCAAAATCAGCTTCGGTGTATACATGTTTATATAGTGACAGGTGTTTTGTTTCAGCTCTTATAGGTTAAAGGGCTATTTAACTGTTACAACAGTGTAATATCAAGTATGTTTAAGCCCTGACCTGCTTCAAAATTGACTGAATTTACTTCTATTTTATTAAGTACATCCAATTCATTTTCAATAGCTTAGAGTGATAATTGTTATAGATTAATTGCAGCCATGAATGACACAAGGCTTGATGTAAGTTCATTGACTTGCGTCTATTATTTGTTCATGAACAAAAGCTAATAGCTATATTTTGAACATTGCAGATGTTTGATGATGGAATGATTGCTGTTGACGCCCAAAATGTTCAAGGAGAAATGACAGTTGGGCCTTCATTGAGAAATCAAGCAACTTTAGGAGAACCTGATTTTAGCACATTAGATGAACCAATAAAAGATACTGTTGTATGTGTTTCTTTTATTTTGTTTGTCTATGAAAGTAAGCTTCTTGCAATAAAATCTCTCATCTTGTCTTTTTTAGCTTAGAGACGTAAGAGCAGTGGGTAGAAAATTCTATCATGTGTTGTATCCAAAAGAAAAGAAAAGTCTACTTAAAGAATGTAAGTTTGGATTTTAAATAATTTACTTCTTGTTTTTACATTCAGCATATGATAAATCTGTATCCTTTTTTAGGGGATCTATGGGGACCATTAGTGCTTTGCACTTTTATGGCCATGTAAGTTACATTTATTATGTCTTGATATAAAATCTTAAAATGAATTTTATTTATTTTAAATTATTATGTTAATTATTAATGCAGGATTTTGCAAGGATCCGAAGCAGCAGATAGTTCTAATGATGGTGGACCAGAATTTGCAGAAGTTTTTGTGATAGTATGGATTGGTTCAATGGTTGTTACTCTAAATAGTAAACTACTCGGTGGCAATATGTGAGTCATATAGTATTTCTTATCTAATAAACAGCAGTGTTCACTAAATTTAATTTTGGTAATTCTTTGTTGTAGATCATTTTTCCAGAGTGTTTGTGTTCTAGGTTATTGTCTGTTGCCTACAGCAGTAGCTTTAATTATTTGTCGAGTTATATTAATGATGGAACAAACTGTACTTCTATTTGTGCTAAGACTTATTATAACTTCAATAGGATTTATTTGGGCTACATATGGTAAATCTAATTGTCTTACTTAAAAATTTTACCAGTGAAAAGTATTTCATGTAACTTTACTCTTTATTTTAGCATCTATGGCATTCCTTGGTGATAGTCAACCAGCTGGACGAAAAGCTTTGGCAGTTTATCCAATATTTTTATTTTATTTTATAATATCATGGTTAGTCATATCTCATACAACATAAAGGTACATTTAAAGTTTATGATAGGCTGTACAAAAAATTAGCACAAGATTGTCACAAAAAATGCTTGTACAGAAAATTGCAGTACTAATCTTTGTACTAATAATGTATTTTAGTGCATTTCGTAAAGATTTGAATTTAAATGCTGTGATGCAATCAACTTTAGTATTTAAGTGCTGTTGATCAGTTATATGACTGGTTTGTATTATGGATATTTGAGATTGCTCTGGAAACAATAGTGACAAGTAGATTTTTTATCATATAATACTTGAACATGATGCAAAAACACACTAGAAAATCTTTTCTTTATTTTTATTAAGTTTGTACATTTTATTATAAAATTATTTTGAATGGAAATATAAGTCCTTCCAAGATTCAGCCGTATAATGAAAAAAATGGTGTGTATGTCTTCAACGAATTGTACATATATATACAACTTCAAATAGTCAATGAAAATAAATAAAAAATAAACATATATAAAACTGACTCATTATACAATTATTTACATGTAAGTAAAATATCGTTGCAATTTTTTCAAAAGACTCTTACTGTCCGCGTGTTCAGGGTAAGCATCCATGGCTTTTTGTACAGCTATGTAACTCGTTTGTAAATCTCCAGTCTGTAAAAAGGCAAATGTATCAAAATTATGTACAAGTGCAAAGGGCAACTTGTAAGTATAGAAATGATTACATTGTAAGCCAAAAGGGCGCTGTTGAAGTGCGGCTCGTAAGCAAAACTGGCTATGCTCGCAGCCGCGTGAAAGTAAACTCGGGCCTCGGCGACGTTTTGATTCTTCATCTCGAGTGCACCCAAGTTATTGAGGGCCGGTGCATGTTTGCTATCGTAGTGGATGGATAATCTCAAGCACTGGAGCGCCATTATCCAATCGCCGGCACACTGGAAGAGGGCGAGAAAAATTACAGGGGATTGCGGAGATGCAAGAGTTTGGCAGGTCGAAAGAAGCGTACAATGGCAACGTGCGAGATATTGTACCAGACATCGGCGAGGGCCTCCTCGGTAGCCAAGCTCAGTGCCCTCTCGAAGCAGGATATGGTGTGGTCGTACTGTTGGGCGTAGAAGCAGCATAGGGCCAAATTGTTGAAGAGCTCGGCGTTGTGCACGCCCATCTGCAGCAGTCTGCGATAATAGCGCACGGCTATTTCCGGCTGATCGTTATAAAAGTGGTGCAGTCCGATGCTGGCGATCGCTTCGGTGTTGGAGGCGTCTTCCTGGGCGATTATCTTGTAGTATTTGACGGACATGGTGACGTTGTTGAGGCCCTCGAAGACCCGCGCCATCTCGCAGAGTATGGACACGTCGTTGGGAAAGTAGTCGAGGGACTTTTTGCAGAGCTCGAGGGCGGCCAGCGGCTGATCCAGCCTGATGTAGACCCGCACGAGCCTCAGGACGGTCTCGATGTTTTTGGAGTCGCGCAGAGCCGACCTGAACTGCTGCTCGGCGTCTCTGGTCAGGCCGAGCATGTAGTAGCACTTGCCCAGCTGGAGCTTCCACCACCAGTCCTTGTACTGGCAGACCTGGGTGGCCTGCACCGCCAAGTCCAGCGCCTGCGAAGAGCAAAAGGTCGTCGCATCGTCGCAAAGGAAAAGCAAGGGGGGCGATCAACTTACGTAGCGCGGGTCGTTCTCGTGATGGTAAATGTACTCGAAGAGGGCCTTGGCGATGCTCGGCTGCGAGGCGTACTTGGACACGTTGAGCCGGGAGAGCTGAATGAAGGGCCCGCCGGGCTCGGTGAGCATCGAGGCCGTGCCCAGCCTGATGCTGCGAGCCCCGCTGGCCGTGATGGGCCTGCCAGCGGCTCCGGTCCTCGGGGTGCGCAGCACCTGCTCGAGGCTCTGCGAGCCGTCGATGGCCGACTGCGTGGCCGGTCTCAGGACGCCGGTGACGGGCCGTCCGGTCTGGGTCCTCGGGCGCATGGCCTGGCCCGGTAGCGCGGTCCCCGGCTGGCGCAGCGACGTGCCCGGCCTCGGCATCGAGGCTATCGTGTCGTTGTCCAGCAGCGTCTCGGCCAGGCCCTGCTCCTCGGCCTCGATGTCGTCCACGTAGACCTGCAGGGTCAGGGCGCGCATCTTGAGCAGCCAGACCGCCTGGTCGAGCGGACTCTTGCGCAGCAGCTCGCTGCAGATCTGGCAGCACTGCTCGTACTTTTTGCGCCTGAAGAGGCTCAGCGCCTGGAACAGCTCCATGCTCGTGCCGAGCTGCTCGCCGCCGCTCGACGACTGCTGCTGCTGATCGTCGACGAGCCGAGCGCCGCCGCTACCGAGCCTCTTGTCCGACATATCGCTACCCACTTACCCCAACTCTATACCTCCACGTACTTCTTTGTATGCGTATAAAACTAAACAATTACCTATAAGAAAGAAAAAGAAAGAATAGGAAACTATAGACGCGATAAGCGACGAGTCGCGAGGCTGTTTGGCGTATATCGATTGGCCCCGTGTCGCAGCTATACCTGAGCGTAGACTGACTACTGCATCGGCCATCCGTCGCTATAGCACACCCCAATGACAAACAAAGGGGCAGGTTTTCATTTACTCACTGTTTGCCTCTTTTTCGTCCTGAACAAAAACGATTTTTTGGCTAATTTTCAATTTACACCGAATTTTTCAAGTTTTTTACTTGAGAGTGTAAATAAACATACTTTGTGACAAAAAAAATAAATAAATAAAAATACATACTTGCTCATAAAATAAAACTCGTGTATTTAAACATTTCAGAACGAGTGTAACAAAAGCTTCTCTTTACGAGTGGAACTTAATGGATCATATATAATTGCCTTAATTGTATCATATTACATATTGATTGAATAAAAGAAAAAAGAAAATTGGAGTAATTAAAATTTGAAATTTGTCGATAAATTGTAATTGATTCACACTCGAAAATGTAATGTCGTCAATGGCCGGTTCTAATTTAAACATATTTGGCTTGACGCCATGCGTCTGAATAAAGTTTTTAATTTAGCTACTAGGCTCGAGTGTACATTATCGGATAATTAATTTGTTAATGACGCAACTTTGAATCATCTTTTTTCGTCAAATGTCGTCGGTTGAGGCTTGTTTCTTGAACGTCACATTTTTTATTGGCACTGGGGAATTGCGTAGTATCAGTGACGTTACCCTCGATATGTCTGTACAATCGCGAGCAGCAATTTCGTTATGAAAAAATATATATTTCTAAAGCTCGTTCACGAGATGGGGCGAAAACTTGTTGCTCGCTCGAGTGACGCTCGATACTTATCGAGAGGCGTGGGCGGCGGCAAGCGAGAAAATATATATTTCGAGTGGCGTTGGGCGCGCGAGCCGCCAACAGGTGTCCTCGACGTTGTATATGCTAGACGTGACGCGTGTGCAGCTCTACGTACTTTCCGTGCAAAATTGTAACTGTTTTTTTTCTTTTTTTTTCGTTTTGCAGATAAACAAAGCTGCATCGAGACTGTGAATGTCCATCACTCGCAGCTGTTTCAAGTGCGTGACCCCATTCGAAGCCGACGCCGCGTTCAAGCCCGGGTCTTGGTCGAGACCGCTTCCCCGTCGGCAGTCTTCAAATGTCGACTCGGACTCTGCATGAGGCTGAATAATGCCCCGACGATGTTGTTGGCTCTGTCGTACATCTCGTTGATGGTCTGCAAAAATTCAAGCCCAATTCAAATGCTTCTTATACAGATCGGCCTTTCTGAGCTATCTCGCTCTTTACCTTGGCCTCGCGCAACTTTTTCACGGCGTCGGTCTCATAGTGCAAACTATCGTACTCTTCTTTCGTGAACATGTAGCCCTCCTCTATTTCCTTGGCCAGCTCCTGTTCCTTGCGCATAGCTTCAATCTCATCCGGTTTCATAGGCACCTGCATCAAAATATTAATTGATAACATTTGTTTATTATACTTGCGTTACGTTTGTTGGTGCTCACGAACCATCGTCGGCTCTCCGTTGACTAAAATCTCTTTCATAGGTACTTCTTCGTCGACTTCGTCGGCCACTTCGGTCGGTTTCTCCGGATAAAGTAATTTGTACAACGATTTTGGAATTTTCGCCTTCTTCGGCAATCTCTGCAGGAGAATATTTAGAAGGAGCGATTGAAAATCGTGTGCTCGTCGCGCTCTTCATTCGGCTCACCTTTTTCAGGCGCTGAGCGATCACGTCCTCGCAGTAGAGGTACAGCTTGAAAAGTGGATACTCGCAGATTTCCGGCGGAGCCTCTTGCACCGGTATGAATCGGTAAAGTATCAGTTTCTTCGTACGCATCAGTTCTGCATACTGAAATGAGTATGCGTGCTCATGAAGGTGTATTTTGTAGTGCATGCAGCCACGCGTACACCCACGATTGAAATTTTATTTACAACGACAGCGAGCTTATTCAGTACGATAGAGCTCGCCATACAGTTTCGAAAGTAGGATTTTAAATTTAAAAAAAAAGCGACAGGCCAATGAAATTTCGTGCAGTATAAAATGCGAAAGTGCCCTTATTCAGCGTGACAGTTGAGTAGCAGTACACGGAGCTGGCGATTAAAATCGATGCATCGAAATGCAGTCACACGTGACGTACCTTGCGCTCCTCGATGCGGGCCTCCTGTTTGCTCTCGTAGTCCTGGCGTATCCTCGACATGAGCTTGAGCATATACTTGCGATCGGTCAGCCGAACGACGCTGCTGTTCATGAGGCCTTCCAGCCTCGACTTCACCGGACAGTACGAGAAGCTGCGAAGAGTAAACAAAAAAACAATGTCATCGCTCGGTAACACACAAATTCATCCCTTGTTCTTCATTTCCAAGCGGCGAATCAATTTTTCCACTGCACATATCAATGCATGCGTGCAATAGTTTTGTCGATAAGTTCATCATGTTGCCTACAATAAATAGCGGCAATAGCAGTCATGCGTCGACTTCTCGTTCGATCGCATACATTGCAATACTTTCGCATGCAACATTGAGCTTTACTCGAGCCAAAATGAATCGCGCCCGGAGCAAGCTTTCAGCCAGAAACCAGACATGTGCAGACTGCAAAAGCTTTGTAGGTCGCGTTTTAGCCAGGCCATTAAAAATTTTGGTCGTAAACATTTCCCAGCGGATCCCAGGCGATCGCCTTCAGGAGCGTTATTTCTTTAGGAAGGAGTCGCGTCGAGTTGAAAGTTTGATCTTTTTCCTTTTTGTCCCCGCTAAGCCTATCAGGCAATCGAATGGAAAGCAGCGAGCCGACAAGAGGCGACAATGAGCGACGGATTGATCGACAAAAAGCTCGCACAAATCTGCCTCGAAGATCGCATCGAGACGGGATGAGACACGCGCGGAAAAGTCAATCGAGCAGCTTTTTCCCCCCCGATCTTGTGAGGTCGCAACGCGTGCCCAGCTACAGCTCCATGTATATAAATGACGCCCGTCGCATAAGCGAGTCGCAGCCGCAGCCGCGGATAGGTAGCAGCTGCGCTTTGCACAATCCGACCTTGCTTTTATGCGTCGCTGCGACGCGTACGACAGGAATATATATCGAGTCCTTCCGAGGATCCGAGCTCGAGCGGCCGACCGGAGGCTCATAAATATCCGAGCGCGCATCTGTACGAGCTTGCGGGGCGAAAATTGATGAAAACCCTCTCCCGTCGATCGCTATTAAACGATAAAAACTTGGACGCGTTCGTAGCCGATGATCGTATATATGCGTGAGACTAATTGCCATTTGCTCGTGTCAACTTTTGCACGTGCAACTTTTGCAGGGTGCAGTCGACGGGGCTAATTTAAATATAACTGCCATGCGGTGGGCGTTAAATAATCGCTTTTCAGCAGCGCCGAGACGAACATTATGGAATCCCGCATGTGGAGATCTAATTGCGGAGTTTTCCCGAGAAATCGACGAGGCGTGCATAAATACTTGACCAGTCATGTTGCAATAATTTTTCAGTCGGTTGTACGTCAAGAAGGCATTGAATTTCTCATTTACAATGAGTTAGTAGAGTAACAAAAAATTCGCCGTCGCTGCAGCAGAAGCTATGATATTACAATGTTCGCGAGCTTCATGCGAAAAAAAATTCATGACTCAGAATGTCGGGCTTGTTGAATTTGCATCCAACATGTGCGTAGTTTACTTATATATATAAATGCGTTTCTTCCTTCTTTTATTTCGCTCATGCACACAGGGCCGTACGTGGGATATTGCTCGGGTTTGTCGGAGCTTTTTTTCCTCTTTCGTTTCTGCCGCTCATCCATAATTCGTCGAGTCAGAGCGAATCGATTTTTTTTATGCGCGCTTGTTGTAACTTGTATGCTCGATTGTGAGCCGCGACACATGTAGGACGATCAAGCGTGTTTAGCTTGGGAAAGGATAAAGCTTACAGTGCATTATAAAAGCTTAAAAATATGCATAGAGGACTGCGAGTTGATTCGAGAGCAGAGAAAAAAATCGAGAGCTTACACGATGATCGTCGAACTGAGGCTAGTAGGCTAAGAAGAATAGCAGAGCCTGTAATGATGGAAATCATTTAGCACTCGGCACTCGCTTTAAATAAAGACGACTACTATACGATTATTCGCTCAAAGTGAAAATAATACAGAGCGATTGGAAAATAATACAGATGCCGTGGACGGAATTACCCACGAGGACAACGCTCTGACAAAGACTACACGACTGTGACAAATAAGAAGCACGAGCCGAACTTGGATCAGCAGCTTGACAGCAGTGGGGTTGACATTATATATACAAATATGTTGGTACGCGCGCTGTCGTGCGATCCACATCGAGCAACGAGTAACGACGACAAAGCTGCACTGCACGCGCACATCCACAGCCCGTGCATATAGAGAAAGCAAAACGAATCATCTCTGCTACGAGCGGCATACCGCACAACAATTTTTACGACTGGCGCATTAGTCGCCACCGAATGCAGCTCGTCTAACGTGACGAATTTCTGCTGCGATTCGACCATGCAGATACTTGATCAAATTACTCGGTGCAATAAACGAACGCGTGATAACTCGGGAAACTTGACTTGGTCCTTTCAAGAGCTTTTGCAACATTGCGATTGAATTAATATGCAAATTGTAAAATTTACTTTAGCCCAGAGGTATATGCGTGTAAGAATTAAAATGTGTAAGGGACCGTAAACTAGCTGCCGGCGGTCTGAGGAAAATTTCAAGATATCAGGTACGCGTCGAGTATATTTATACATTATACGTTCGTAGAAGGACATCGTTAGACTCTGCCGAGGCACTCATCTTCTCGCGTGTGTATACGATTTCGCCGTTACGTTGCATTTGCCGGCGTAATTTGGCGAGCGTAACTTAATAATATGACTGTTGCGAGGCACGAAGCAGTAGCCGAAAGCCGTTGCCTTTAATTAGCTGTTTAGTTTTCGAGCTCACGCTCGCCCACGCGTTCAGCTCGTAGTTATCGGTTAATTAAAATTTCCATTTTAACCCTAACAATGTTTGACTGGAATATTTGTCGTTTATGGTTGCGAGCCGCAAAAAAAAAAGAAAACAGTTGCATCGTCTTGTCAATCTTTTGACTGACTCGCGATTCAATTGTACTTCCTTCCGTATGAATTTGATAAAAATATACGCTACGTGACTTCTTTTCAACCTGCAATGCTCTCGACTTTCCTTGAGTTCTAACGAAATTGAGATGGAAAAAATATATCCAGCCATGATTACAATTTTATTTTTTCCTGTAACTGCAAATCGTACAATTTGTGCATTAAAGTTATAGTAATCGCGAATATTAGAAAAAAATAACCAAAATTTGCTTCATTTGTTAAGCCTTGATTTAGAATCGGGAATTGGAAGACCATGGAAATAGAAATAAATAAGCAGTGCGTGGCAACGATCGAGTAGAAGTAATATTGCTTCGGGACGCATTTCGTTTTAAAGTATAGACAAGGTTTTGCCGTGAACACACGACTGCAGCTACATGACCTGCTCGGCACGATTTTCCAGGCCATAAAACTATAATAATCGTGTAAATTGAGTCTCCGGAGGAGAGCTAATATTGCTGCTTTCTCGAAACTATATAAGAGCAGTAGGAGCATCTGTCTTTCTCTCTCTGTCTCGCGCGCGCTCTCGGCATGCACGTGCAGCCAGCGGAACTTGCAACATTTTAGACAGATCGATACTAACGCGATGAATATTACATCGAGGAAAATCTCATAATGTCGTGCGTGCGCTGCGCCGTCTCTTCTCGCACGTTTGCTCATTGGAAAACGTAAGGTCTCGTCTTCTCTCCATCTACAGACAGATCGAACAACTATAAAAGGGAGAAGATGTGGCAAACGAAGCTTTCGAAGTTGTGCATTGCCGGCTGAATCGATGTTTCAAAGAGCTCGAGGAGAAAAAGAGAGTCGAGGCAAGGCCTTACCTCAAATTGAGCGTATTTCTGTAATCGACGCTCGCGACGTCGTCGTCTTTGCTGGCCTGGAGCTTGGCACTCGGCGGGCCCTGCTGCTGCAGCTCGAGCTCACGGCTCGTAATCTGCTGCTGACTCTTGGAGACGCTGTCGAGCCAATCGTCGACCTCATCGTCGAAGGGGTGTCGGCTGCTCGCCTGAGCGACCGACTCCAAGGCCACGAGCAGCTCGACCGTCGCCCAGAAGCCAATGAAGCTCATGCTTCGAGCGGCTAAATAGCAACTGCTCGCGCCGCGCCGATCGCGAGCTTAATAATAATCCTGCAGTGCTGCAGCTCGGCCTGGCACCTATCCACTCGCGCTGCACTTTATAGAGCTCGCGTCACCTGTCCATTTCGCTGCAGCTCCGCAGTCTTACCTATAGACACGGCTGCACGCGCCTTATTACTAGGCGATCTATCGTTACGACCCCCGCCCGAGGGACGAAGCGATCCCTCCTGCACGCGATCTCGACGCTTCCCAACTTTTCGACGTTTTGATTGATGCTGAAAGGATAGGATAGCTCTACTCCCGTCAAACTTACGCGTATTTTATGTGCGGCTCCTCCCACCATCTCAGCGGCTTGTCGTAAGGATCGTCCGACGGAACGAACATCATCTGTATGCGCTCGATGTCCTTGCGCGAGTTGCCGGCGTTTTTTCTCGGCTTCCAGAAGCGTATTTTGCGTCGAGCTTTTGCCTGCTGCTGCTGCTGCTGCTGCTGCTGTTGCTTGTCCTCCTTCTCGTTCTGCTCCGGCTTTACCATCGAGCTCTTTTCCGTGCCACTGCAGTCGTTTGAACTCATTTGAGATGATTTTTTATCCGTTTCGGATGGACCGAGTTGTTGTTTCGTAGCTTGCGGCTTCGTACCAGAGGTTGGAATCGACTTCCAACCTCCTCTGGTTTTGTCGCTACATCCGCAGCCCTTTGGAGGTGCTTTTATTCTTGCCATTTTTCTTTTTCTACTTTTTTTTATTATTTTTTCGCTTAAACGATTGTTTTCTTGTACATTTTCAATACTTCAATGACGAGTATTGCGTTTACTTAGAAATTTTGACAGTTCCAAAATTACTTGAAATTTTTTACAAACAACCTACACATGTTTCGTAAGTATGCAATTATACATACATGTATACATGAATGTATTTCACATTCGAATTAATAAAAACTATCCAAATTGTAACAAATTATGCATGTGTTATCATAATTTTGTATTGGTCATAATACGTGTAAAATATTCATTTACGTCAATTATTCATTTTTTGGCGCGTGCCAATGTCGGATACGAAAAATTGTCCTATACATTCTTAATATAAAATTTGTACATTCCAAGTCGAGCTTCAGCATTTTGTCACCGACTCGCCATTGATAACGACCGTATCACACAAGAGTCTTCCTTCGGTTTTGCAAAATGTTTCCCAAGCCTCGCGGTCCTCGGGCTTTTGCGGACCCCACTTGTTCGTTGGGTTCGTTCCTCTTTCGAAATTTTCCCTCCACGTGCCCTGTGTTCAAAAGTGAATTAAAATGACAAGACTCGTATCTCATTCGATGACTTCTTTGTTTACAACCTTTTTGAAAATCATGTAACACAGAGCGTAGCCAGGAATGCACAATATGCTCACTAGGCAGGAGCACCAACCGACCCCGACTGCCCAAGCTGGGTAGGGCATGCCGTTATAAGTTATTCTCGTGTTGAAAACAATCGTCGTGATGAATATAAACTGAAAATTGTATGAAAGAAAGTGTAAAAAAGCCAGATTTTGCCGGAGTTTACATCGTCTACTTACAGATAGTATTACAGGTGTGGTGTACTTCCAACAAAGTGGCCACCACCAGTGTATCTTCTCTCCAATCATGAACTCGATGTCTCGTACAAAATTTTTGCATCCTAATGAAATGACATAAAATTCAATTTGATACTTAATTTTTAATCATAAAAACTTCGTACCGTAAGTCCAGCCGACTACGATAACTTCCACAAGACATATCGATATGACGGATATGGATGCAGCGTACCAATCGAACACTTGAAGTATGTACATTCCACCCTGAAGTCAAATAAATTGAAATTGATCATAAAATGCCATTAGAAATTTCAATCAGATGTTTTTTACCATGCTCAAAATTAAATATTTTACTGCGTTCGGATTACATCAATTTTATCAAACTTATTTTATCGATATTGCGATGTATACTCGATTTTTTAAGGTATAACGATTAAGAATAATGAAAGGGTCGAAGCAACATACTAAAGACTAATGAATTAATAATAATAAAAGAATCAACGTCATAGTACATACAATAACTCGCGCATGAAGTAGTTAAATCTTACTCGAGTATATTATTCGAGTGCACTGAGTGTGACAACACACGGGTCAATTATCTGTTTCGCACATGAACTTGGAATCAACTATTCAATGAACCACGATCCAAATATTACACCAATTTCAGGTATGAGAAATCATGTTTCTCGTCGGAGTATAAAAAAGTATACAAATTCTACTCGCTTATATAAATATCACTATGAAAATTTGTATAACTAATAAATGCATTTCTTACATTGGTAACAAAAATAATGGATCCTAAGAATAAGACGAAGAGAGATCCTAAAGTGACCAGAAGTTTGTGCTTTCTTAAAGTTGGATAAGCGTCGGTGACGCTAGATATAATCGCTTCAATTTGCACAAACTGTAACAAAGAGATGATGACAATTGACAATTAAGAAGTTTTAAATAACAGTGCTTACTCACACAGCTGTCCATTCCTAAAAGGTAAAGCATAAAGAAAAAGAGAATTGACCAGAGTTGAGGAAAAGGAAGCATCGTTATGGCTTCTGGATAGGTGACAAAAGCCAAGCCTGGACCCCCCGTGGCAACGCTTGACACTGGCAATCCAGTTTTGTGAGCCATGAATCCGAGAACTGAAAAAACGACGAATCCAGCAAATATGCTCGTGCCACAGTTCAGTATAGGTACCAGTATCGAATCTCTGAAATCAAGAGAATAACATGATTGGGCTAGTTAAAAAATTAAGCTTTGAAAGTATGTACTCACAATCTATTGTTGTTACGAAAAGGGTTATAACTTGCCATATTAACGATACCACCCCAGCCAGGTCCAAGAGAAAAGAATATTTGAATAGCTGCGTCAGCCCAAACCTGTAATTTTAATGAGAACCTGGAATCAGTCACTCATTATTTTGCCTACATGATGAATTAAAAAAAAATGTCTCGAAAACTTTCTTAGCAGGCCCTATACACCCATTACAAAAGAGAAAAGTTCGGAAAAATTGATCGTCAAACTTGACGGAAGGGGAAATAGTTGTTAAAATATAAAGGTTTATAAATGAGTCTTACTTTTAAATTGAGTAATTCACTCCACTTTGGCATGATATAAAAAAGTACTCCATCCATTGCGCCAGGTAGTGTGATTCCTCTCACAAATAGCACGAAAAGTATGACGAATGGAAAAGTTGCTGTGAAGTAAACTACCTAGAAAAAATGAAAATTACTATACGAACCAATTAAAAAAGTGAGATTACGAGTCCACGAGAAATTGTCCAACCTTTCCGACAGTTTTCACTCCGTTGCAGATGCACAAGTAAATGATAATCCAGGAGATGATGTTGCATACGAAGAGTGGCCAGACAATACCGCCGATATGTTCGATGCTATCGGATATCTTCAAAATATGATTGCTGCAAGAAGAGCGAAATTTTCTCAATTTGATTGGAAATTCGGCTAATTACTTGGTTGAATTTTATACTTACTGAAAAAACTCATCCGCGGGTGTCTTCGTTTTGGCAATGAGATTCATCTGGCTGGTGACATTTTTTTCTAGTTGCGTTACACCTCCTAACTGTAACTCATCTTTAGCTTCACTGATAGAAGATGGAAAAATGAAAAAAATGTACCTTCAAGCAGTGATCAGTATTCCAAGGATTATCGCAATCTTCCCAAGGTAAGGTTTTTCTCAGTGACATTACAATGAAGAGAATAGGATAAGCTATGATGACGTTGTAATACATCGTGCAGATGACATTGACGATGACGATCGCAAATCCAGCGCCTATACCACAAAAGAATAGCTTATAGAGCAACTACGATCCGCTAATTCGAAGATTGATTCGTACCTTTGAACAGAGGACTCATGCGGAACATCGTTATACAACCGGTACTGCCGAATTGTCCCATTGAAGATTCCATGAAGAAAAGTGGGATGCCACATAGGAATAACATGAGCAGGTAAGGTACCAAAAATGCTCCTGGCAAAATATATTCATTACAGTAATTTGTGTTTCCTTATTTGCTTTACTGTTTGGAAAGATTGAATTGTATTTTTACTCGGCATTTTGGCTTAAAGCCAACACATATAAGCCAGCCACTAATGCCAGCGATTTATACAAGTCTATGTGAGCTTAGACGCAGGTACCACATAAATGATGTACACGTCGTCAGACTATAGTCGAACGATCGAAGCGAAAATTGCACAAAGAGTAAATCTCATGTAAGTAGTTTGCATGTGTGTGCATTCGCGATTTGTATTCACAACGCAGGCTTTGGAAACTGAAAGTCAAAGTTTTGCAAGACTTTTTCATGGAACTGCGGATTTAATTTTTTTTCCGCTGCATGCGAGTAAAAAAGTTTTTTCTATCGTTCTTGGAGCTACACGTGCGCTTTCAATAAAATTTTTTAAATATCATTTCGTATTAACATTGCGTTTTCTAATCACTTAATAATGTTATTTTTTATCGAACTTGAAATGAATTTGAAGTCCCAACTTACCCCCTCCGTTTCTGTAGCATAAATAGGGAAATCTCCAGACGTTGCCGATGCCGATAGCGTAACCAGCGCACGAGAGAAGAAATTCGGTTTTACTGGCCCAGGAGCCGCGATCCGGCTGTTTCTTCGAGCCACTACTCGTGCCACTGTCCTTCCTCGGTGCAAGCGACGACGGGCCATCGACGAGTATCGCCGCTTTGAGCTCATTGCGTGCCATTTCAGCGAGCCTGGAAGATCATTTTGTAAGAGGCAAACAACACAAAAGCCATGGAATTTTTATGAGGTTGCATGAAAGGTACTGCATGTGCTCGAGAATGGCAACGCGACAATGCAACTTAACAGGTTCTCGCTGGATTCATGCAGTGCGCGAGTCTATTCTTCCGCAGCTACGCACAAGTAGCTACACAATTTGCACGATCTCATACACAAGAATAATCTCTTCGTTGTGTGCCGCAGTAAAATGCCAAAAGAAAACCCGAACAAAGTATTTGCCAAAACTTTAAGTGTCTCAGAAATATGGCAAAATAGATGACGTAGGATCGATCATCTGTTTGAGTGTAATTTTCATTGAGCAAGAGGCTTGAAAACTATTGAATGAATCGAAACGTGGCGCGATAGGACAAGTTACTCGAGACCTTGAATGTCGATTGGCGCTGCAACCTGTCGCTCGTCCAAGCGCACGTATATGCTAACGATCGCACGCGGAAGCAGTGCGAGCTCGTGTCGGACGAAGAAAATTAGCAAGTGGGAGCGGGGAAAGCTTACCTGGTGAAAGATGCTGCGAGGATCGGTAGGGAGGTGCTGCGCCGGTGACCGATTGCAAGGAATCGTCGCGGGCCTATCGACGTCCAACCGCATCCAGGTATCAGTCGTCGAAATCAGCCAGCTGGCCGTTTAACGCGACGTCGGCGTATCGCGATCCGCTGCCTTGGGCGCACTGCGACACAGCTCGCTGCGGGCCCTTCTTGCGATCGCTGCAATTGCACGCGTTCCATCGCTCCTCCTCGCTCCTCAATCGCTATTTCTGCGACGTGATATACGACGACGATGGCTGCGGAGCTTTTTCAAGCCTCGCACTCGTTAAAGCTCTACGTACACCTTTGTCTGTGTGTGTGTGTGTGTGTGTGTGTGTGTGTGTGTGTGTGTGTGGCTACTCGTAACTCGATCGACGCTCACAAAAGAAACCCACACACTTGCCCGACTCACACACATGTACGCGCTCTCGAGCATAACGATGCAAATCTCTCGCTCTCGACATCTCGCTCGCTCTGCGATCCGCACATGCATAAGCGCCCACACGCTAAATAGGACACGATGGCTAAATAGCGATGATTAGCCCTAATCCACATGCCTCTCGCAGCACGTGAAACTTCGGACGCGTCAGAGCACGAGTAGCTATCGACGGGCTCACAGGTACGACCATCGACGCTCCTGCATATCCCAATGAAAAAAGCTCCGATTTTCCGTATCGAGAGCTTGCAGTTGGCCAAAAGTACAAGTCGCTTATATTATACAAAATATATCTTCGTACATTGTCCTTTAGTCACGCCAATAGTCGTGTCGACGTAAGGACCTTTTGGAGCCGAGCCTGCATGTATCGTGGCCATGTGCGTTATTCAGGGAGCGGCTCGCTATTTACAACTAAATCTAACATTCACTGGCTGCCAGTATACTTTATTATTTCCGTCGTCTGCAGGCTGCCACCGCGCGTTGTCTTCTAGCGTTTCCTCTTCGTGTGCGTCTACGCAATAACACCTCCCTCTCTGACCGCCTCTGCCCATTGTCATAATATTCCATATCGCGTATTCGACGCTTTACCATTACTTATCCCTGTTGTCCCTACGCATACGATTGCTCTGACGCGCTGACAACTCAATTTGTTTCTCCGTCCCGATATATGTTACAAAATTTCCACTCACACTTCATAACAATATCATTAACGGCTCTTGTCGCAAGAACAACCTTTAATTTTTTCTATCTGTGACGATAAATAATCTCAAATATTTACATCTTACTCTTAATTTTAAAAATTTCCGAAAATTCGGATCCAATTTTCTATGAAGATGCCAAAGACACCATAAAAATGAATATTTTCGAGGATACATTCCAATGTTTCCACCATATATTTTTCTAAAAAGTCATCTGAACATTCAGAAAACAGCAAAATCAAGACATTTAAGAAACGTTTTAGAAAAATATCAAATGGCGATCTAAGAAAACATTATTAAACATTTTAATTTTTACACTAGCTACTTTCTAATATGATCTATATTTATAAGAAACTAAGACATATCCTGATTGAAAAATGTTCTATTCAAGTTAATATAAAAAATATTGACTGCGATACAACTTTCCTAGAAAAATAACTTAAAAATCACACAAAATATGTAAATATTTGGGCACACCCACATTATAGTCTATGTCAAGAGTAAATAAAAAAATGAACCCTATGTGGCAACGTTACTCTAAGAACTTGGAGCAGATAATTTTTTTTGTCTATTATCACCTCTTGACACGCTGATGGTCCCAGGACACGCTAAGCTATATATTTTTACTGAAATAATGAATGAAAGAGAGAATGAAAATCAAAGTATCACAAGTCCCTACTGGTACAAACATTTGTTGAAACGCTTTTTAATACGTCGTCAAAGTAATTGAACAAATGAAATTCTGCAAGACAAAAGTCACAAAGTCGTAAATGTTTCATGATTTTTAGGGCTGATTGCACGAGAAAAGCTCGATGAAAAAAAAACAGCTGCAGATATTTGTGTGTCAGTCTTTTTACGCGAGCTTGCAATTGCACGATAGCCGAGAAAAGTCGCTATAAGCTGTGCAACGCATACACAGAGCTGTCGAGGACACCTGTTGACTCGCCTCGAAATATGGTGCGCGCCCACGCCTTTTGTTCCGGTCGAATAAATACGTCGGCTAGCTGCGTGTCGGGGCTCGCAGCAGTGGCATTATTAAATCACGTCGGATCCAGAGCAGTTGCATAGCCGATCGCCGCAGAGAAAGAGGGAGGGAGCTGCAGTCTGCAATTACACAGCCGAGTGAGTTGACCAGGCACGCGCTCGCATGCTGCAGGTGTGTGTACGCATGGACCAACGTGTAGCAATTGGCACGATCGAGCAAAGCCACAAGCCTCAAAGGGGACTCGAGAGATCGATTTTTTTATTTTTCCATTTTGTCACATGTATCCTTATCTATAGGCGCGCGATTGACGCAATCGTTGGCGTGAATCATTTGCGCACATGTGACACGTCGCGCCAAGCCATAGTCCTCGACGTCGTGCTCGACGCGTTATCCCGCGTTACGTACTATACGATACCCAAACTCTCGGATGGCTCGGAAAACAGCGACGATCCCATCGGCTCGAGGATTCGTAAATTTCGCGATGTTGCGTGGGCGACGGGCGCGGAGAACGCTTCGCCCCTCACGCACTCGCGTCGACACGCGCTATCTACCTACCTACCTACCTACCACCCCGATCTTTGAAGCTGCGCAGCAGCATCTACCTACCTGCCTGCCTGTCTACCCATACACAGATACGTACTTGGGGGATTGGACGTACGCGCGACATCCAGCCGACGCAACTCGACTCGAGCCTATATAAAGCTGCGCCCCGAGTCCTGCCCTCTCATTTGAAAAGCCATCGGCTCGACTGCGCATCGTCGAGGGCTTCCGATCGCGATTGCAAAGCCTACCTTAGCAGCCTCATCCGATTCCAACGACGTAACGAGTGCTCGTGATAACTTTGAACGTGACCAGTGCCTCGCTTTTTTCTTACCTACTTATTGCTGTGTAGTTGCTCGACGCCTTTGCAATTGCCCTGCTGAGCAGATTGACCGACAATTTGTTATCGACTCGAGTCTGGCCAATACTGCGCTAGCCCGACTCGCATCGTATTCATCCCAGGCGTCTTTTTCCTCTTCTTCTTTGTGCGCTCTAGCTATCGAGACACCATCAAAAAAGTAAGTTTGAATCTCACGTCTATTTTGGTCAATATCATTAGCCAGAAAAAAGTGAATTACGATCGCTCGATCGATCAGCCGAATAATCAATCGATATCGTATCGTTTAATCATGTCACCGAGTGATAAGCGGCACGCGGAGCTTGCGTCGAAATCGAGTCGTTACACGTATATACAGAGAAACTTTCCTACGAGTCGCACGAGACTCGCAAAAAGTTTCGCTCCTTTGCTATATATATTCGATAGTATTTCCAACTGGCGCTAGATGCAACACTAGTAGTGGTTAATTAGAGCTTAATTAGAGCTTTTTACGAGTTTCTGTAGTTTCTCGATCTAGAGACTCGGATGCCTGAGCCGCTCATATATCATTTCTACGTCATACCAACGGATTGCCCTGTCAATTATTGTCACCCTTAATACAGTAAATGCCTCCTTGTTTCAAACTAAAGAGAATTTTTTACACGCGCAACTATTAAATTATCTTGAGTCAATTACCTTCTCTTATTTGTTTATTATTCCGAAGGCGTTGGAACAATCGTTGCAGTTCGTTATGATGCTGGGGTGAAAAATTTTATAGTCTCGCCATTGGGTAGCCTTGCAGCCCTCGCGTGATATATCGCAGTCTAATTATCATTTAATATACATCTCTCGCGACGATGCATTTCGTGTGCGACCTTAGGGCTTTGATTCGCTGCCACTGCTGCTACACACATATATAATATATTCGTGACTTGCACAAATTGCTAAAAGCATAAATCTTCAAGTGAATTCGTCGAGCTAAAGTGCCTATCCGCGTCAATAATTTCCGTACTTCTGGGACAAAAACTTGCCACTTTCACGGGAGCGAGATTCTCTCTCTGCCGTGAGACGAAAAGGAAATTGATATAAAGGATTAATGGACTTGAAGAAGTTTATGATGCGATGGCTACCAAACTGTGCGCTTACACTCGATTTAAAATTTATGTACATAGTCACGAATTGTGTGACAAGAAGCAAACTCTATTTTAAAGAAAAATAACAATGTCTCTGACAAGTTGTGAAATTCATATCTGTTTAGATGCAGCGATTCCTCTTGTGCTTTGTTGTATTGTTAAAAATTGGCAATTTGATGACCGAGTCTGTGGGTTTGAAGGCCGATAACAAAATGGACATGTACCTGGCAGCAAACGAAAATTCGTATTTTAGAGATCCGTCGCAGCTTCGCACGGAGCTGGCCAATTTTCAACCCGCATGGGATAAGCTAGCTTCGAGGAATCTTGTTCGCGACGAATCTGATTTGAACAATTACAAGTGGTACAACATTGAAGCAGCTGGTAAGTCACAAGTACGGCCTGACTTGCAAAGTTTCAAAGAGCGAAAAATATTTACTATTAATGGGTTAATTTTTATTTTTAGAATTTGGTAAATAATTTTTAAAAAAGCTTAAAGAGAAAATTAACATTTTTTTAAGTATAAAATTTGCTACGAATGGCTCATTTTCCTCTCTTCCAACTAAAAGCAGAAGAAAAAATGAACTTTTATCCATGTTTGAAACTTTCATACATTTTTTTTTCGTGTATATTATATGCGTTGTAAAGACTACGCATTTCCATCTAAATCCTTGAATTCATTACAAATGTTGCACGTGGGAGATCAAGCAAAAAAAACATCTACGCACTACATTATAATAAGTAAGATAGAACTTGGAGCTTATATAGCTGGTAAATGAAACTTGACTAACTAACTTGACAAGATTTGTCGTCGCGTGTGCGTAAAATATCGAAATAATTCCAATTAAATTATAGTTGTTAGCCTGTTAATGGCAGGAAATGCTAATATCGATTTTAAAGTAGTTCAAATTAGCGGACTTTAGTAAGTTTAACGCGATATGTTTACTCTACCCTTTAGATAGTCAATTGAAATTAGAAAATGACCCCGACGAAGCGGAAATTGCGCGTTTCTCCGACGTCATGCTGAGGCTGATTCTGCAGCCCGGGCCTTGGGATCCGCCGCTCGTGATTATCGACGGACCCTCGGACGGTTCCAACGCCAAGGGCCCGATCGACGAGTCGGACGATTTGCCAAGAATCGACAAGAGGTCCCGCTACTACAGACCTTATCCCTGGACCAATAAGAGGCAAAATTCCAGGTAGGAACGACGTACACGCTCATTCGAAAATAAAACTCTCGACAGATGCTCAGCAAATAATTTCTTGTTCTCGATAAAGGTCTTACCACAGGAGCGGCGATTACGACCCTTACAATCCGTGCACGCCGACGCGCCACGACGTGTTCCAGCTGCTCGTCGCGCTGCACGACGCGCAAAAGGGCAACAAGTCGCGCCTGGTCAACATCTGCAATCGCCGAAGACCAGCCAGCGATATCTACACCAACATACGCTTCCTCGGCAGGAAAAAATAAGCCGCTTCGGCGTCGGGGACAGTGGACGGAACGGACGCACGACGGCCAATAACGAGTTTGTTTTTCTCTTCGTTCGAGCTGAGCTTCCAGCGTGGAAAGGATCGGAACAAAAAGTGCACAACTGCTGCTGGCTCGGAGCGGCCCCCGAACAAAGTGTATAATGCCCATGTAACTTTGTAATTTTAAGAAAAATATCTTCCATCGCACATAGACACACACACATTCACCTCTGAACACTCCGAATGATAAGAAAATATCTATGTCTGGAACAGTGTAGGCTTTCTCAGCTTCATCGTGTGGCTCTTTGGATATCGACTATCTGTCGTAATGCAAAATTTACGTTTCTAATTGCGTAACTCTTTATTGACAAGTGACAAATGCTAATACTTGGAACATGTACCTATACTCACCATAGTACGATGATACGTAAACATGTGTGTATAAGTGTGGATAATGTACTTCGGAGAAAGATCGTAAAATCCACTCAAGGCCTCTGCGTTTTAAATCATTTTTACCGACTATTGTTGTTTCTAAAAACCTTAAATCAATATAAACAAGAAGTAGGTAAATGTTATAAATTTATCTTGCACAGTCGAGTAAATAGAAAATTATTTTGAATTTTGAGACGAAAGCGCCACACATACACGGATTTAGCTGAAAATTTATCAAAATTTCGCAAGGATGCTGAGATATACAATATTATATGTAAAGGGGATCATTATACGTTGTGCAAAAAAGTTGAATGCTCGAATAAGTGTTAAATGTTATTTACGCATAATTATGTACTTGTTACAGAAAACGAAATACATTTCCTATTATGCATCTCGTCGTCCAAGTGTGCTTTTAGTCTGTTCGTTTAGACAAACCATCTTAAAAGTAAACAATAAAATATCATGAAAGGTTGAAAAACGTCTCCAAGTCGTGTTGCTATATACCTTAGCCGTGCCAATCACAGCGCAATCCATATTTATTTTACTAGCGTTATGCATTGCATAAGGCTGAAAATGCGATCCGTGGACGTCCAAGACTCGCGGACTTTACAGCTCGCAGTTTACAGCGCGTCTAGCGTGGGAATCGGTCGAACGAAATTTTTTAACGACGACAAACCGTGTATACGATGTTTGCGCTCGTCGAAACACTATACGCGGCCAGCGATAATGCGAGAGTTTCGAAGCTTGACGACGACTGCGGTGGCTATACGGTGACAATATAACATAATACCATAAAGTAAAATTACAAAGCCCGGCACACGCATGGCGCGAACAAACAGAGAATTAGCTAAATTCATTTTTAGCCTACTTCCTGAAAGGCTCGCGTCCTGTCGCGATCGCAAAACAAGTCCTCGCTGCGATATTGTAATTCACCATAGAGCACTTTCACGAGATAACCAAACGACCTTGGCAATTCTCGGCCCGAACAAAACAAAATAGAACAAAAACGGAGTCTGGCCGCGCTTCCACGTGTGAGTAACTCTGTGTTATTTTTTTTAGCACGAAACTGACATTTCGAGTAGATTTAGGCGCTTCCAAGGCGTGATAGCTAACTGGTTGCATAACCAAGAAAGCGAGAGTAACCTCAGATACGATTGTTCGTGACTCCTTGACAGATTCATGACCCCATGAAAACAAACACTTCCGAAGCCACGATCCTACGAGTCGGAAACAGGACGCGTTGTCAAAAATGTCACGGCAAATCTTGGAAATAATGATAAAAATTCTGCTCATCGCTCTGGTATTCGTTCTGTGTAACGCCTTGGCCTGTCGGCTCGTCTACGCCATAATGTGGATATTGCTGCTGCTGCTCGGCTCGAAATTGCTCTTTGAAAACGTCCTGCCCTAACCGACCGCATACCGAAGGAGATACTTTTCGCGGACCTCGACTGCCATCGCAACTCTGTGAGATGTTTAATAAATATATCTTAGGAAAATTATTTCTTTCGAAGAATTGATTTGTTTGTAATAGTTTTCTTTTTATTATTAAAAATAACAATGGCTTAGAGAATACAAGTCTAGGTGCTAGAGATATACACATGCAAATGGATAAATAATACATATGGACGAGATTCAACAACGATTCAAAAACATATAATTATCTAACTAAACTTATGGCAAGTGCTACAAGTCCAAGTGTGTTCACCGCTTACATTGATCGTGGCCATCGGGCTGGCAAGGCTGTTCCGGCTGTTCCGTCTGGGCCGCTTCGATCTCTTCGCCGACGGTAGCTTTTCTGCTATCGGGCGAGAGATAAGCCCCGGAATTGCCATATGCGGACCAGTTGTTATTGTAGTTGTTGTAGCCGTAATTGGGGGCACAAGTGAGCCGTTTGAGCACAGCCTCCCTGGAAGCGGCGGCCCAGTCTATGAAGACGCGGCTCTGACAGGTGCCCTCGAAGAATCGCTTCTGCATCCTGGCCAAGCCCGCGGGCAAGTTGAAGGCGACGCTCGGCTTTTTGTACTCGTAGCCGAAGAAGCTGCGTCGGCTCCTCGACTTGGACTCGCTCGGCGCGTCCAGTTGGACGGTGGCATTTCGATCCGAGCGCTTCTGCAGGTAGTCGTTGCCCTGAGGGTAGATAGAGGGGTAAGCTTGCTCGTAGCCCGGATATCCGGGTTGCTGCTGCTGCTGCTGAGCGTAGCCGCAGGGCTCCTGCGAGACGTCGATGAGGAAGCCCGAGTATTTACTCCTGGACTGGTGGCTCGATTGGACGAGCGAGATGCTCTTGCCGGTGAACTCGTTGAAGGGCAGCAGGAAGCTCTGGCCGGTCCTGCAGCCGCAGTAGCGTCGCCCGTCGATCTCCACGTAGCCCGACTGGCAGAAGGGATCGGTGTCGGCGCCAAAGTTGAAGTAGCGGAAGCTCAAGCGGAGCCGGCACACGTCCTGGCCGGCCTTGGGGATGAAGTAGCGGCAGCTGTGGCCGCCGTACATGCCGTTCGAGCCTGCCCCGAAGCCCGGGCTGACGATCGATATGCGCCGACCCTGGGCTACTCTGCAGCACTGCTCGCTGCCGATCAGCTGCTGTTGGCCGTTGTAGACCCCGTTGTAGGCTCCGTTGTAGACTCCGTTGTAGACTCCGTTGAAGCCTCCGTTGTAGTTTGTCCCAACGTATTCCTGGCCTACGTTACCGCTTGGGATCGACGACTCGGGATTGTCCAAGTTACTGCTACCGTAGCCTCCACCGTAGCTGCTGCCGTAGTTGTTGTTGTTGTTGTGGTTGTAGTTGCCACCACTGTAGCTATTACCATAGCCATTGGAGTAGTCGTTGGGGTAGCCGTTCGAGTAGCCGTTTGAGTAATCGTTGGGTCGATTGCCGTAGTTGCCGAGCAAAGAATTACTCAAGCCATTGGTTTGGTAGCTGTAAGAGTAGGAAGACGGCAAGTAGGAATTTCCACTGGACGAGGCGCCGTTGTAGCCAGCTTGGTTACTGTTGAGCAGGCCAAAACGGGGGTCGTAGATGACTCCGGAGCCGGAGCCTCGTTGGCCATAGCCACCAGCCAGCGCCGACGTCCTGTAGTTGGAGCCCGGGTAGAGCTTGGAGTCGTAGTCGAGCAGGCCCGACTGCGAATTGCCGTAGACCGTCGAGATGGACTTTTGCGAGGGCAGAGGCCTCCTGTCGGACGTCGCGGCGAGCTGTCGGCTCGAGGCTGCCTTAGTCGCAGGATCGTCGCTCGTCTTTTCCTCTTTCGGCGGCAGGAACAGGTAGGAAGTGATTTTCGAGCCGCCCTGACTCGTGCCCGATGGCGAGTCGTCGTTGAAGTTGATCTGGTGACGATAGACCGTAGGACGCTCGGAGCTCGTCATGGCGAAGCTCGTCAGGCCGTCGACGGCGTTGCCGAGTTGGGCCAAGCCCAAGCTGGGGTTGTACTGACTGCCTCCGCGGGTCTCGCGTCTCTCGTACAAGCTTTTGGCCGATCGATTGTCCTGTTGCGGCTCCATCGGCTCCGTGAGCTTGCTCTCGTGCGAGCTGCATTCAAAAACGCGCACTAGTAAAACGATGCACTTTTTTTTTAGAAAAAAAATCTTAGAAAATACTCACGGGTTATTCATCGGAGCGAGCTTGCAGGGCATCGAGGTGACGAGGATCTTGAAGCCGTTGGAGGCTCGCTCGGAGTGATAATTGAGCTTCAAGGCGCCATTCTTAGCGGTGAACTTGCGCAGACCGGTTGTCCTGCCGCAATAAATGTTTTTGTCGCCGACTTGCAGATAATCGCGTCGGCAGTTCTCCGAGGTGGCCAGCTCAAAGTCGAGGAACTGCAGATGGAACTGGGGCTCGCACCGGTCACCGTTGATCGCGGCCTCGGCCGACTGCAACTCGTACTCGCAGTCGAGGGCGCCAGGGTAGGCGGGCGCCGAAATGGTGTACTGGTAGCCGCGGTGGATGCCGCCGCAAACGTCGTTGGCCGCCTGGCAGAGGCACAGCAGGCCGCAGCAGAGCAGCGCCAGCAGCAGCAGCTTCATTTTTTCGTTCGTTCGAAGCGGCAGCGAGCTCCTGATCGGGAAGAAGGTTTCGGAAGCGCGCGCGCGACTGCACAGCGAGGACTGAGTGCTTGGCCGGCGGAGCGCGGCTCTTTTAAAGCCAGCGGCGCACTCGAGCGAGTAGGCGAATTTCGCAGGTATAAGCTCTGGGAGCGCACGCCCATCGCCGAGCGCGACCACGGGTATAGGTTTGTTTGGTTTGTTTGACTAGCGAGCGGATCGCAGGCGCGCGCGAGAGCAAAGATCGACGAAAGAGAAAACGAGGAAGCTGGCCGAGGAACTGGCCCGCCTATAGCGAGTACGAGCCAGGATGTGTGCTATAGAAATGCCGATGGCGCGCGGAAACTAATCTTTCCCATTCTCGCGTACGTCTCTGTGGCCTGTGCATTCGGTGGCCGGCTCGTCAGTCGCGTATGATTCATCCGAGAGGCGCGAGCGGTAATTTCACCTTTTTTTCTTCGCACTTACACTTGGCCGGCACAGAGCTCTTTATCTTCTCGAGATGCGCGATGCTAAAAACGCCTCGCGCGCTCCTTTCGCAATTCTTGCCGAGAGCTGCCTACACATGCGTAATACATAATACAAAATCCACATGCAAGTGCTCGCTTTGTATACTGCGAGAGCAGCAGAAGCGACGGCGCAGGTGTGTATGTGACATACTTATTCCTATTGATATCGAGGAGACTTTGTTGGGGCCGAGCCGAGATTCGCCCGTATTTTTTTTAATATATACAGCGACGCCCCCCGACTATATAATAGTTACTACACGAGTGTAAGTGTAAGTCGAGCAGGACAATGACCAATTTACTCGCACTTGTATTCTCTTTCCCTGCCAAGGCCAGTGCGCCAGCTAAGTGTGACTCCGTGTAATGGCGAATTATGTCACGTCGCGCAGGCCTTATGCAATATCGCGTCGAGCTCGTTGAACCTCTTCGCTCGTATGACGTATACCATTAGTGCACCAAGACATATTGTACAAACGTGTAACAAGGGAAGTAGTTTTATTGGTACAAAGAATCACAGTTTTACATTAGTAATGAGGAAGATACTAAGCTACTCGAGTCGCTTTATACGCCGATTGAGCAATACTGAGACGTTGTGTTGCGCACTTTGTTCGTTTTAGCGTCAGAGCTTGGAGCTCGTCAGGGGCTGCTTCCGATTGAGCTGGGCGTAGATGACGCCCGACGGGTTGTCCTGGGGCACGTAGACGTCTCGGTCTTGGTCGCCGCTCAGCGACTCGACGAGCCTCGGGAATTTGCTAAAGTCGAAGGGAAAGTAGTGCTTGTTGGGCATCTTCATCTCGATGCTGCTGATCTGGCGGACCTTGGCGAGGACGCTGCGCTCGGCCAGGTAGAGGGTGTTCTGGACGCTCGACGAGTAGACGCCCGTCTCGGCGGGCCCGGCGAACTCCTCGACTATGCACTGGCGCACGATCCGGCAGACCCGGTCAAAGTCCACGTCCAGGTGGGTGGAGAAGCACCAGCTGGCCGTGACGATCGTGCTGAAGATCCGATCGTTGGCGTCGGCCAGCGTGCGGTAGTCGTCCTGCACAAAGTCCGCGAACGAGCTCTGGGTCGTCTTCAGCAGTCTCAGGCCCTTGAGGCCGCCGCGGATGGCGGGCGGCTCGGCCCGCCTCTGGCTCACCTGGCAGAAGCGGCTCGCGTCCGGCGTCATGACGAACGCGTGGCTGTGCTGGGCCGAGCCGATCCGCTGCCGGCTCCAGGGGTACTCCTCGATCTTGACGTTCACCTCGTCCACTTGGGGGTACTGCTCGAGGAAGTGACCCGTCAGCAGCATGGCGAAGCCCTCGGGCGAGCTCACCCCGTGCCGCTTGGCCAGTATGTAGATGGTGTTCTTCTGGCTGTCGGTGGCGATCACCTGCCGGTTGTCCCCGTACTTGTAGTCGTTCTGGCTGCTCAGGTGCAGGTAGATGTCGATCTCGTACTCGCGTATCTCGTGGCGCAGCTTGTCGTGGCGCCTCACGTGCAGCAGCTTTACGCTGCTCTTACCGTATCCGTACTGTCCGAGCTCAAAGTCGTCCCTTCGAATGCAATCAAAATTCCATTACGCTCTCGAATTTTAATTTTACCGAGTCAACTCGTGATTTTTACTATCTATTTTTACTGTGCGGCCTATGCAAATAATACCGAGTTTCGGCTAATTATTGAAAATCGTTGCGCGCGAGATAAGGCGAGAAAGTGGACGCGCGACGAAAACGAAAGGCGAAAGTCGACGTACCTTTTGTCGTGGCCTGAGATAAGATTTCGCCGGATCCGAGGCTTGTCCATCACCGAGAGCGAGTAAGCGTCCGAGAGCCATCCCAAGCCGCTGCTGCCGCTCGCATTGTTCTGCAAAAACAGAGCATTCGTACCGGACGGGAGTCAATATTTATGAATGATGCGTTGACGGGTCGAAGGCGCGGTGCCAAATTACTTGCCACTTACTTGCAGAGTCCGATTCATCGTTGCGAATGGAGCGTATGGACGCGTGCAAATTAGCGACGTACAAATCCGCCGAGTCTCGCGGCTTTATTATCTCGACGCTCGGCGTCTAGCATTAATTTATACATAGAGGGTGAGCGCACTCGCCGCGTCACGTGACAATTCATCGCGACTCGAGTTGTCTGGCGCTGATATGGTATTAAATACGCACTTATCGCGAGCGATTTTTGCCAATGGCTAATAAATGTTATTCTCCTTTTTTCCGGGGCAATGACGATCGTCGATCGCGCGCGAAATCTGCCATCCTAGCTGCGGCGTGTTTTTCGGCATAGAAAAACTCGAGCGCTAGCATAAACTCGCGCTTCGGGGGGTATAGATTCTCGACTGCCTCGACTCGACTGCGCAGCAAGAGAGACGAGCCGCTTTTTAATTCCATCCTATTTGACTATTTGCCGGCTCCGTATCGGCTTCATCGATCGCAAGCCTATTCCAACGTAGAGCGGACTGTTTTTTATTTTATTTTTCAACTCCTCGAATCGATGCAGGCGCGAAAACACTGCGTCAAATGCACATCTCGCTCGCTATAGTGAGCGATGATAGTCGTACGTTAGCGCATTTTTACCAAGCTTTACTGTTCATCGTCGATTTGCGCTGAGCTTGCGTTTCCTGCATGTACAATACATCGATAAAATAATCAGCGTCGAGCCTATGTCCCGTGCATATCGCGACTTTTCCATATCGTCTTACTTTATTTAAAGCAGTGAAACAAAGACAATTTGACATTTCTGAAGAAAGGGTTAGAACATGTCACTATTCGTTTAAAACAAACTTTTTTGCTGAATTTAATAGTCAAGATTTTAATTCAATTTGAATTCTATGAGGTTTTTCAACTATGCGTTCATAATATTAAAATACAAAAATCCAAATTTCTATTAATGATGATATCATTTTATTTTTGATCATTTAATTGGAATCAACATAATCTATAACGTAATGATGCATTTAATTGCCTTGTTTTCTTTCAATTCTTTCTCACGCCTAAATTATCTTCTATTTATATTTCAAACTTAATTACTTCTATATGTGATAATGAATCTATAATATATCCAGAATTGTAAATTTTACATGAACTTTTTTAATAAATACTATCAAGGTCATAGCATGTAAAATTATAAAGTTTTTAATTCATGAATCAACATTAGAAGTTTAGATCGACGTTGCACGATCAAATAATAATTGAGCCAACATTTTTATATACATACGATTAAGTCAGAAACTGACCAAGTATTAATTTTCAAACGCTTCACGTTTGATTGACCACGGCTTAACGAGGAGTTTAACAATGAATTTTACTATATGGGCGTTGATTGGATTGAATATTAATTTTACTGCAGTTCTGGACGTTAAAGAAAAGATCATTTCAATGAATTTATGTAAGAATTATTTTTTGAACTGTAACAATTACTTTGCGTTGGACCCAAGTTTTAATGTCAAGAAAATAATTGAATGAATCGTAGAGCGTACATTAAATATTCTTCGAATAAATTATATTATGTTATATAATGCAAAAGTGCACATATCCTCGTTTATTAAATGTAATGTCTCATCATGCGTGCGATTTTATCAAATGCGCAAGGTTTAATTTTTGTCTGTTATTTGCAATGATTGATGAGTTCATGTTGTTATATACAAATTAAAAAGTAAATTAATTAATTAAGTATAGAAAATTATAAATTTCGTACGTGTGTATTTTTGTAAAGATAAAGATACTACGCTGATATAATATTTAAAGAATTATCATATCAGTTTATAGGATAAAAAATGTAAATAAGAAAGTTACAATGTAGCGTGAAAGTCAAAAGTAAATAAAAACTCGACGAAAAATGGCAATAAGAAACATTTTGCATACGTAGATAATTCCCGGGTAAGTGTTCATTTTCAATTTGTCTAATATTAGAACAAAAAATTCAGAAATAAGCAATTCGGATAATTACCGCTAAAACGTCCAATTTACAAATTATTATTTTATCATAATTTTTGTTTTGTAAAATGCTTTTAATTATGAATTGCATTTTTGAAGGAGTTTTTAGGCAGTTTATCTCCGCAACTTTGAGCTCCGAATCGTGACTTTCGAAGACGTGCTCATAATTACACTGCTGGCGCACGTGTACTTCTCAGTCGCGCTATTGACAGGCGACTAATATACACGCGTGTATTAAAACTACTTTCAAGTGTCAAATATGCCGAGGAACATGCGGACTCTGAAACTGCGCGCGCACCTACACTGTCTGAGCAGTAGAATTACCGCCCCCTCCCCTTCCTACAATAGGTACTAAAACCGCATCTATAAATAGACGTGCGTATATATACACTAACAATATACAGAGCGATGCAGCGAACAGCTCGATCGTTTCGCAGTCGGCAGCGATCACTGTCGTACTCAAAAATACGTCTTCATGTATACATGATCAATCGTGTTTTTGACATTTTTCCCCCTAAACAGATGCATTAGTATTTGTAAAGTAATAAAAAAAACCATGGCTTCGTCTTCGAGGTAAATTTCTCATTTCCTCTTGACTTATCAAATTATCTTGAAAATTATATTGACAGACTACTGTCATAACAAAAATCTAGTAATTTACTAGTAGACCTGATTTCTATTTTCAAATTCAAAGAAGTGAATTTACATTTTGTGTTTCTTGAAGTGAATTTAATCAATCAACTTTATGATTTTAGAAGGCCAGGTAACATTATAACGTGTTACCAGCACCCAGATGCACCTTTGATCGAAGACTATCGAGCAGGTGATCAAATTTGCTCAACTTGTGGACTGGTTGTGGGTGATAGAGTAATTGATGTAGGCTCAGAATGGAGAACATTTAGTAATGAGAAGAATGGACTTGATCCATCTCGCGTAGGAGGTCCAGAAAATCCATTACTCAATGGAGCTGATTTATCAACAATGATTGGACCTGGTACAGGAGCAGCCTCTTTTGATGCATTTGGTGTTGCAAAATATCAAAACCGCAGAACAGTGAATATCACTTTTCTTGTTAAATGTACATGAAGTGACTTGAATTATTAAGTTATTCATGTATAATTTTTTGTAGATCAACAGTGGTGACAGAGCATTGCTCCTTGCTGTTCGTGAAATCAATGCAATGGCAGATCGTATTAATCTACCTAAAACCATTATCGACAGAGCAAACAATTTGTTTAAGCAAATTAACGACAGTAAAATGCTGAAAGGAAGATCTAATGATGCCATTGCATCAGCATGTTTATACATTGCCTGTAGACAAGAAGGAGTACCCCGTACATTCAAAGAAATCTGTGCTGTTAGTAAATTGAGTAAAAAAGAAATTGGACGATGTTTTAAACTTATTCTCAAAGCTCTTGCTACCAAAGTTGACCTTATCACAACTGAAGATTTCATGTCTAGATTTTGTTCAAATTTAGGTTTACCTAACATAGTTCAGCGTGCTGCAACAAATATTGCAAGAAAAGCTGTAGAATTTGACATTGTTCCTGGCAGATCACCAATTTCAGTTACAGCAGCAGCCATTTTTATGGCTTCACAAGTATGTACTCTATCTATTTTCACAAGTTTATAATTTTTTGCACTAAATATTAAACATGTGAATAATAATTATTTTAGGCATCTGATGATAAAAAATCTTACAAAGATATTGGAGACATTGCGGGAGTAGCAGATGTAACTATCAGACAAGCATACAAGCTCATGCTTCCACATGCTCCAAATTTATTCCCGCCAGATTTCAAATTTGCAACGCCCATCGATCAGTTGCCGCCAGCGTAAAATAAACGAGAAGAATACAATTAATTTTAGTCTAGGTTAATCAATTTATTGTCATCTCAAGTAGGAAAATAGTTTCAAGAATTTTTACTTCTTGTACACAAAAACTATTTGTGATTACTGATCTTTTATGTGAATTAGTATTGTTTTAAATTTTATTCACGGTTATCGAATAATATATGATTGAGAATAAACATTATCAAAGCATGATTAAGCAGTATAAGTTAGAGCAGGCTCATAAATTGCGGAAAATGATTTTAATTAGTATTAAAAATTTAAAGCAAAAGACAAACTTTTGATAACGATGAAGTATTTCCTAATTATGTGCATAAAACTTTAATATATCATAGTAACTACGATAATAAATAGTTACATTCAAAACTGTTTGTACTTTTATTTTTTTGCCTTTTCACTTTCGCGAAAATATAAATTATACTGAATTTGAAAAAAGAAGAAGTTTTTAGAACTCCGATAAAATCTCCCGAGATATCATAAAAAAAAGATCTACTGCGAACAAAAGTTCGATAGCAATATTGAAAACATTGAATAGACTGTGAATTTTAAGCTTTTCGATATATTTTCGGTGCAGAAATTGGTTGACAATTTATATGTTGGGTAAACGTAACGATTCGAAAGTTAATTGTAAATTTTTTTGCGAGTATTGTAATATGTGGCGGTAGATCGAAACATTTCTATTCAATGATATTTCACAGACATATATGTCAAAAACGTACACGTGAATGAAGAAAAATATAGTTTGATTTTTCAGATGAATTGAAATTGCTGATTGAGTTGCGTTCAAACTGCGCTCAAGAAAATATTGAATCAATCGAAGCAAGTATAGTACCTATATACGCTGGATTTTTTTTGAAAATTTCTTTTGAATATCCAAAATTTTTAAGTTTTATACCATAAAAAATCTCTAAAAAAATATACTCTAACTTTTTATGATAAGAGATGACAAGTAAATTCAGTTATGCTACATCAGTTGACTAATAACTAATTAATGAGCATTGTACCTTCATTTGAAATTCGCATAGGAGCCCACTGGCACATTGAAAATTGTTTAATAAAATTTAAAATTTAAAATACATATAAATAATCAAAAAGAATGATGAAAAAATCTAAAAAAATGCTACCTTTTGACGGTCATGAAATGAGGAGCGGATTCGGGAGCAGGAAAACAATTGACAGCAGCAGTACGCAAATGTAACAGTTGCTTGAGTTTGAAAGTTGACAATTTCAAGCGGCTGTGCTCGAGCCTCAAACCCAAGTGACATATAACGACTGATAAGAAAACATGTAAAGAGAGAGAGAGAGAGAGAGAGAGAATAAGCTTAAATTTCAATAGTAGCTTCAAAACTGTTCCTTTAGACGCAGCAATCCGACGCAGTCGTGAGTCGCATAAATTCCATCGTTCCAGGACAAGAGCAGGCTACTAGCGCCATCGACAACGAACGAATTCTGCGATATAATGCTAAATGCGTTCTAAAGTTGGGGGAAGCGAACGGCGAGGCGCAGCAACTCTCACATTAAAGCACCAGAGCGTCGCAGGCGAGGAGTCTCTCTTTCGACCACGAACATCGCTCGTGCTTGCCCATATTATATATATATATATACAGATAGAGCTCATTTTATGCTTGGTACGTTCAGTGTAAAACAATAACAATAACATCCAAGTTAATATAAGTTCATAAATCGGCTGCGCAGTGGGCAGATCTTGAAGTAAGATAACAACGCAGTCTTCCGTGCAGTGCTGATCGGAAGATTGACTCGCTGTGCGTGTGCAGCTGCAGCTCTAATATTATCGTACACACATTGACTGGCGAGAATCGCTCGCTCGTGTAGCTGGCTGTTGCTGAACTCGAGGGGCGCCTACTCGACCAAACTTGAGAAGTGGTGTTGCTGGCTAGCTCTAACCATCTCGACAATTTGAAGGTTTGAGTTTCTCTCTAACGTCGTTGGTATAGCAGGATTATACGTTATATATCTCCGCCAACCGTAGCGTCCGAGCTCCATAGCGCGTACCTATATACGCACGCATACCACGTCCTATTCGTGACGAAGTGAGTGCGCCGTGTCGACGCCATATTGTTTGAAAGCCGTTCTGTCGGATAATTCTCTGCGGAAAGCTCCCTCGGGAGTGCCGAGTACTCGAATTCGAGTGCATATTAGCCGTGAGAGTGACGAGGTCCTTGTGTTGAACCAGCTGTAAGCCGTGAGTTCCGCGCGAGTCGCCAAGAGGACCGAACAACAACTGCTCGTCGCTGCAGCTTTACGAGCCGTTCAAGTGTGTGTGCGTGTGTGTGCGAGCGTGTGTTTCCGTCTTCGTCTCTCTGCAGTGCTCGCTACGAACTCGATCTCGTGCGTGTGCATCGCATTCGTCGACAGCAGCGCAGCACAATAGTGCAATACAGCAGCATCGTCTCTAGGATTTCATTGTCTTTGTATACAGACGACACAGCATCTGCAGTAGATTATCGCGATGGCTTGTGCAACGCTCAAAAGATCCTTGGAGTTCGACCCAGTGCACAGTCACGTAAGGCCCAGCAAACGAAGAAGATGCGCGCCCATGTGTGGTTCGCCCTCGCCGAGCACCAGTCAAGCTCTCGGGGCACGCAAGACACAGAGCCCCTTCAGCGACGTTCACCAAAAGCTCACTCCAGGTAACTAGCTACTTGTCTTCGTTGTACCTTAAGTTTGTCGTAGTAGCACCGTGTGTATATAGCCTGATAACGAGCTTGTACCATTGCCCTGGACCAGAACGCGGCATAAACTCGATAATGAGCAGCGCATCGTTATGCTATTGGCAAAGTGTAGCTATCATCGACTTCGGTAACGGGTCGAACCGATAAAATTCCTCAATGTGCATCCAAACTATAGATATGTCTCATTTACGATTCTAAATTCCATATTAAATCTGTATAGGGGAGTCTTGAGACTAAAAATTCAAAGAAAAAGTCATACAGCGCACACAGACAGCCGCAAAAACTCTTAGGAGAGAGAAAGAGGGAGCAAGAGAGATTTAAAACCCGTATTTATTTCACGCTGAATAGCTATAGCTCTTTCTCTCCCTCTCTCGCTCTCTCTCTTACTTACACACATACATAAACACAAACACTAACGTTCACGCTCGCTCTGTCTCTTTTCTTTATCCGCACTGTAGTGTTCCTCATTCTCATGCGCTCCGGTTCTCGAGGGATAGCGTAATGTAACCGAATAAGTATATGCTTGGGAAGAGGGGCAGAACAGCAGTTGCGAGAGCTGCATGTGTATAGATCCCTACCTATGTATACAATAGGTTCATTCAACATATACCAACATACATGTACTACACACTTCGTCTTTTATCGAAATTGTATGATCGCTTCCGAAATTGCTTGTTATTAACAGTCACTAGAATGACATATTTATTACTTTTTAACTGTAAATTCATTGCAAATTATCTGAACTAATGCCTATGAGATTAAGAATCTCAGTTTAAACATGCATAACAATTTAAACAAATTTCGTTTTACATTTTTGAAACTTGTACTTTACTCAAGACTTTATTTGCTATTACATATTTAACATCAATGCTTTTTTTATTGATATTTATTTTTATTGATAAAGTATTTTACTTTTCAGCTATAATTTTTCATTTGTAATATTAATTAATATTTTCATGCAAGTTTTTCAACAAATTTTGATGCTTTTAGGATGCATGCTTCAGTAACCAAGTTTTTTTTTTACGTGCTTTGCACTATCTTGACTATGCTTGAACAAACATGGTAAATTGTACTTATGTCTGTAAATTTCTTGATTTTCTTTTTTTCCTTGCATAGCTTGCCTTATTTAAAGTATCTTTCACTTTTTTGTGTAAAACATAATATCTATCATATGACAAAAAAATTTTTTTTTTTAAATAAAAATCTTGGAAAATATTCTGAAAATTATTATTTTAACGTAGCTTCACTATTTTCTCAAACAAATAAGCTTCAAATGATTAAAATTTTTCATCATTGTAGGTAATAAGTATTATTTTTATGATTATTTGCGCTTTCACAGAAAAAATGGCTGCCAATCTTCGTGAGGAGATTCGTAGACTACATAAACGCAAACAGCTCTTCAATCAGGGAGATGAGGTAGAGGGTCCATCTAGTCCTTCAACTCCATCTTGTTCAACTATTTTTAGCAATTCTACTACCAGTCCAAGCAGCAAAGAAAAACCACTTTTCACATTTAGACAGGTATGTTAATTATTTCTCAATGTATAATATTTTTCCTTCCAAAGTGGTGATTTTATAAAAAAAAAAATTTTATTCAAAGGTTGGGTTAATTTGTGAGAGGATGCTGAGAGAACAGGAATCTAAAATTAGAGAGGAATACGATCAGATTTTAAATCTCAAATTAGCTGAACAATATGATGCATTTGTCAAATTTACTTATGATCAGATACAAAAAAGATTTGAATCCAGTGCAGTTCCAAGCTGTAAGAAAACATATTAATTTAATATTTAATGTTCAAATATTGATTAAATAACTTGAAATTGATATTTTTTTAGATTTGTCCTAAAAACAACTTTAGCGCTTAGAAAGATTCTTTTCAAACCATAAGGTAATTTTTTGTTTGGTTGACTTCTTTTTTTTTATGCTATAGAAATTATAACTTACACCTTTTTTATTCTCATCTCTAATTTCTGGATTTTTTAATATAGATTTTTGCCATTCAAGTGGACAAAAACTTGTCAGTCATGTTATTTGAAGAATGTTATGTGAAAAAAATTATAGCGAAGAACCACCTGAATGAAAATTTGATCTGTGGAAAAAAATAGCCATGGAAATTTATAGCTTAGTAAGTTTAGTGAGTTTTCAGTGAACAGCAACTACTCTTAAAATAAATCATCAACTACATATGCTAGTTGAACTAACAGTGTTTATAATATGTAGAATAATATAGTTAAGCGCTGGTATCAGGGAACTTTTTTGAAAATAAATTATATCTCAAAATTTCTGTAGATAATATTTTGTATTTGATTTAAGAAAAGTGCAAAAATTTCTTGAAATTTATTTTAAAGCTAATATAATATCATAAATTCATATTGAGCCACAAACAATAGATCAACTTTTTCATATTTTAAAAATATGTATAAAATTTCTCTAGTATGAATTATATAATCTGGCAGATTTGTTACCTAAAAAGTCACCATGTTTATTGGTGATTTTTCTGTCAACTGCTTGTCAAAATCTATGCTTAGATACAAAAAAACTTTGCATAGGTAATGTGATAAAAGTTGTTACTCCTTTAGGGAAGTTGGACGTGAAAATTGAAAGTCTAGAGTGGCATTACAGTGCAATTTCCACGTAAATAAAGCGTTGCTGATATTTACCTATGATTGCCTATGGCATTGTAAAAGAAGAATGTAAAACTGTTGATATCGTAAATAATTTTCTAGCACCAAAAACTTGTGAATTATGCAAACTAAGTTCTTTACGTAAGTTATAAACAGCTCATTGCAACTCTATATGCTTTGAGTGTATTTAAATAGGATTTAATGTCAATAGTCATCTAAGTTGATCATCTAACAGTCCTTTAATAACGTCTAACAATCAAATCAAGCCGTGTTGCAGTTTAGATTCTTGCAATGAGAATTGAGACTTTAATTTTCTATAACTTTTACATTTAGTGAAAAATGATAATTCTTCATCATCTATAATAATAGTGTGATTTGAATATTTTAAGATTTATGATTCTCTGTAAAAAAAACTCCCAATATATTTTTTGTAGAAAAACAAATGCTTCTTAAAATGACAAACGTGCCATTGTGTCAAAATTCACTGCCTCAAGCTTTATAAATTGATAATCTGGACGTTTATAGGCATCATTAAGCTGTTCTACTCATGAGCTCATATAAAATGAACATTGTATAGTTATAATCAATTTTTAGTACATTGAAGCATTTTCAAAAAATAAAAATTCTTTTTTCTCTTGACTTCAATAAAATCTTTCGAGTAAAACATTTTAGTAATTATTCAGTGTAAAGTTATTATTTGTAATAATAAAAAAAAAATAAATATAACATTTATTTATAAAAAAAATTGTTATTAAAAAAATCATTAGTTTTGCACTTTGAACTGTACCGACGAATTGTAAGTAATAAATATTTGAAAAAAAATTTCACCTTCTGTGTACTTTGTTCCCTGATAGCAAAGGCTTGCCATTGTTAGTTTATAGCTGCGTTTATTGTGCCTGTTATAAATAGTAACTAGAAATTTCATAGTTGTATTAATTTATAACCGAAAATAATAACTAAAAGTTTTGTTTTGTTTTTGATGTACGACATAACAATTAAAAATAATTTTTGGTAGCTTACAAAATGTCACTTGTGAAGCTACGAAATCTTTAATGCAATAAGCGTATGTTAAGTGAAAAAACTTTTCTTTTATCATTAATTTTGTTGTAAACCTGTCAAATTGTATTCCACGTACTATACTCTTTATAGTTTGTTTATATGGTAATGATGAGAAAATGTAAACTTTCACTTGTCATTTTACAATTACAAAATTACCATGATTGTACATTTTATCAAAATCATTGCATTTAAATGAAATGTTCCCATATCTTTGATTATTTACAAAAAATATAATTTCGAAATTTTTATAAATAAGCACAGTATGGGTTAGCTAAGAATACAGTCGTGAAAATATTAATACTTATGTATATATAAGCACTTGCACACGAGTTAATGTGCATATTATACATATGTAAGTATTTTTCGCAATTACGAACCTTCAGAGGCTCAAGACGAAAAATGAATATACACTTTTATACAGAAAAAGATGTTACAACACTAACGGTATGATTCATCAAACGCGAAAGGTTGTTTGAATTATATTGTAAATTGAAATCGAAATTTAAGAAATTTCAGCAATTACTGAAGACCAATTCAAAAATCAAATTTTCAATACAATTATTATTGTCTAAAAACACTTATGATTCTTCATGTACTGTTCTATTGTTGAAAAGAATTGAACTCGTACAAGAACTCAGCCGGTCGTCGTGTCACATGATAATTTAATTCAACCAATAAAAATCGCAAAACGTTCATGCTTTGAATTTATAAATTTTGTTGGATGTAAAAATAGTTTAAGTTCACATATAACTTGATATAAATATTCATGAATATTGAAGTGAAATTGATTCCATTTTTTTATTTAAATTAAAATTTAAATGGAAATAATGAGCCTGCGATGTTGTTTGATCGGAAAATGGATAATGTAATTAATTTATGTAGTCTAAGAAATTGTATCATAAATGAAATGTCAGTGCAGGCAGGTAATCTTTCCGATACGTTAGTTCGGACGATGTAAAATGTATAATATATATAGAGAATACGCAGGAGCGATAAATAAAGATAAGTAAAAATATTAGCTTTAGGTTTAAAGTATAAATTAAATTTCAAGTACTTCAATGATGCTATTCAAATTGAAGGCGCGACCCGAAAGCTTAGTCGATGCAAGACATACGGGGAATGATGTTAAATATTTTGCAAGAATCCATTAGAGTCATGAAAAGGAATCGATGGAAATCTCCATAAGCTGTAATCATAATAATTATTACCCATATCAAAGAAGAATAAAACCTACATTTTAAGACTGAATAATCATTTTGATAAATTCCATTCGAATGTTTTGATTTGAAAACTGGTTGGGAAAAATTGTTAAATATTTCACTGCGGGTACTGAAGCAGCACACAAATCACAAACGATGCGCAAGTAAATGAGCGATAATAAATATGAAAATCGAAGAATGGATGGAGCTCGCAGTCGTCGAGCTGTAATAACGATCCAGGCCGCACGCTGCGCGACCTTTACACACTGAACTCGAAATGGCGAGTAATGCCAACACAGTCGAAAGTCCAACTAACTAAAGAAACATCGCGAGAAGAAAAGAGTCCGCGAGAGGAGGCGCGCGGCGAGTATATAGCTCGAGTCTGAAAATGCTCTCTTTGCTAACGAAATTAAAAGAGCTGCAGCTCGGCGAGTGGGAATGACGACGAGCTGGCTCGCGAGCCGTTTTGCCGCCTCCGCCGTTTTTCCGCGCTGATCCCTTTAAGAACTTGCATTCGCGGGCTTCGAAACCTTATCGGTGCATTTTCGCTTTTTAATGTAGGTGGCTGGGAGTCGCGTCGAGTTAGGCCCGAGCTGCTGCAGTCAGCCAAGTGCAATCCGTCACTTCGGGCATATAAGTTGAAAGTCGGTGTATCGCGCGCGCACCCGTTCCAGGACTCGTCACGCTCAGAGCTTGGCAGCAGCGGATCCCGTTCCGAGAGCTGTCCTCGTCCTTGCGATCGTCGGTCCGTCCGAAGATCCGGGCATCGAGCACAAATGTTTGCCCTCCTGCTAATGGCCTACGTGGCCGCCGTCAAAGTCTACAAGAAGACCACTCCGAACGGTGAGTAATAGCCCGCGGAATGAGTCGATTTCAATCGTGACGGGCTGGCATGTGTGGCTGTATACAGGTAAGGTGACGGTGTACCTGGGCAAGCGCGACTTTGTCGACCATCTGGACTACGTGGACCCGATCGACGGCATCGTGGTCATCGAGAACGACTACCTGCAGGGGCGCAAAGTTTACGGCCAGGTGACGACCACCTACCGCTACGGTCGCGAGGAGGATGAGGTCATGGGCGTCAAGTTCAGCAAGGAGCTGGTGCTGTGCAAGGAGCAGATCATACCGGGCAAGAAGGACAGCAACAAGGACTACACGCCGATTCAGGAACGCCTGCTGAGGAAGCTCGGTTCCAACGCCTACCCGTTCCTCTTTCAGTTCCCGGCCAACTCGCCGAGCTCGGTCACCCTTCAGCCGGGCGACGACGATCAGGGCAAGCCTCTCGGCGTCGAGTACACCGTGAGGATCTTCGTCGCCGAGGGTGACGACGACAAGGTGAGTCGCGAGATCGGACTCGAGAGCAAGCTCGTATAGAAATATAAAACTCGCTGGCGTCGTTTAGGGTCACAAGAGATCGTCGGTGGCACTGGCCATCAAGAAGCTGCAGTACGCCCCGCCGACTCGGGGCCGCAGACTGCCGAGCTCGCTCGTCTCCAAAGGATTTACCTTCTCGCAGGGCAAGCTCAACTTGGAGGTGACGCTCGACAAGGAGATTTACTATCACGGCGAAAAAGTTTCGGCCAACGTCATCGTAACCAATAACTCGCGCAAGGCCGTGAAGAACATCAAGGTACGGTCTCCGATTAGCCACGATCCTACCGATCATCCGATAATTGCTCGAGACCAGAGCTACATTACGTAAAGTCCAAATGGTACTTTGGCTCGGAAAATCGGTAACGCCGGCCACTGGCTGCGATCGACATTGAGATCGCGTGTCTCGCGATAGCCTCCCTTTATGCTATTACGAGGCATCTATTGCCATAGTTTCTCTGCTCTTGACCCGATGCTTTGTCACTGCTTCGCAGTGGCGAGCCTCCGGGTCAATCGATTTCTTACTCGGCAGCAATGAGCGACGCGTCTCGATACCGATTCTGCAACGATCGTCCTGCGGGCACGCGCGCCTCGTAACGATCGGCCGAGAAGATTAGCGGCACTTCCGTACGTACCACTTTTTGTCGCGTGTAATGTACTTATTTTGCTATCGTCGAACCCAGCTTATAATCTAATTAGAGGATTTCAAAGTAAATACTCGCGACGACGCGCCTCGATACATATACATTGCCTGTATACATTGCCCTGTGCAGCGTATCAGCTGCATCTATAGATATGATGGCACTATTATTAGCGCATTACTTTAATTATGTAATATGTATATAAATTCGAACCTGTGCGAATAGTTTATTACATTACACGCGCAGCATACGTATACATGTCGTCTCTGGCTTCGTCGCGTTCGATTACCTTGAGCTCGAGCAGAGTCCCAAACTTGCAGCGATATCTCATGGCTTGTACAAAATTATTGTCCGCGAGTAATGCTAATGGAATTTGCAGCTGGCCGTGGTGCAACATTGCGAGGTGACGATGGTCAACGCCCAATTCTCGAGGCAGGTCGCGAGCTTGGAGACCCGCGAGGGCTGCCCCATAACACCGGGCGCCTCCTTCTCCAAGCAGTTCTTCATGGTGCCACTGGCCAGCAGCAACAAGGATCGCCGGGGCATCGCTCTCGACGGACATCTCAAAGTGAGTCGCTCGACGCAGCTGTCTAATGTTCACATCGACTCGCCATGAATACCGATCGATTTTTCTGTTGTTTCGCTAGGACGACGACGTGAACCTGGCCTCGTCCACCATGGTGGCGGATGGCAAAGCACCCAACGACAATATGGGTATCGTCATCTCGTACTCTGTCCGAGTCAAGCTCAACTGCGGCACCCTCGGCGGTGAGCTCCAAACCGACGTCCCGTTCAAGCTCATGCACCCAGCTCAAGGTAATTGTCCCTCTCTCTCTTGCAATGTTCCTATCCTATTGACTGGAACTAAAAAGTTGACGAAAATTCACACAGGTGCTGGAGAAGGATCGCGAGAAGGTGAAGGCGGCGGCCGTGACCGAAAAATGAAGAAAACCAAGAGCGTCGAGAGGAACCGTTATTCCGACAATTATGCAAATGACGACGATGACAACATCGTTTTCGAGGACTTTGCCCGTTTGCGGCTCAACGATCCCGAATAATCGCTCTCTCATCTTGCGTGTTTTGCTTCTATATGGCACTTGCAGCTGCGATATCAACTTACCCTTGCAGGCACGCATACGTAAACCCGAAGGATATTAACGATCGCGGCAGTTTGCTTTTCGAGAAAAAAATCGTTATACCTGTACCGTATTATCGACTATATTATTTCTATCTCAGATGATCGGCTGACCAGATGACCATGTTCTTGTACATGCATTTATTGCATCTTACGTAATTATTGTAAGTGAGAAAAATTGACGAATTACTTTCCAAATTCGTCCACTTGCGCGCGCTACAATACCAAAGTGCACGTAGCAAAGTAGACGCGTTAAAAATACGTATTCTTCTTTATAAGACCGAAAAAGCGCGAGGAAAAAGTATTTAACAGTGCGACACACACACATACACACTTACACATACCAGAAACTAAGTTAAGCCCAGTCTCGAAGATTTCGTCTCGATTGTGGTGGTCGAGGCGAAATCCTCTCTCCAATAAATATCACGAGACGAGACAAAATTTTTCGATTGAATCTTTTTAATTACTTACTGATTTAGTCTTATGATGTTATTTATTCGTAATTAATATAATGGCATGTTTCCCGTCTTACCAGAAGTGACATATTATACATTATTAAATTATTGCATTTCTCATGTATTCAGTGTTATAAAATATTAGCTCTTACTTGGTATAAAAAGAATTTCACGATTCCCCAAAATGTTGTTGAGTTTTTACTGTACATTAGAAAAATATTTATAAATATATATATATACATATAATTGTATTTCAGGTTCTTAGATTATTCAAATATGATTTATAATAAATAAAACATTCCACACATATTTATGATCTTTATCATCATGATTAATGTTCATGTAATTCGTTAATTACGTTGTTTAAATAAATAAAATCACAATTAAACTAAGTATCTATTTACACATTTATTTTACAGTTTACATTACCTTTCGATCTTTCACTTACATTCATCCTAATCATACATGGAAGAGTAATACTCTTGATATATTTGTATGTAAGCATCTTTTTCCGCTGCAGACATCTCTTTGATAACAGCATCATCAATGTCTGTAATGGCGATACGTTTACCATTGACACTGACTAAAGGCACATCTTCGTCATCGTCTGAATCCATCGTTTCAACTTCACCTGTAATGTTAATAATGTTAAAAATATTCATATCAATCAAATCCAACCAAATATTTAAATATTTAACCAACCTGTATTAATGGCTTGCATGTCATTAGATTCTTCACTAGATCCGCTTTCATCGTGCAACAAGCCCTTAACAGCTGTGGCATTGGTACTTCCTTTTTTCTCATGTGCAAGAAGAACTGACATTATATCGTCACCTTGTTTATTTGTATTAACATTTGAAGCGGCAGCAGCAGCTTTTTCAAGTACGCTGTCTGGATTATTTTGGGTCTGAAAGTATATATTTTATTTTGAATAAATTGTTACTATAAATTAAGAAAATAAAAGATGCATTACCTGTGTTGAATCTTGAGTGATAACTGTACTTTCCATAAGCCAGATTGGTCGTTCTTTCCTCTGGTTACTCTTGTTATTATCTACTATTTCATCTCCTATTAATACATCAACGCGAGTATCTTCAACAGCAAATCCAGATGATCTTGTTGCTTCTCCAGACCATTGATCAAGTGGTCCACGATTATTATTTGGTTTTTTGTTATCAGACCTAGAAATAAAACATGGTGGTTTAAAGGATTAGAAACAAAATATTATATTCTAGTTTAAAAAAATACCCTCTAATAGCATTGATATCAGTAGGTTCAGGTTCCAGAACTTCTGGGGCTAATTTAATTCCTTCTACTTCTTGTAGCAATGTGTACAATGGTTGCAATTGCTCATTAAACTTAGCTAACATCAATCTTGAATCCTGTTTTGGTAATGCAGATTTATCTTCTTCAACTAATTCTGTACAATATGTACACCTAAAATCACCTGTTGTCATATCAAACAACAAATCTGCTTCTAAATCAGTAAATGTTTTTGAACAACTTGTACATTTGAAACTCGCTCTACTTGTTGCATCTCTTTCTTCAGTCTCTAATTTTTTTCTCATTATATCTAATTTATATTTAACAACATTAACAAATGTTTTATAGTTTATAAAATAATAATTAACTTTTTGAGCTTTTCCATCAGATCCAGTTTCTAGTCTGTTTCTTGATTGAATAAATTTATCATTTTTTAATGAAGTTATTCGTGCTCTTAACATTTTTTTGTCAAACTTTAAAAGATCACAGATATCATCTTCTTTCATACCTGTGAAAAATAAAACCTTATTGGTATCTTTTATTGTTATAACAGCTTTAATAACTGAATTAGAGGTACTTACAAGGATTTCTGACAAGCATATCTATTATAAGTGAATCTTCAATAGTATAAAAACCTCTAACAACTAATCGAGCCAATTGCTTCAAACTACTAGGAACTTCAGTCAATAAGACTTCTTCTTTATTATTCATTTTGGATTTAGTAGTCATAACTGGAAAAAAATTAAATTTATTTTTTTTAAATACAAAGTTAAATTAATCAACTTAAAATGTTTGGCTGATAAAGACTCTGAGATTTCTATTGAATATTTACTAAAAAACTACATAGATATCTAGAAAACAACAACATGAAAATACAGTTATAGTTTTTTTTGAAAACTATTTAGTATAAATCTGAAGAAATGTATTCGAAAATAATCATTTGAGCCTGGCTTCAGTGTCTCCTTAACGCTCTAAAAATAAATCTATATGCTAATTGTCATGGACACATGCTTTGTCAACTTACTTTCTGTTGAATATTATAGATCAATATTAATTTTCTCATAAGTAAAAATGTATTCGAGCACTATCGAGCGTGTAAACATTTGAGACGTTGAGCCGTGTAACCCTCATAGGTTATCGAAGCGTAAACACGTTACGCGGTGATCAGTGTCCCACAAAAATCCACTGTCGAAACTAAGCACTTGCGTTATTAGCTGTGCTCCATTCTGTACTCCAGCGTCGCACCTACAGGTATATATATGTACTACTATGTACGTAAGGACGCTGTAAAGTAAATAAACATATTTAGTATTACACCATGTCAGTCGATAATGCAGAACGAATTATTGTCGTGCATGCACTTGAGCGAATTGAGTCCGTGTCAAATATACACTTTTGAGTTATGACTAGCAAGAAATGAAGGAACTTGTATAAATCATTATGCATAACACTTCAAATAGTCCAATGAACATCTGTCAATGTAGACCGGCGTCCAAGTTCTGCATATAGTGCATAGTGTTTACATTTCTTGTTAATGATAAAATGTTGAGGATAATTTGAAGTTTAAAAATTACTAAAAATATACAGTCTTTATTATTTAGTTAATCTTTGATTACTACTCAGATAGTGCAGATCGACTTTTACATTAAAAGTATCAATATTCAACAATATTTAGCAATGGCTGGGATGGATAAAGTAAAAATTATTGTTGTTGGTGATTCAGGAAAGTGTATAATGTCATCATTAGCTTAAATAACTTGAAATGCAAAAAGTCAGTTGACATTAATTATAAAAAATTTAATTTTTGTAGGAGTTGGTAAGTCATCACTGACTCACTTGATATGTCATCAAGAACCTATGCCTAACCCATCATGGACAGTTGGTTGTACAGCAGATGTTATATTACATGAATACAAAGAGGGTACACCTAATCAACGAAGATTTTTTGTTGAATTGTGGGATATAGGAGGAAGACAAAGCCATAAAAATACAAGGAGTGTATATTATAGTCAAGCAAATGGTAAATTTATACGAGCAACCTATATTTGTTTTGAACCAAATAAGGTATATTTGTCCTTATATTTTATGCAGGTATTATACTTGTACATGATTTGACAAATAGAAAATCTCAGCAAAATCTTCAAAAATGGTTAGAAGAAGTTTTGAATAAAAATAACAATCATTTCAAATCTAAATCGTATGATGACTTTGATCCAGAAAAGTTTGTAGGGTCAACACAGGTTTGCTGTATTTCATTAGTAAAGTATTGAACACATTAATTTATTCTTCTAATTATAACAATTTTTAGATTCCTATTTTGGTTGTTGGTACAAAAGCTGATATGGTAGCTGCAGTACGATCAAATGTATACAGACGTGCATCTACTATTGCTGAAGAATGTGGAGCAGATGAAATATTTTTGGTATTCCAATTTTTATAATCTTTAAATAATTCTTAAGTATGATATTAATTTAGTGACTAAAGGATTGCAGGCAATCACGGACATTAGCAGCTGGGAGCACTTCATCCTTGAAGTTAAGTCGATTTTTTGACAAAGTTATAGACAGACGCTATCAATTTTCCAAAGATACTCCGGCAGATCAAAGAAGAATACCTATTTTTGCCTCACAGTTTACTCAAAAACTGTATCATAATGATTGAATTTAGTATTAAATTTTACATATTAATTTAGTTGAGCAGTAATTTCGAGTAATTTCCAATCAAGTTTCATTTTTCAGTTAAAGTTAACAAATTTATTTTTTTTATTTTGATTTGGTAACAAATTTTTGTTTTCTTTTTGTGAATTTAAATAGAAATAGCTGGTTGAGGTTTATTACTTACTTGAGTTTAATGAAATGAAATTCACATCTGAACTTTTAGTAATGCATAATAGTATGTAGCATGAAAAAATCTGACTCACATAAATTAGAATTAGCAGATTGTTTTTCATTTTTCAATTATGTTAATTTTATGTATTTGAAAAATTTTATTGAAAATTATTTAATTTTGCTAACAATTGAAATATTTTAGCTTGCCAAGAGCTAACACTCGTATACATTTTTCTTATTGTGTAAAAACCATTCGATGCCAAAAAGAAAGTTCAATGGGCTATTAAAGTCTTCAGATTTCATGTATTCTTTAACTTCTGGTATGCTCATATTAATAACTTCAATCAGTTCACCTTCTTCCTCTAGTCCTCCTCCTGCAAGGTGTAATATTTAAAACTCATTTACATAGGTTGAAAGAAATAAAATGTTAGATGTATCATGAAGCAAATCAATACCAGCTTGAGTATGCATATCATCGTTAACTTCAACATAAAAAATAGTTTGTGCTCCAGTTACTGCTCCTATAGACCTATTAGTACAATAATATTTAAGTGATAAGATGTAAGAATAGCTCATATAGAGCAGTAGCAGTAGTGTGACTGCAAATGTTTATTGTAGGAACCTTGTCGTAGTAATGTACTCAAAAGCGGATAAAGGTGCTTCGTAGCCGCACTCTTCCTTGAGTTCATCCTGCGCTATTTCAGCCAAAGTTTTGTTTTTGTCAACGGTACCTCCGCATAGCTCAATCGTGACTCCAAGCTTGGCTGGATATTTTTCAAAATCTACTTCAGCTCCTTTGGGCATTCGATTAAGGTACACCGCTGGACGGAATTGCTTAACGAGCACGAACTTTCGACTGCTGCGATTGAAGGTGACAATCATCACACCATCGTCGACCAATGCCAGATCCCAGTTTTTGCTCTTGCCGTCTTGCACATAGTTCACACGGACTGGCTTCAACCATCCACTGTTAGCAGGTAAAGGGACCAGGCTAAATTTGGTCAAGTCATTTATTCGCTCCACGATGTTTTTCTTGTTTGCATCTGTCATTTTCAACTTTGGATCTCATATAAACATACGTCAAGCCGCATAAACAAACACTGTATAAGGAAAGTAAGAAGCTGCAGGTTAACTGAGTGCTAATTTCCCAAACTCACGTTTAGCTGGCGCCTTAGAAAGTCAGAATCACAACTCGTGTGTGTAAATGTCAAATGATAATAATTGGCGGGGATGGTATCAAACAAAATAAACGTCGCGCCACCACTGGTCAGTGGGTAAACCTTCGAGCTTGCCACTTTGTAATTAAATATTATAACTATGACGAGGTTTTTTTCTTGCACATATTTGTTATTAAATGAACTGTGATTTTTAGTTAAATTTCGTCCAAATGTTACTCTACATAATTGTAATGATTAATTCTTTTTTATTATTTTCGCGTGTATTTTGTGAATTTCCGAACTGCTAAAAAGTTCATCTGTTCGCCAATGGTAACTCAACATGCAACGTTTCATCCCCTCTGAAACGTCACAGTCACAGCAGACAACTGGCTTTTAAATCCAAACCGAATACATATTTACAACTGACATTTCACAGGTAACGGAATACTTTTATTGTAAAATAAAACCGTTGCAGTGAAATTTTTCAAGAAAATCCAGTTACGTTACTGCCCACAAAAAGTTTATCAATTTCTCTATTGTAATAAATGTAGAAACAAGTTTATTTTTCAGGATTTTTATAATTTATTCGAGTATTTACTGAGAAAAAAATGTCTAAAGATGTAAGACATTTATTTGTGCGCGATGGGCAAGCCATACAAATTACGATATACAAGGGCAAAATGTTAAATGTCAAAGTGAATAAAATCATCAAGCGGATCAAGGTAAGTCCTGATAAAAAACCCTGTGTCAATGCATTAATGATTTTTTCATTTTTTATTAGTTATACGGAGGCCAATACTTAACGTGGGAGGATTACTTAAAATCAACTGAAAAAAGAAAAGATATACTTATATTAAGTGATGCCCTCCACCCACAGTTGTTGAAATATTGTCATATTTATGATATCCGATGGGTGAAGGAATGTATAAAAAAAAATGAAAAAATAAAAATAGATAATTTCAGGTAATCTTTAATGATAAAATATTTTAAAAATGATTTCATTTGAGTGCAAAATTATACTTTGTATGTGCAGGCTGGATTGTTCAGAAGCCATTGAAAATGAGTTACATCCAGAAAAAAAAGAAACTTCACAAATATCTGCTGAAAAAATGCTTTTGTACATAGAAAGAATAATTGACAGAGGAGGGGATCCAAACTGCGCAGAATACATATTAGAGAGGTGTGAAGACTTTATTTGTGATAATGTTTGACTGATCTTATTAAATGAATAGACAAAATTTATTTTTACACTATTAGAATTGTTTTAATTTTGTTCTCAATTTTTAAAATCTTATTCATAATTCATTCCAAATATTCCAAGTATTATTTGTTACAAATTCATTCTTGTCTTAATCTATTGATTATAAATAGGTTTCTTTTTTCAAAACAAACCAAAACTTCTGAAGGTGTTTTAAATTTTCTTAGATCTAACATTAAAGTGCTTCAATTATGTTATGCATCATCGTAGTTGGTTAATTTTAAAAAACCAGAACAGCAATATTCATGAAATTCATTAATTAAATTCTGTACTCATAAATAATCGTTCATTCAGTTAAGAATTAATCAATATATTTAATTAATATATTACATCATGCAGTATGAGTAATCTTGTGATTGAACAAATGAAGATCAAAAACAAGCAAGAAAAAAGTAAAATTTTAACTTCCAAAAATTATTTATTTTTGATAATTTAAAAAATATAATATTTTTTTATTTATGTACAATCATTGAAATCCTAGATAATTTTTTACGTATATAAGCGTATAGTTGAATCTGCACCTGCAGAAAAGACCCATGGTTGAATTGGATGGAATATAACATCCAAAATCCCAAAATCATCGAATGTTTCATGATCGCACAGTCGTTTTAGAGGCACAATAAGCGGATTTTGCAGTAAATCACTAAAAAGCATTGAATATTATGTTATTTTTGCCAAACAAGAATTTTTAAACATTTTATTATAGTTACTAGCACTTACTTGTACACCATGCCATGACACACTATCAATGACTTATCATCTGACCCTGAAGCAAACAGAGGATATCGTTTGTGATATGCTACTCCTCGAATTCCTGTACCATGGAGACGAAGTGTTTGATATGGCTTTGTGCTCAAATCTAAATCGAACCACAGCAATTTTTTATCGTATGTCCCAACAATTAAATTGTCACCACCTGATCAATAAATATGAACGTAATGTAAATTTTATTATAATTATAATATTTATTTTCCTTGTAATTATTTTCATACCTGGATGTATGGACATGGAAGAAATCCACTGAGATCCTGTCAAGAGTTTTTTTATCATTTCTTGCTGAGTAAGATCATAAATTCTGATATGTCTTTGAGTCTAAAAATTTTAAATTGTAGAATCGTAATTATATGTTGATGAAAATAGTAGTAAAATGCAATAAACATGGATTGACACTTACGGCCACAAAGAAAAATGGTTTGATTGGATGGAACAGTACACATTGAACTTGTCCTCTTGGTCTACCAATAGGAATGAATGATTTTCTCTTTGACAGCTGATGAATGAGAATTGATCTATTTTGACCATCTGGCATAACTGTAGAGAAGTAGTCACCTTTGCCATGCCAGGTCACTTGTTTCACAGTTTTGAAATGTTTCAAAACAATTCTTATACCTTTTTTCCATTGGTCTGGATTATCTATTTCAGTGATTTGCTGCCACTGTACAGCAGCTTTAACTCTTTCAGAAACTGTAAAATATTATCTCAGCATTAAATAATCTGATTATGTTTGAAATTAATATTTGAAATAAACAGTACAACTCATATTACCTATAGAATCAGTTTCAGGAATAATTTCTAAAAGCTTGTCTGCTTTCTTTGCAATCAAATGATCTCCAACGCCAGAATTAATCAGCAGTACCTGCTCATCTGCTGCTACAGCAATTAAGGGTAAATTTTGATTTGGACACCAGGCAACACTTCTTACTACTCCGCCACAATCCACTACTTTCAAACATCTTCCAGTTGATACTTCCCACACTGAAAATTAAATTTAATTGAATAATCAATTTAATTGAGAATGAATCAAAAAAGTGATACTTGAACAACTTTTTGCTTTTATAATAAAGATGTAGAAACCCTTACCTCTTAAAGTATTATCATCACCTCCAGTAGCAAGGTATTGACCAGATGCTTCTACAGTCATACATCTCACCATATCTGTATGCCCCTTATAAATAATGGATTGAGTGGTTGGGAATGGCTGTAAATCTTTGGGACTTGGCAATTGAGGAACTAGTTCCTCTGGTTCAATAGTCAACTTCATTTTTATAGCTCTTGGACACAAAAACAGATCCAAACATCTTTGAAATCTTTCCTTAATATACCGGGGGTAAGAAGGTACATTTCTCAGCGCATCGTATTTTTGAGGAACAAAATGAAGCTTCCTTTTATGAGGTTGTGATTTAAGTTTGTGCCATTCTTTTATCTCTCGATTATCAAACAAATACTCAGTAGGAGGATTGTAGCTCTCAGCGTGTCCAGGTAAAAATCTTTTTGGTGCTGGAATGTGCTTTTGAATTCTTCTCATTTCTTCTGCTTGATCATCAGTTTTCCATAGCATGTAAAACTGTTGCTCATTTGGATTATTCTCTGCTCTTTCTTTCCTCAACTGAGCTGACGACTTAATCCATCCCATTTTCAAAGCATGAACCAGTTTTGAAACTTTTTGAGCTTCACTCTTTGATGGAAGAAATGATCTTTTGTGCTCAGGAAATTGCCTGAGTGGAGTTTTCATGACTTGTGAAGAAAACCATTCTACCCAAGGCTATAATGAATCAAAAATAAATCAAAACGTAGTAAATTACAATCAATTATTATAAATTATAGTTTAATTTTGTTAATGTAGAATTGTCACTCACTGCGTATTCATCAAACTGAGCATCAGGAATCCTTTGCTTTTGTATTCTTGTGATAAGTTCAATATCAGCTTCACTAAGAACAACATCTTGCCCTGTTTGATAATCTTTGACAGTTCTCCAAAAATCAGGATCTTCCATGCGTTTCAAGAAATTTTCAAGCTGATCTCCTTTCTCAGGCTTCAAGATTTTTTTTCCATCCCAATTATAACCCACGTGATCATACCCATCGTACCATTTCATGGGAATGTTACCTACAGTATTTCGAGTATCTTCTTCATCGGAAGAATCACTTGCATATTCATCTCTTTCACTTTGATTTTCAGCCAATTTTAATGCAACTTGATTTTTTAAACCAACTTCTGTGTTATTTTTGCTGACATTCTTTGCTTTTACAATTTCAGCTTTATCATCATTATTTTGTTTGGCTTTAGTTTGCTTGACAATGGAAACTTTTTCATTCTTTGCACTGTAAGGGACTTTTGTTTTGGGTTGCTTATCTCGAATGGGTTTTTTGGATTTTTGAACATTGTTCAACTTTTTGAGAGATGCTGTGACATTGCTCAAATTGTCCTCTTGGTCTGAAAATTCTCCACTGACTTCATGTTCTTCCTCTTCAGTTTCTTCATTAGAGTCAGCTTCACCCTCACTGTTATCTTCATCGTCGTCTTCATCGTCGTCTTCATCGTCGTCTTCATCGTCGTCTTCTTCTACATCACTTTCGTCATCGTAGTCTTGTTCTTGATCATCGCCCTCTTGCTCATCACTACTGTCATAAAAATCATCTTGTTCGCTATGATCATCGTACTCTTCGTCACTATCAAATTCCCTAAAACTAAATTCTTCTTCACCAGCCGAATTATTTTCAATTTTATCTTTAACCACAGGTGTCTGTGAATAAATAAGCATAAATTTGAGTAAGAAAATGACAGTACATAGAAGCGATAAATAAAAAATGAAAATGTAAGATAAATTGATAATAAATTGACAAGTTTACCTTCTTCTCTTTTGGCACTAATGCAGCCTGTTTAGCATTTCTTTTAGGCATTTTGTTGTAAAACTTCGATAATCCGAAATCCTAAATGTAAGCTGTAATTTCGAATCGTCGAAATAAATTTATATGATTTAATGAATAAATGCAAAACTTTATTTCGAATTATCGAAGTTCTACTGTATTTACAGTCGAATTGAACATAAAAGCACGTGGTATGAATGTATGATCTGAACTCTAGTCTGGTATCTGACTGTCGTCGAATGCTAAAGTAACTGTAACGCCATACTCGTGCGCGCGCACTTTCATAGTTCGCAAGTAACATCACTCAAGTATTATATCAGGGCACATCGAGCAGAATTGCATTATTGACTGCACGTTAAATTAGTTGATTATTTATTTTAGTATTATTTTAGTATACCTAAACAACTTTGATATGCAAGCTGACTTTAGGCATTTCATAATTAAAAAATTAGTAATTATACCAATTATTGAAATCACCTATTCCCGACTGGAAACTAAATACGGGTGCCCGGACTTATATTCCGGCCCTGATTTGTAAGTAGAACAATATCCTTCTGGCACCTGAAATCGGGTGTAATAAGGTGCTTTTCCGGGCCGGATACGGAGCCCATAAGTTTAAAAAATTTTTTAAATGAACTTCAGGTCCCGTTCAGGACCTGATCAGGCCCAGAGCTCTTATTACATCAATGATTTGGTATATAAATTAGTAGACAGTGTATGTTTGTAAGCGTTGAAAATCACATAAAATTAATAATTAAAATATGTTTTCTCGCAAAAGAGCTGCGAATAGATTGAGCGTGAAAGATTATCGAGATAAAATAAAACTCATACGTGCAGAATATGGTGAAAATAGTGAAAAACCTCCATTAGAACCTCCTTTAAAAAAAAGAAAAGAATCTTTTAATGATTATGTAGCCAAAATTGATTAAATTTTATGGTTTTTAGTTAGGTATTAGTTCAGGTTTTAAAATTTATATTGTACTTCATATTTTATAATCATGTCGAAAATAACGACAATTAGACTGACTAGACTTGTACAATAGTTTAAAAAAATTTTTAAAACTGTATTATTGTATCTTATGGTTTTTAGTTAGGTACTAGTTCAGGTTTTAAAATTTATATTGTACTTCATATTTTATAATCATGTCGAAAATAACGACAATTAGATTGACTAGATTTGTACAATAGCTTAAAAAATTTTAAAACTGTATTATTGTATCTTATATTTTGTTAATAAATGTGTAATTAACATAATCTTAGTTTTTTCTGTTTTTTCTTCCCTTGATCGTAATTATATCTAAAAATAATAATTCTAAACCAGGCAACTTCAGGGCCTTAATAGGCCCCAGAAGATATATGCGTGCTTACACGTGAGGGAATAAACTTCAGGAGTTTTTGCAGGCCCTGATAAAGCCCGCAACTGGGCCTGATTTTAGTAAATACCAATCCGGTCCGGTATTAAACCTTATTACATTCCTCATCAGGGCCAAGTCTGGAGCCTGATCCGAACCGGATTATTAAATCAGGCATCTAATCCGGCCCAAAACTGCGCCGGAATTGTGTTTCCAGTCGGGTTATTTTATCGCTGTGTCAGTATACGGTAACTCTGCCAGTATGCGACGATTTCTCGATCGTTTCGATTTTTTTTTAAACTATGAAAATACTGTATTGACAGTATTCGAATTGTTCATTATCCAATTATCGTATTTTAATGGGACAGAAAATGTGGTTGAGTACTAGAACACTTTAATTTTCATAAGGTTAGTACTCGATGCTTCTGACGCAGCTTTTTCGGCAATTAAACAATATTTTTAAATAAATTTTTGTAAACTTCAATGCATTAAAAATATTTTCATCCGAGATCAATCGAATTACTTTATTAAATTCATGCAAGAAAATTGTTGGGTATAGATGATGATTTCTTCAGTGTCGGGTTACTAGCAGATTTGCTGATCTATAATAATTAAAAACGCGCTGTGTAGAATATAAAAAACCTTTTTTTAAATAATGTTTTATAAGCTCGTTTACAATAATTTGGAATCTTTTACACCAAACGATTCAAAACCCTACATTTCATATTCCAAAGAGTCACTATTTTTTCAATAATTTGATTATTCTTTTTCATAAATATGATTTACTTTTACAATAGTATTTTCTAAAATTTTGCTTCTTTATAGAGGAAACTCCCGCGACAGGCTCGAAAACGAGATTTTGAACCAGGCATCGTAAGGCAATTTCATTTACATCTTTGTACAAGAGAGAAAATATACGCGATTGAGAGGGGACCTGTAATAAGCGAAAATCGCTGGAACGCTTGCCTGGCTCAATCGCTGGCTGTCCGGCGATGATCGTCGGAGACTCCAGCGTTGCTTTGGCCGCTCGCACCTCCTCGCGTGGAGTCTCCGACGATCATCGCCGGACAGCCAGCGATTCAGCTAGGCAAGTGTTCCAGCGATTTTTGCTTACTACAGGTCCCCCCTTAATCGCGTATATTTTCTCTCTGTGTACACTAGGCCTTCTCGGGCCTTCGGGCAAATGAAAATTATGTAAGTAGACTAACAAGGAGACCATATAAGATTCGGATCACCAAATATCCTAAAAAAAATTTTCTGGTCTCCTGGTACCCAATAATGAAGCCCCCTATGCTTATAAAATTTAGAATTTTAGAAAAAATTAGTTTGGTCCAATGGGCCTTTAAGCGTAAAATTTGGGCCTTTGAAAACAGGTGATAGCAGGTTTCAACAATTCTGACAAAATTCAGACGTATTCTTTGACTAATTCTAAGACTTGTGCATTCAGAAATTTTTCATTTAAGGCGTCTTGTTACGAATTAGAAAATCACAAACATTTTTTAATAAATTAGAAAATGATTTTTAAAATGGGCCCTAAGACCCATTGGATCAAACTAAGCATAGGGGTCTTCATTATTAGGTACCAGCAGACCAGAAAAAAATTTTCAGGACATTTGGTGACCCGCATCTCATGTGGTCTCCTTGTAAGAACGCATTGTACTCTCAACACACCCGCTTTCAATCCGCTTCAATCGAAGATTTCAATTGAAAATATCCGTAACTTGTGCACTTTGAAATGATTATTATTAAAGCTTGAAAAAATAATATTGGATATGAATTTATTGTTTTTGTCTTTTTTGTTTTCAAAATTCTTCTCAAATAAGTGAAATAGGTGTACATCATTAATTAGATGATGATAGACATAATTCAAGTTATTGTTAGAAATATTTCGATTGACAGATAATATCGTTGTTAATTTTTTCAAAGAGTTATTAAAAACAATTAATTTCAAAAGCGATAGTCGAATTCCTTGCGTATCTTTATTAGAAGAAATTTAGTATTACTATTCCACTTGACTATCTTGTATAAATCTATATAAAGCCATCAAGTATGATAATACCGTTTTAAGAATCTGCAAAATTGTATATACGCGAATCAAAATTGTTTATTAAAATGATTTCACATATAATTATTATGTTATTATGTTAGTCTCATAACTAAATACTCAAAACGATTATAATTTACTTACAATACCACAAGTTTCAATATTCATTAAAACGGTTGGGCCCGCCATTTTCGTACAGTTTTCTGAAGATCTAATCATCATTACAATTAACATTTTTCTAGCTTTAGGAGGAAATCTGTACCACTCGCAACTGCAACTGAAGATGGCAATACATATTATATGTGAACTTTTCCCGGTGGGTGTTTAAATTTTTTACCAATCTTGGTTTAATTGTTCACTTGCATCGATCAGCTCTTGACATGGCCAGAAAATCCCAATCAATACAAATAGTGATCCGGCAAAAATCGCACCCATTCTCAATGCACACTGCTTATCGTTCGATAGCTCTATCACCATCTTTAAATAGAGATACAAGTTGAAACTAATTTTTCTATGTACAAATCATTTTACTGACCTTAGATCCTGATATAGTCAATATTATACCAACACAAATAACTATTAATAGGTATAACAACTCGCTCATTTCTTTGAGTCCTTCAAAAATTCTGAAAAATAATGAGTACAATTCTAAAAAACGTAATACGATATATTTTGATAATGCTTATTCGTTAACACGTAGAACTAGTTATATCAGTAAATTGAAAAAATTATTAGTCTTACAGAAACATAACAAATATTTATATAAAATTAGTTGATGAAAATTCGAAGCTCATTAATAAAAAGATGCATTTGTTGGAATAAACTATTGGACTTGGGTTATTCATGAAATATACTTAACTTTATACCATCTTTATGTCGACGAATGTTACAAATTATTTGATTACAAATTATTTTACTTTTACTGCTATCCATTGAAAGATCTATGCTCAGTTCTTCGTGTAGATGATTTAAACTATAACTATATTTTTGAATATCAATAAAATAATATTTTCATACAATTTTTTTTTAATTTCAAGTGGAAAAATATACGAAAATCACCCAATAAACTCGAATAATCCAATCAAGTATTTGGAAATGAAATTATCACTAAGAAATAATGCCCAAATCAAAATACACTCTAAAGATGCTACGAAAAGAACAAAAACAAACATTGGGTAAAAATATTTGTCTTGATCTAGGATCTCTTCAAAGTGCACTCCAAAGCCCTTCTCGCTAGTATGATTGATTTTTAGAGTATCCAAAACAAATGGGAGAAGTACTGGAACTATATGGAACCCCAAAACCATACCAGTGACCATTGCTGCGAAAAAATTTTAATAATTGAACATTTTTTAACTGTTCATTTAATGCAAATTCGTCTCATAACATGCCCAAAAGAATAGAGGAAATGATAAATCCTGATTTAGTGTGAGATGATACTATTTCTTTTGCCTTGTCACTTCCTAATCTTTGCCAACTATTTAGTATACTTGCGTAAGTGTAAAAGCCCTAAAAAAGGGTTGCGTTAGAAAAATTGTAATTACAAACATAAACATTTTTTACCCTTGTTGCAGTTTTCAAAAAAATCAGGTAAATCAAGGTGTAAATGAAAATTAAGATGCCAACTAGTGCAGTTTCGTACATTACATTCACATCTCCATCATCATTTGAAAATTCTCTTTTAAATCTGAGAGCCTTAAAAATTTCACATTGAAATTTAATCATTCAAATTGCAAATAAAATATAGGTAAATTATATTATACTATAATAAATTTTAATACTTACTGAAGCTGTAGTTACAAAAGTAAAACTCAAAATAATAGTAAAATTATAAAATAATTTTAGTCTCTTATCCATGAATGGATATCCGCCGATTATTTTAAAGAACAGTTGATTATAATATATTATGAATTCAACAGAGTATCGCTCTCCAGGTGTAATGTTTCTTAATTCTGTATCCATTTTAATAATTTTATGTAATTTACCGTTACAAGTTTGAATAAAACTTCTGGATTGATTTTAGGACTTGAATCGTAATATTTAAATGAAATCGTAAACAAAATATAAAAATATGTTTACGAGTAGGTTTTATAAAATAGATATGCAGTTTTAATACTCCTGAATTTTTTATTCTCTCTATTATAATTCATAGAATATCGAAAACTCATGTTTCTATAAAACTTCGGCGGGGAAATTTAGTACGCAATAATTATACGCGTAAAATGCTATTTTTATTTATAATCGGTAATCTATTGACAGAAAATTTTTTTGATATAAGAAATTATAAAAACCATAAAATCATTATTTTGTGAATTTTAGAAAAAATTAATTTTTAAACATGAAAATAATTATTATTATTTTATATAGTCGATTACTAACTTTAGTTGTAAGTTTTATAAATTGAATAGCAATTTTTTGCTTTAAAATTTTCTTTATGAGAATTAATTATATATTATTCATAAATAGGCATTTATTTTTAATAAGTTAAAAGAACACAGTATAAAATGACATATCATTCAATTGGTCGATTATAGATCCATGTCGGTAAGGATGGAAGTACAAGCTCAAATTAGTGGTAAATTTAATGCATATGCCACAAGTTTAAGGATAAGGTAACTGAGTAATTAATTTCAGTTGGTTTCAATAATCAATAAATTTTTTATTAAATTTTTTCATGTTTAGAATAGAATTCTAAACTCTAGAATATCACAGCAAGTAAGTTCATCTTCACAGAAGATGGGCTATTTTCATGAGGATTATATCAGTTACTAAAATCGAAAGCTTTTTTCTCCTTACTTCGATCACACGTGTTAGGGGAAAATGAATAATAATCACTGTACGAGTTTCAATATATAAGCTCACTCTTGTAGATGCATAATTAAATTTTAATCATTTCGTATTAGGCTTAAAACAGATTCATTCTTAATTCATGCTTCTGCAAACTCAAGCTTTCGAATAAAATAAGTTAATTAAAAATTTTTTTCTGTAAAATATTTTTTTTTTAAATTATCATATATACATAAAGATGTCAAAATAATGTGCTTTACATGTTACAATGAACTTTCGCAGTCTTTAGCATTTATTCACTTTACAGAGCATAATCTTAAACAAACTATAACACATAGCAAAAGTTAAGTAAAAAAATTTTGCGTTTTAATTCGATACAAGCTTACTTTTTGATTTTATACATGTCACTTTTATAAATTCACGATAACTATGATTATTTGAAGATGATCATGTTTTTTATATTTATGTATAAGTATACACGTATGATGTACAATTGCAGTTACAGTAATTACAGAAACTTCTCGCAATAAAAACTATTATAAAAAACGCTAAAATACTCGCGAAGAGATTCAAAATTAATCACCCGTAAACTTGTATCGACTTACATTACTTTGTACATACTTTTAATACAGTTTATGTACAACTTTATAAGCTTATATAATGAGTTAATGATTTTCCACATAAATTTATAACACCATTGATTTTTCTTTGTAAAAATAAGTAATTTTTTTCATTCGATGGAAAGTGGATTGTAAAAAATGTGGGAAGCAATTCGGAATTTGAATTTGGAGAATCATATAAATACAGCGGAAATTAAATAAATTAAAAACTGACTTTGGCTTTGTTGTACTTTACATCTATTATTTTAATGCAAATATTAGTAAATATATATTTTAAATGTATTAGTATTAGTATGAGTAGCGCTTCGAAAAACCTAATGTTCGATCTATCAGACCATAAACTAACAACTAGTCTTAATCTAGATTTATACAATTTTACATCGTATATATACTATGTATTCATATATATTTAATATATATAACATTTAATCACATATTTTACTTTGTATAATACTTTTAACAATTATTTCATATCACTTCGGCGTTTATCATTCATTGCGCCGTGAACTCAGAATCATCTATTTGGTTTACATCAATTTTTTCGGATCGAATCGAATTTTTTTTATATTTGACTCATTCTCCTTGATCAAATTTTCATTAGACTCTGGACCGAGATTGCGTTAGTTGATGGTCTGTTTCATATCTTTTACAATTTGTGCTACAAATAATTTGTATTCAATGAACTTAAAACTTTGAATTCTATTTAAATTACATTCATTAATCTTTTACCATAATCTCTTTGCATACAATCGAAATTACGATAAATTATTATTTTCAAGGTATGAATGCACATTGAATATAACAAACAATAACTCACAGCGGGATCACAATGTTGCTTTCCAAAATATCAAGCGGTAGTTCAAGTGAAATTAACATCTGAAATCTATAAATCATTTTCGCCATTATAATTTTTAATTTTTAAAAATGTTTATTACGCCTGTAGAAATTTAAAGATATTATTGTTCGAATAAAATTTGTAGACAATTTTAAAATAAAAAATATCTTTCTCAAAAACCATTATAATTTATAGAATATATCATCAAAATTTACGAGAGAATATTTTTCATTTAACGAAAGTAAATCTGTGGAAAGGGTTGAAAAAAAAAAAAAAAGTTTCAGAGCCTTAGCGATGGATTCTACTGGTGAAGCACGTAAGTACGGTAGTACTTGCATGATAACCGCTTGAACACAAAACTCTTTTATTCTCAGATTATTAACGTTAATTTTAATACATATTTTTCATTCAACAAATTGTTGCTTCAACTTATTCAATTTTGCCCGTAGGATGTTTTCGTGGATTTCAGTTGTAAATTACTCATATAAATAAATCATTTGTATTTATAAAATAATTAAGACATAAATAAATAAGACATTTTGACGATGATCATCATACGGACCTTCCATTTCTTTTTAATTTCAGGGTTGCATGTTGGATAATCGATAAAGATATATTATCGTGAAAAGTGTTCAATTGACCGAAATTATAAAATAATTTACGTAATCTAAATTAGGCGCTTTAGTCAATTATTTTAACAATTTATTTGATAGGATATAAGGGTTTGGAGAATAGGGTCTAAACGACTTTCGACGATAAATTGAAAGAATAAATAGCGCTATCACATCATTACGCGAATAATTCGCAAAAGCAGGTAAAACTTTACCTGACCAAAAAAATAAAGTTTCATACAGACTTGATTTTTTTAATCGGGTAGTTCTTCTTTATTGGAAAATTCAACCTTTTCAACAGTATGCCCAATCCCATTGTTGCTTTGAAGATCACAAGATGGTGAAGAAGGGATTTTACAGCTCAAATTTTCACAGCCGCTTAACACAATGTTAGAACACTGACGTCTCGGTGACTTAAATGCTTGAATATCATCCAAAAATGGGGTACAAATTTTAGAGTAGTCATCTAGGTGAATTGCATCATCAATTAATCGAATCCCAGGTGTGGCTGATGGCGTTGAGCTAGGAGAATTTTTATTTATGCTACGAGCACAACTACTACCACTATTGTTGGAACTATCACTATCGCTGTCGCTTTCTGAATCTATACTTGACATAGGACTTCCAACTCGACGCTGCTGCAACTGCTTTTGCAACGCGTCGACTTTCCGAATCAGATGTTCCTTTTGCTGAATAAGTTCCTCTATTCGCTGTTGAAATTTCTTACAAATTTTAGCCTCTCGAGAATTATCACCATCGTTATTAGAGTTTAGCTCGCGTTTTTTCATAACCATTTCATATCTGCTTTCCAACTCGATGTATTCTGTGATTAATTGAGCTTTAGTAAGACTGTTCAACCTTTCAATGTGTAAATTTTCATACTGCTGTCTGAATTCCTTGGTCAGAAATTCTTCTTCATCTTCTGGCGAAGAATAAAAATATTCATCATCGGAATCGATACTGAAGCTAGAATCTCGAGTTCTCGATATCGACGCTCCCGTCTCGTTACTTGAAAGATCATGACTGGTAGCATCAGCGATTTTTTCCTCGAGATCCGGTAATTCACTGTTGTGGTCTTCTATGAGGAATTGAGTGGTATTGTAAGGGGCCAGTGTTTGGGGAAAGTGCATCGAAGCAGGTTGCGGTGGTGGCGGCGGTGGATGAGGCCATTTGTTCCTGGTCGATCTGCTAGCAGTCCGGCAGCGCTGCATGCACTGCAGGTAGGCTTGTCTAAAGTAAGGCTTCAGTTTACGATGTTTTGGTTTACCACGTCTTGTTTTTCGCTTTTTAAAAGTCTCATAGCCCTCTTCCATTGTTATATGATCCTGATCTCCACTGCAACTACCGCTCTCAACCGTTTTAGACATCATTCTTGTGAACGTAGAATCCTAAAAACAAATAAATGGATGTTACATTTTTTCATACTATGCGAGTATAATATTTATAGATTTTTCATTGGACATTATATACATTTCTTGAAAAATCATAAAAATATAAAGTTTCTCTCCATTTTTCAACTCTTATTGGAATCCTTAATGTGAGATTTAAATTCTATTTCGTTTTGTAAATAAGTTTCGAATTGATGCCATGCCATGCTCATCCAGAAAACTGAGTAAAACACTTTATGAGATGATGATTTTTTATACCTCTCAATTAGAAACTCGCCAACACAATCAACTGCATTAAACTAATTTTAATCACAAACGAAAAATTTATAGTTTTAAATTTTAGAAAAATGCTTTGTTATAAAAATTTACTGTAATTTATAATGAAAAATGAGTCGCCAGCAAAGCGCGTGCGCGCGCGCTCTCATTTGAAAGTTTTCACACAATTCACTTTGTCATATAATATCGTTTGAAAAAAGCGTATACTCAAAATTTAATTCAAGTTAATTTATGTAAGGACACTTTTTGAGTTTCATAAAATCAAACTAAAAAGCACATTAACAACGTTTTTTTTAAATATATAATTGTTGCCAATAATTAATTAAGGTAAAATAAGTACTTTTATTATCTGTTTTGAGATTCAAGAACTTTAAATTCGAAAGAATGACGTTATCAATCGATTTTTCAAAGGTTCAAGTGAATGATTTGATTCTGAGATAACATGTGAGAACTTGTTCATTCTTGCACGAGTTTTTCAAGGTTTGTAAATAGACGAGGACTAAAATACCGATTCAAACATTCAGATTTTCAGAAGATCGTAAATAATTTAGCACATTAATTCTCAATATATAAAATCAAATGAGGAGTATTAATTATTGCATTTAAAAAATTTTATGTATATAAATCACTTTAAACTATATTTATTTATGTACTTAAATTTTTGGTGCGTAAATACGAATCCTATCAACTACGGATAAAACTGATAAGAGAAAATATTGAATAAAATAAAAAAGCAGTAGCTGAATAAAATATGAAAGCAATAAAAAAATCTGAACGACCAAGTGAAGATCAGTAAATAAATAAGTCATTTTTTCTCACAATTATTACTCACTATTAAGTTGTTCAGATTTTCATTTGAAGATATTATATTAGAGGAAGTTACCGATGAACAATCATTATTGTGTTGATTGTTGTAATTATTGGTGATCCTTGTTTGATTTGAATTCGTAATGGTCTCTGGTGATTCGTTTGATACCGCCATGGCTTTGAGTTGTTCGTTCACAAACGTCGCTGTATTGCTATTCGTCTCTATTCCGTCCACGACTATTTCGATCTCGATTTCACTGCTGTGCAAATTTGAATCTGACGTAGTTGCAAGTGACGGTCTTATTTCCGCTTCCATGCTGACGTAGGTTGTAGCGCTTTTACACAAAAATTCCTTCTTTATCGACAATCAATTCTGGTGCCTCCTTACTTTGGTAAAGTCGGAGGAGCTCGAGTGCGATTGCTTCTGAAGTCGAGGACAGACTGACGAGACCATACACAGTTCTTGAGCGTGATCACTACCCATCCCCTCTACTTTTTTACGAAAAGTACATTGCGCAGAATCGAAGTCCAACTTACTCAGGCGTCTGCCAGCCCAAGTGCTACCAATATTCAGCTTCGTTGTGGCTCATTTTGAACTATTGTGATATACCCACGCGAAACTGCAACTCCGCCATATTAGATTTTGTTTTTGCAGCAGAATATCATACTACTCTGTGTCGTGCAAATTATTTCACATTTTGTGAGATTTAATTTAAAAATTTCACACGAATTAATGGCTATTTCGCAGAGTAGGAGCCAACTCAACGTATCTACGTTTTTGAAGCGAACGCCAGTACCGTCGTTCAGCTTAAAATGTTCCAGATGTGCTATACGTGCGCCATGTTTGATTGTCGCTAATAGTCAAAGATAATGTGAGTTCGTGCGAAAATCCAAGCTGTACAATGCAGAACAGATTATACTCGCTGATGATGCTCATAATGGGGAATTGTTACTAGTTAACGTATGAACTTCCTTCAAATTCAGACAAAAGCACAATCTTGCAGATGGTAAATTCTTCGATGTATATACATACATACAAAAATATATATATATTTATAGACATATCCACAAGCATAAAATCATTACACGCCCTAGATGTCTTTTGGTCAATAACAGGAGTAATGGTTAGCCTTTTATAAAGAGAAGTCGAATTTAAGATTCGGAAATCTCATAGTTAACAATTTAAAGGTTAAACTTGTAATTCATGCGAGTTTTAACATGAGTATAAGCCATTCGAAAATGTATGTTTTTACACTACATGTGGATATCTATATATGTATACATATATACATAAAGTAAGAGGGAGAGAGAGAGACAGAAAGAGAGATAGTCGATAACGGAATATATTCCCCCCTCTACTCGATCCATGATTATTTTGATACGATGTATGAGAATACATTTGTATATTTATTTTAAAACAAAACCTATTTGGATGTAGGTAATCGTAACTATCGATAACAACAATGAAAAAACAGAGTATTTCCGACAAAATTCAGTGCTTTTCTCATTAATTTTTGTTAACCAATCACTCTTGGACGATGTATACCTACGGTTAATGAAATATTTTGTTATCAGCAAGCTCTAATAATCCATTCGTTGCTTTATTTTTCAACTTTTCTTCAGAACTTCTTAACTATTACTCAGTTCAATATTGTAATAATCTCTATTGTTTGACGGTACAATTTTTTGCTTCGAGCATTTAAACAATAATTATCGCAGTTAATACATACGGTTCTGGTGTTCTTGAATTACTGCGTAATTTAAGAACAAGATGTATCATTATTCTATGTGCTACATTAATATATTTATATAAAATATCCGGTGCATCACCTGTAGTTTTAATATTATTAATACCGTGGAACTTGTTATATAATTTAGCAAAAATAATCCATAGTAATTATAGTATATATTTATATACACTGCGAGGATAACGAGTTAAAAACTTTCTACCTTATCAACAATATTTTTGCGCGGTAGATTCAAATATATAGGGTCTTATGGGTGGCTCAAAAAAACTCAAATTAATGTTGAAAATGTTGATGTTCCTAATGATCATAAAATGATACATCGTGATGAAATGACCCGCTGAACCGCTGACCCGCTGACCCGCTGAACCGCTGATCCGCTAACCCGCTGAACCGCTGAATTTGGTGAACCGCTGACCTGCTTCTGAATACGAAAAGATGAAATAAGGAAAATCACTTTAAAAACTCCGATGTAACGCGGTGCAGGAATACACATTATGTTTGCTCCATGGTACGCTATTAAGTACAAATTTTTTTACTTATCATTTCAATAACTTTATCGAGTTCAAAACAATGATGGCTTTTTTGACATTAATATAATAGGTTGTCAGTATAATCGTATTCATAACACTTTCAATTGAATTAGCGGTATTTATCATTGTTAAGTTAATTTTTATCCTGCTCACAATGTAGAACACTTTAACGTCTTGAAACAAACATTATTTACTATATGAGAAATTCTCTATATGAAACGCATTTTTGGAGGTAGAATCGTGGCAAATTGTTTTTTCAACCTACGCAGATACGGACCCACGGGAAATGTTTTGGGGGGTCCTAGGAACATGTAACCACGTAGGAACCATTGAAATTTCAATAGGGCTTACTTTTATAGCTACTTTTGTGATTTAGAGGACGAAAAATCATGTTTTCTCGTAAATAAGGCTAATTACTCAATTTCCAAGTCGCTGAAAAAGTATCAAAACTCATCTAAAAAAAAATAACTGGCTACTGTGTTCGATAGGAAATTTCCTCAGCTTTCCAATGGTGCTATCAGATTTTCCCACAATTTGCTCATTCACCGAGAAAATCGCCATCAAACATGCTAAGCTAAATATCTCGAAAAACTCGGTACGGAAAAAGTGATTTTTGAGGTTCATTTTCGATTTTTCTTCGTGAAAATGAAATTTATCGGAAAATCTGACTACACCATAAGAAAGCTGAGGAAATTCCCTATCGAAATCATATCTTCATTTATTTTTTGCGTCGAATCACAATGTTATACATGGGAATTTCTTTTACTTTGTTCGCTGTTATCTGTTTCCGACCTGATTCAGCGCGGTCACGAGGTTTTTGGCTCGCTACAACCAAAACTAGCTCGAAATTCCACTGGAAAAATAAATGAAGATATGATTTCGATAGGGAATTTCCTCAGCTTTCTCATGGTGCAGTCTGATTTTCCGAAAAATCTCATTTTCAACAGGAAAAATCAAAAATAGACATCTAAGATCACTTTTACCGTACCGAGTTTTTCGAGATATTTAGCTTGGCCCGTTTGATGGCGATTTTCTCGGTGAATGTGCCACTTATCGGAAAATCTGATACCACCATTGGAAAGCTGAAAAAATTTCCTATCGAACACAGTAGCCAGTTATTTTTTTTTAGATGAGTTTTGATACTTTTTCAGCGACTTGGAAATTGAGTAATTAGCCGTATTTACGAGAAAACATGATTTTTCGTCCTCTAAATCACAAAAGTAGCTATAAAAGTAAGCACTATTGAAATTTCAATGTTTCCTACGTGGTTACATGTTCCTAGGACCTCCAAAAACATTTCCCGGAGGTTCGTATCCGCGTAGGTTGAAAAAAAAATTTGACGCGATTCTACCTCCAAAAATGCGTTTCTTTAGAGAATTGCTCATATAAGTACTTAGAATTACCCAATCATAAATTTGTTTTCATTATATTACGATTAAAAATGGCCAACTTACCAGCACAATATGCATTAAAAATTAGATTTATGGTGCTGTATATTCTCAGATGAAATTTATCATAGAATCAGGTATTTATATTGCTCAATAGTAAAGTTTTCACCCTTGAAAATACTCATATCTTAGATTTCATGCACCTGTGAAAATAAATCGCTGTTGAAATTTTAATCGTATAAAAGAGAAAGGCAGAAAAAATAACGAATTTAATTTTTCTCTATAGAGTATTTGATCGCATTTTGCGTGTGCAAAACATTACAAATTAATAATTGCTTATCGAGATTGTTATTAATGAAGCTACGTCAAAGGTGTAATGTGAAGGTATTTTAAAGTTAGTCCAAACGTAAGTGCTTGATTATTTAGAATATTTTTTTAATTTGATTATTAGTTTCATCTTGTTTATATAATTATATACGAATTCAATGATAATATTAACTGCACAATGAAATAAAATTCTAATTAGTAAAAAAGTTATATTCAAATAATTCCTCAGAAGACATTAAAAAGTAACAGCAAACAAAAAAAGTCAAAGAGTTGTCTATACGAAATAGTTGATATGATATGCCACTTTGTTGTATAGTAGCAAAAACTTTAGAAATACGCATGTTTTTTTGAATTAAAAAATACATGTATTTAGGAACGACGGGATATCGTCATCGGGAACAACCGTTGCAATTATTGAAATTGCAGTACGACGATGTCCTACTTGAATATATGCAAGTATTCGTATATACTATAAACTTTCTTTTCTAAGCAGTCACTGATGGGTTGGCTGGTGTAAGAAGTTTTTTGTAAGCATTTGATTCAAAGAATATATAATAATCTGTCGATATTCCATGGAGAAGTTGATGAAATAGGAAACAGGGAAAAATTATATTGGTTGTAACGGTGCAGGTTACAGGGGAAAAGGGTAAATGATATTTGCGTCGGTTACCGGGTCCGAGTTACCTAAAGAAAGAGAAATAAGAGGAGAAAGGCGAGCAAAAGTGAGACGGGTGAATTAAAAGTAATAAATAAGATAAATTATTATTGATAACTGGGGTGGATTACAGCCGTGCTCAGGACGGCAACGAGGTGCAGTACCACGGCGTCACATGGTGCACATCTATTTATAAGTTTGGTCGAGTATAACTTAATTTACACGACATTGAAACTGTGTAAGCCAACATTAAAAGCAGCAGGGTGGTTCTAGCGGGTCAGTATACTTGCAAGAGAACCAAGGCGAGTTATCATTTTTATGAAAATGGGCGTATTAATCTGAATCTAGTCTATCTCTCGTCTTACTGAATGATTACAGGATTAAGTTACGTATGCTACTTGTTATTTCCACCCTCTGAGCCCATGTCGAACGTAACACAGTACTATATAAAAACGAGAAAAGGACTCATCGATAAAAGCAACACTTTCACATGCGAAAAACTTTCCAAAGCGACGGTCGGCATCACCGTCATCATCATTTATGTATCTCAATATACGACATGCTACTTAATCGTCGCTGTCAGCTTGCAAAAACGTCCGATGTGCTCATACGTTCCCATATATGCAGGTTTCATTGGGCCGATCGGAAGCGGTGCGTACGCGGTATAAAGCGGTCGCGCAATCGATTATTCAATCGTTTTGAACGTTCGGGTGAGACCCAGTTTCATATGCACATGGAAGAGAACGATCGCAGCTTTGCAAAGAAGTGCAGTCCCCTTTCTCTTTCTCGGCGAGTCATTATATATATAAGCGGACAGTCGAGTTTATGCCCTTTCAATGTTCTGACACACCTAGAGACGCGGGTGGACGCCATACGGTTGATTTTCATAAATATATATAAATAGTACAGTGCATATACACATAGCAGTTCAAGGATCTTTCGTACATCGTGTTTGCTCGTGGAATTGTATGTGTGCAAGGGCCAAGGTGGAACCTTGTTGCTCTTTTATACGAGGCCGTACGTGAAAAGCTTTTTTTATTATCGCACTCCCGTTGAATTATCACGCATGTGCGTAGTTGTTTAACGAAAAAACAACGTGAATAAATGGAAAGCTAAAATACAGAAAATAATAGCTCTTAAGTGTTTTACTATCTACTATCACTGTGTTGAAGTAAGGAAAATTTCGAGTGTAATTTTTCATCTATTTTCAACTAAATTTCAATTAAGATACAAGTTTCAAGACATCTTTTCTAACGTCAAACAGACAATGTACCATTGAGAAAAAATTGACTAGTTTGTTTTTTCATCTTGTACTTTATAATTTTTCAAGGAGATACCGAAGCTAGACTAAATATGAAAAGTTTCAAAATGTTTGCTAAGATTTGTAACGAATTTTTTTCAAAATAGCAACTTGAATGCCTAGAAAATAAATATTAATCTATGAATATTAATTTACTTTTTTCTGGAAAGATGCATTGTAGTAGTTTCCTTAGTTATTTAGTAATCTTAGTTATGACAAATATTCGCTCCTGTCCTGCAATGGCCGATGAGCTTAGTGTTAATGAAGGTGAGAAAAAGTTTTTTTATTATGCGTTTAGTAAAAACTATTTTATTTTTGATTAATTTTTTTCATAAAAAAGTTCAATTTCATTTTTAATGTTTTTATATAAATGTTTTAATTCAAGCTTGAATATTACATGTCCTCGTCAGAAGTTTAATCCTTTGCGGGAGGTACACATTTTCTATTCTACTCTTATAATAGAATAAATCATTTACCTCGCGGTTTATAAGTATTTATAGTAGGATATACAAATTTACATTGGCAGGGTAGCTTTTTACTTATTATTCTACACAGGATTTTTTCACAATGAGATACTATTTATTAAAATTTTAATGTAAAAAATACGGTTCTCATCTATATATCTTCTTCTATCTATATATATAAAGCGAAGTTTGTGTCTGTTTGTCCTTTATGATCTCAAAAACTATTTGTCCAATCGGATTGAAATTTTTACCACGTATTCATTATACCATTGCGTAGGTTTCTATCATATTTAAACCATTATTTGCTTATTTATTTTGGAGTTCAGAATTTTTTTCGTATTTTACCACTTTGCGCACTCGCTCGCCCCTTGCCCGGTTAATGGTTATAAAAGAGACCGAAAGCAGTTGTTTTTTTTACACGCGGTGAATCGGAATACATTGTATTTGACGTGTACATGTGTTATTACGCTATTTTATACATTTCCTACTACGCACTTGACGTGGCCTGTTTAAGATCTTTTAAGCAGTCGAATTTGTTGAAAAAATTGAACGCGGGCGAAGCCATGACGGGGTCGCTAGTTAGATATAATTCTTGATAATATTTTTTATATTAGACACTTTTGATTTTTTGGAATCAGCAAATTGGGTCAATAGGACATTTTCCAATTGTCACTTCACTGGTTTGCTTTGAGAAAAACCAATAAGGTCTCCCATTTATTTAACCTGCAACACCTTATTTGTTATGCCTCAAGCCGTCAAACAGCAAAGTGACCATTTCGTGTAAAATGAAAATTCCCTATAAGTGCTCATTTTTTTTAGTATTTTATTCAATGACATTTTTTTATAAACATAATTGTTGAAATTATTCAAATTCCACTGTAGCTATAAGTTTTTCTATGTAATATACGCAAGATTTCAATCTAAAGTGAAGATAATAAAATATTTGAATATTATCTAATTGGTCGTTTGAAAATGAATCAGAATAAAAAAAAATAAAAACAAGACACTCGTCGTCGTAAAGAGCGGAGGCTTACTGTACTTAGCTGAAAAGAGAGCTTGTATCGCAGTTTATTAATAGAACTTTTCTGTAAACGCGTGCAAAGTTTTGGTACTTTAATTACGCTCGCAAAGACAAGTATGTCCCTACATCAGAATAAATTAACCTTCAACCTGCGAAACATTCGTTACAAAAATTTGAAAAATAATATTATTATTTATGTTTTTTTTTAAATCCGACTGAAAAGTCATCACTCTGCTGAATACAAATTTTATAATATTCTATAATAACATTTATGATTTCGTTTACATTTTTAACTTACATTCGAAAGCTCGTTACAAAGATATGAAACTAGAAATTTTCCCAAAGACCTGCTAAGTAAGATTTTGTGCACCTACTGTACTATTTTAATAAAATTATTCTATTAACGTTTTTTACACAATCTACTTTCATGTTTTATTTATTGACACGTGTGTAGTATAATAAATAAAAGCGATGCAAGATAAAAATCATCAAGAAGGTATTTTTAGTTTCAACTCATTGTCTATTTTTTTTATTGCTGGTTAGTAAACAATATTAAAATAACTTAATGTTAAGAGGGGAATACGTTTAAATGAATTGGAATTTTTACACCATAAAAAAGGAATTTTTTATCTAAAAAACTGAATGAATGATCGATAAGTTATAAGTACTCATCGTCGCTGAAAAAATTAAACTATTTATAAAATAAATAAATATTTTTCCGGATAATTATCGAAAATTATTATTCGGGATACATTATTTTAATTAGAGAAACATGACTAATTGTTAAGCAGGGAATTATTTACTGCATAATACAGCTAAGCGTTTCGAATTTTCAGTCTTACCACTACCATTCCTTCGAAGTAAAAATAGTTCATCGAGTAACAAAGGTATTGTGTGTCCTACGGAACCTCTAGGTGGTTTTGGAATTTTCTTAGCACCAAAGTGTGAAAGCAATGCAGATTGTCAGTACTTAAGTCAAGATCACCGATGCTGCCAAAATTCTTGTAGACGGGCTGTCAAACAATCTGGCTATCAACCCGCTCATAACGGTAACTTGAGAATTACTTTATACTTAATAATTTTTAACTTGAAAAATAAATAGGTATCCATCATCTTTCTCTCTATAATAATTTTACTTATATCGTTAAACATTCACTCTTCTGCGTAATAAATTATCATTATTAAAATGCTTTTAAGCAGCTTTCAAATAAAACTTCCTCAGTACAAACTCCTCAGTGTCAAAATTTAATGATTTTATCACGATTTAAATGAATTAAGCTTCAGCTTATTTAAATTATAGAAAGTAATCTTTTTTTAACTACCCTTTTTTGAAAATGTATGCCAAGAGAAGAAAAGTTGAAAAACAGCTCATAGATTTATAATGTAGATTATTAAAGAGTGAGGAAGAAAATACAATTAAACAAAAATTGAGCACGAACGCACTTAAGTGATCTAATATATTATAATAATGAAACAGAATTAGAAATAATACCCGCTAATATACTTGAAGTGGATAAAATGTTTCTATATTTTCTTATTTCGTGCGTTATACATTGAATGGTCCAAAAATTGTCTCTACGCCAATATGTCGTGGTGAATTAAAATTACTTTCCTATTAAAAATATCTATTATGATTTATTCATTTAATGAAATTATCAAACACAAACACCTTAAGCTAAATAATTTCAAGACTTTTCAAGAGCTTAGTCGATTTTATTTGACCAAAATGTAAATGCACATAAAAAACGGAATTCTATTTTTAAGGTTTCTTAAAAAATATTGTCACACATCTCTTTGGTGCAACAAAATTATTGTAAAAAGCAAGAAATTTACGGAATCTTACTTTTCGATTAGAATACATTTTATCGAATTCCAACGATCAACGTCTGTGACTTGGCTTTGCGTATATACACGCACGTGATGGAATTCATTGAATATATAAATTGCAGATTTACGAAGATAAAGGGATTAGCGCGAGTAGTGTGCGGAGACACAGCTGAGGCGGGTTGCTCTTTACAAAGGAGCGAAGCTTGCCTGCGCTCCAGGCACTGAAAAGTAATTACATCGTAAAAGTACGATTTTACAGCCGATAAAGCTTCTCTTCGGCAGCAACAGCAGTGGCAGCCAAAGTGTGAATTAAAATCCTACGCTCGCGATGTATATAAGTTTTAATGATGGAAGCCTTCGGGCGGATTATTTCATTAGATCATGTGAGTGTTTTGATGAGCAAACGCGAAACTTTGATGAGAGTCAACGATGGCTGCAAGTGCATATGGCCGTACGCACAGTACGAGGTAAAGAGCTTTTTTCGAGCAGCAAAATCAAGTTCCAGCAATATCGGCCGAGTCTAGGCGAGTGTGGCCTATATATGTCGGTCGACGCGATGCGCCGCCTCCGAGTGCAGTACACGGACTTTTTCAGCGCATACATAATCCGATTACGCTAACCACTGTGCGACTCGGCACTACAGCTGCAACATGAGCGTGAAACGCTCTCAAACATATACTCGAGTGAAATATTTTTCTACTAGAAAGAAAAAAAAATGGTAACAATACGTGGGTGTTATTACTGCAAATGCGCGCGTCTACGTATTTTATTCAGAAATTCACACCTGCCGATTTTGTTATTTTCGTGTAACGTCTTTGGGAATGGTAAATGATAACAAACGCGTCGATCTAGCGAGCGACAAAAAGAGTCGTTCAGAATTAAATAGACTTTGCCAAATACTCGTATACGCACACCTCGTGTGCTCGAATTCCCTTTGTCTCGAGGCTTGTGAATGTATGTATACGTATATATACGTGCATATATACAGCCCGGCACGCTTTGCTCGCGTGTAAATATCGATCGCTTTTAGAGGACACGGTCGCTCTGCCGGCGCAGCGGCAAACTGCTTTCTCTCTCTCTCTCGCTCTCTAATGCTACTGCTACTGGCTGCTGACCTGAATATATATGGCCGTTTCTCTATCAAATCGAATGTTATGTCAAAAATGACCCTGAATTTTAATAGAATCATGAGGCCCTTCGAAGAGCCTTTTTCAGAGGCTCAAAACGACTATTTTCTGAAATGTATGACCCAAATCTCAGTTATTTTAAAAATAGTTCCAAAAAAATTTATTGCTTCTTCATAAAAAATCCAAAAGATCAGTTGCTACTATATAAAGTAAACATGAAACTTTTGATTCGGTATCAGGACTTTTAATGACAAAAAATTTAGGGAGTCTCCGCATGATGTCATGATTTCAGTATAAACTATGAATGTAGGAAAATAGACACCAACGAGTCTTGGAAAATGATTGTAACGAGATCAATTTTCCTAATAAAAATTCGGATAATTTTGAACTTGACAAAAATCGAACGACTTAAAAATTCTTTTGGACCATTCGATTTGACAGAGAATCAGTCATGTATATATGTGTGTTTGTGTGGTGTTTACCTGTCTGATACAGTATGCAGTGTAATTGACAGCATTATAATGACAGTAGGAACCGCGTTGGTACCGATAGTTCGTTAGTTCGTTGTTACTCCGATTCTACTGTCATTGTGGTGCTTCTTACACCTAGTTGTTGGAAAAACGAAGGTGAAACGTGTTGAACTCGCTTCATAGAACCTACAAGTTTCCCATTTCGAGAATAAATTCAGCATAGTGTTGAAAAACTTGTTTGGCAAAAAAGTCACGACAAACTGACTAACAAGAGGCTTCTATCCTACCTCGCATCGAGAGACGTGCTCTCCGATGAATGCACTTGTCGCATCCACTTTGAAGAATCATTTGACAATAGTTTGCAGATTCGCTCGACGAATCGATCAAATTTAGAGGGTAAATAAAATTATCTAAGCAAGTCAATCGCGTACACAAACACCATATAATCTTTACGGAAAAACTTTTACCCTCTATCATCACATATAGCGTAGAAGCGGCGCATTTTTTTCTAGTACATATCCTGTATTATTTTCGGTCCAATGCGAATTCACGATATAATTTCGCATTTCGCTCCACCACCTTTCTAAAATATCGAATTGTACTTCTATATATCTTTGGCAAAACTTCTTTACCTTTGTAATATTGATTTTCCGAATGCATTTTAAAAGTTTTGAAACTCTCGAGCACTATTCTTCAGACAGATTGTTAAATGAAAACTGTGCCGCAAGCGCGCAGGTATGCGCATGTTTTTCAGACGTATAAATGTACGAGAAAGTTTTTTTGACGGCTCACAGCGCATTGATTGTTATTTATTGAAGGATACCTCATACTAAATTTAATACGAAAAATTTTACGACGTAATTTTAGTAGCCATGGTGTGCAACGGAGGGTTCGTAAAAAATGCCTCTTTACATCCCTTTACTTGGGGCTCATTTAGTAATTAACTGTTTTTAATGTTGTTTTATACGCCGTAAAGCTCACAGTTTCAATTTCGGGTAATGAAAAGTTTTTTTTTAATTTCTAAATTTGAATAATTTTGGTTTTTTGCAATGACTGAAGCGATTGTTCCGAGCAAGCAGTTTTTCTTTTTTTGTCATTTTGTTTCTTGATGATTTACGTTGCCATGAGGCTAGATACAACATTTGAAAACTTTTTGCTATTTTGCATTTTTTCACTCAAGAGCTCAAAGCGCATAAAGTCACAACAGTATAAGTATCCTTTGTCCATCATGTGCTATTGCAATCTTCTGTCACCTCGTTGTATCTTACAATACCTGCATTCATCTCTCTCTATCGTTTTATCCACACACGTTTGGCCCTTAGAATTCCCCTCTCATTTTACTTGCACCGGTTTTCTTTGTCTGCGAAGTACTCTGGGGCCATTCATGCTCGTTCATTCCCCCAGTCTCGCTCTTGGTCTGTACAGGCTCTATCTTATAATGTTACAGACAGGCTTGCGGAGCGAAACTTATTTATTTATAAAAGGGCCTCATCCGCCCGAATCAAACCGAGTTGATAAATACTATGGAGCTTCAGGAAAACAAGGAGTTTTAAGCTGCTAATAAAATACAGTTCTCAAGGTTTCAAATTCATTCAATGGAATACTCCGAGTGTTGATTTTGATCTCGTTTATTTATTTTACTTAAATAAAAAAAACAACAAAATTTCTATTTCTTCTATTTACGTAAACACCGCATCAACGAAAAAAAATTAAAATCACAAACGTGATGTATTTTGGATATAAAACAGTTTGCATATACTCAATCGTATCGAAATTTTATTTTTGTATCGTCAAAATTACCTGGGGACCAAGTGTAGTTTGCCATTTTTCTTGGGCGCATTGAAAATAAGAACTGCCATCGGCACATAAAAGTGTGCTTCATAAGATAGGATATAGTGTGAAATTTTATTACCAAAATGTATATCGTGTGTTTTTCTGTACATTTCTCTTCTTTCTTCACAACTACAAACGCATACTCGTACATAGCAGGCACACATATACACTTGATAGGCTTGTAAATGCCTTTATTTTCCCGTTGTGCAATGTCGGCTCAAAGCTGCCAGTGAATATAACGTTGCAGCACCTTAACACAGGTCAATTTTTACCGCTATACGTATTCGCTTGCAATTTTCCGCTGTATTTGAAAAGTTCACGTGAAAAAACAGATACTTTGACTTAAACAATGAAGTACATGAAAATCTTATAAACCAAAATGTTTATATTCTACATAATGCAGTATTTGAGACTACCGTACATTATAATAAGATGTTAGATTTTACCCAAACGCTTTTGCGTTATAAATAATATAGTAAATATTTCTTTCCTTATTATTAAAGTCAAAGCATAATTTAATATGAAAGGAATCACTCGTAACCTTCTTATGTTAGAAAAATGTTCAAGAGTTACACTTGTCAGGAAATTAGTCATTGACTTGATAAATAGAAATGGTTTTGATAGTGAATAATTTTTATTCGATATTCCTACTGGAGAAAGATTTACTTTTTGAAAAATTTCCTAAGATTACCTAATGCTTCTAGTTAACTCAAAAGTGAAGAAAATTTAACGAGCAAATAAGCCATTTGCTATAAAAAGTGCGTAAAATGTAGCATCGATTCTACAATGGCCCGAGTGCAAAAAGATTTTAGCCCATATAGCGAGCCATCCTATATGTCGTAAAATACGCACTTATGCGCAGTACACGAACAGCGTAGGGCCCCGTTAGCCAGGCAGCCGTGGATCATGGAAACTGGTTTAATACAGAGCGCAGCACAGGAAAAGCACAACGTGTATATTATGTGCCTGTGGACCGGCGTACAAGTACGCATTTTAAATAGCCATGGCCCGGACTAGCATGACGAAGCACGTAAAATTTTACGAAAAGCTAAGGGACTTGAAAGCGCTACTGATCACTCTTGTCAAGGGAAAATTTCACTCAAGATATCTATTTGATCTGTAATAACTTATGTTGAAAGAAAAAACAAGCGCAGTACTGAAAATTAACTCGTTCTCGCGCCATCGTTGCGATCAGTTTAATCTTAATTAAAAGGCGAGGAATGGCCACCAGAACTTATCTAATTATCGAGGCAAGCCCAAGCGAATTTACGGCTATTTACTAGTTTCACACGAATATAATATGGGGACAGCAGAATCAAATTTTTGAACGAGCAATTTAAGATAGCTTCGGCAGGTATCAACAATATAAACGGCGCGATAAACATTGTCGTAGTTTAATCTACCTCGTAATTGCGAGAGATGCAGTGCAGTACGATAATTCCTGGACGCTCGCCCGGTAGATTATTATTATCGGCGTCGTTGTGAGCTATTGTTCCTCCTGTTCGTCATTCTAAGCGCGAAACTCGCTATTCATCATGGCAGGGAGCGAAGAAACGAGAAGCTCTTGGAACTTTTGTGAATAACAAAATGTAACAAATGAAGATACACCGAGATTGCGTGAGCAAAAATTACGCCGCCAGCGCTCGAAAATATCTTGTAGGAGGAAAATTAAAGGGAAGAGGCGTGACTGGAATTGGACGCTGCACTGCCGAGAGAGGCGAACCGCATGAATAAGTGACGAGCGACGTCGAGGAAAATTCATATCTGTAAATTTCGACGATGTTGTAGAGAAAAAGAGGAGAAAACCCCTTTGCGCTAGAAGTTCGTGGTGAAATTTTTTTAAAATTATAAACGCGCGAGAATCGAGGGAAACAGACCAACAGTATAGTGCAAGTGCTGAGTTCGAAATGAAAAGTCGAGCTACTGTATGTGCTGTGCGGCGGAGGAATGCAAATTTCACACACATGCACCGAGAATGCAGCAGCCGCTGTAGTACAATGCATCGATCGGAGCGATTCGACCTAATCGTCGTGCTGCAGCTTTGTGGAAAAAAAAAAAATTCGCGCTCTGTGCGTGTAAGTCAAGTAGAAAGTCGTTGAGCAGCGCAGCGACTAGCGAACTACGAGCTATACAGCTCTATAGTAACTCGTCGAAATCCGATCATCTTTCTTCATTACGTGCGCACAAATGTACTTGGTGGAAAAGGAGAGGTTTTCGCGTAGATTAGTGGGTACAGTTCTTGATCGACGCCGTCGTTATCAGCATCGTCTCACGATCATGTTGACGAGCAAGAGAGGACGGCGTCATGGAAAGTATTGCCTTCGGAACGTAGAAAACACCCAAGTACGCATGCACAATGCCCAAGTGACTTGCTTATCATATATTTGAGGCAGTTTTTTTGGAAACGGTCTGGAAGACATGTATGCCTGTCTCGATAAATTGGTAAAGAGAAATTGAATTTTCATCCATTTAGGTTTAGAAAATGAAATTATCCGCATCGATCGAGCGACGAGATTTAATAAGCGCCATCGAGTTGATCGACGCAGCAAGTCAGCAGGTCTATATATATATACACATGCATATAGGATGCTATCATCGAGAATATGTATCCCCCATCTCCGCTTCTCTCTCTCTCTCTCTGTCATATGTGTGTGCGTGTGTGTGTCCCAGTTTCCCGGAAAGTCATTTAGCTGCAGTGCTGTGCAGCGGCCAGAGCTGCGTAGCGTTGCAGCGAGTTCTGGCGACGGCTAACCAATCGTACACACTCGTCCAAGTAGATGCGTGATAGCTGCTAAAGTTGCGCCGACTTTTCGATTCTTCTCTCATGGCGGAGAAGAAAACAGCTGGAGGAAGAGGCTCTATCTCTCTCTCTCTCTCTCTCTGTGGAGCTGCGGTGCTAACAGTAGTAGCTGCAGTCGTCGCACTCATTGTGCAGCATTAGGAAGAAGCTCGTGCGACTGCAGCGGAACCCATGAGACTGGAGAGACGTGTATATATAGGCAGGCTCCGCGCGAAACGCGAAAAAAGAGAAAGAATCAGCTAAGCGAAACGATGTCATGTTAGAAGCGGCAGCGCAGTTACGAGTGCAGCATACACTCTTTGCGTGCAGTGCAGCGCGCGAAACTTTTCTCTTTCACGGCATAGTAGCGGCAGACTAGACGTTCGCTAAACTCGAGCCTCCCGAGAAAATTCACTATTAGTCGCTTGGTCTTGAAAGCGAATTCATGCCGTGTATACACACAGAGACTCGCAGGCGCATAATATACATGCGCTACAGTCCAAGAGCTAAGACTTAAGCGCGACGCGTATGCGAGTCCACGTTCGCTGCATGTGTGTGTATGTGTGTATGCGAGCCCGTAATTGCAAAGCCGTGAATTCGATTAGGCCAGTGCGCAAACGATCGTGCACTGTAGCCGTCTACAACTACCTACGTATACGGCATAAAGTGCGATTTAACGAGATAGCCGCAGCTATGCCCTCCGCTGCCAAAGTAAAATCTCAAGCTCCTTCTTTTCTCATTTTTTTCCTTCTTCTTCTTATTTGCTTCGCCTTCGTGCGGGCTCGATTTAGCCATGCTCGAGTAAAAATCAATGCCTTATATATATTTCCTCTCTCGCTCTTCGCTGGTCTCTGTTTGAACACGCGATGGCTTATCGTGTATAGCGCAGCCGAGCTTCGCTTTTACGTGATTATATTAAATTGATATTGTAATCGACTAGTCGTTCGTACTTTATGCACGAATGAATGAGTTTACGGTGCGGTGTGTCCTTGCTTGCTCGTGGCTCAGCCCGCTCGAGTTAACTCAATAAAATGCTCCAGCTCTGTGTGTATATTATCTACATTAGTGGCTTTTAATGGCCATTGTTGCATCTGCAATTACATCTAAGCCGTCGGACGTGTTGCGCGCCCGGAGGCTAAAGCCGCACTGCTAGCTAAAGCCATTCTCTGCTGCGTACGTACACATTTCGGCTTTCGTCGTACTTTGCACTTGTCGAGTGACTATGAACGTGATCGATCAGTAACGGACTCGAGTATAGCTAGCTCGAGCTTTTGCGCTGCTATTTTGCAACTCGCATACGTTTCGGGCTCGTCAGACGCGCCCAATGACGCCAGTTCCGAGCTTAGATGATGAGAAAAAAAAAGCTAATGACAAGATAGTCGCTCACTGCTTTTAGTTCGTCGTTCGTTCGTTCGTTCGTTCCCTCGTGTGCAGTGCCAAAACTGAGCCGAGAGTTGGAAAACCAAAAGTTGGCCGATCAATGATTTCTCTCCCTCTCTCTCTCTCTCTCTCTCTCTCGGCAATATTACCCATGATTCTTCGAGGTTTTAAAGCCAGGCATATCTCGATTTCATGGAGCTGGCCTGCCGCTGCACACGAATTATGCGTCTCTTTGGACAATTCAAGGTGACGATGTTTGAAAGACTGGTTTTTTAGCTCTAACCGAGCGTACTGCAGGCCGCAGCACGCACGGCCCGCAGCGGAGGAGCATAAAGCGCGTACGCGTGCGCTACTCGCCCGATGCCCGAGAAATGCGTATAGCAGCACCTATATAATGCATTGTGCAGCACGTATATATTCCGAGGCTCGAGCGAGTTGAGTGCAACGAAGCAGCCGAGGGAACTCGTTCGGCAAGATTCGCCTGCCTCGGACCGAGTTTTACTTCTCTCTTTTTTTTTTGCAATAAATATATCTACCTATATGTTCATTTTGGCCATTGTCGCGTCGATCTTGTGCGAGTGTGTACCTGCACAGCTCCTTATACACATGCCTCGATTCGACGCGTATCCAGCGAATCCCATCTTGGCTTCACGGCTCTCCGCAGAGTGCAGTCAGCACAATCTGCATTCGCCCAGAATTATATCAACTATAATATGCGCTCAACTCGAAGCAACAGCTCCCCTCCGCGCAGCGATTTTCCATTATTATTAAGGTCGATGCAAAATCCAGCCAACGCGAGGAGTGGGAGACACTACCACGACAGCCTAGGCTTGCTGCGCTCTACTCGTCCCTCTCTCTCTCTCTCTCTTTCCGTACGTGTGTGTATGAGCTTGTGTACAGTGCACTGCGCTTGTGTATACTTGTATACCAAAACTACACATACATACAAACATGAAATTTGTGTACATGTAGCGAGTGGGCGTGCATTAATGGAGAAAAAAATCGTTAAAACTAACTCAAGCTTATCGTTGTTTTTCATATAAATAAATAACAAAGTCATTTGCCCATTGCAATACTTCTAGTCTTTAAATATTGCATATAGTCAGTCATTGGACGGATGATACAAAGACTGCTTAATGCCATAACGAGGCTATCAAAACATTCGCTTATAGCTGCGAATAGAAAACGCCACGAGCCTCACAATGACGTGCTGCCATCTGACGAGCCCACGTAAATACGCCCAGCTGCATAGTGCAACAAGCACTTACCCTATTACAAATTTTTCAAACTACTGCTTTGTCTATAGGATTCATCTCTTCTCGACTAACGAACTATTTTTAATAATAAATATTGATAAAAATGTTGCGCCAAAAGATGATTTCTTTTTCCCCCATAAATTTACTTCAGACTCATCGGTTAAATTCAGTTTCAACAAATTTATCAACACTTGAGAATAATGAAATTTCTCAACGTAGCTTTATTTATTATTTTTGTCTTTAATTTTCAGAACTTTTTGGTTTGAGGAAAAAGTGTCCAGTACATCCGTTCCCTGAACACCTTCCAATTAAAAGGTGTTCCAAAGACAAAGATTGTGAGCCTAATCGCATATGTTGCCCAGATAAAACTGATAGCAAACTCTATTGTCGCACTACAGCACCTTTTTGGGCACAATTGCCTTTGTCAATTCCACAAAGTAGTGATAGTAAGTTTACTTTGAATTTCTTTAAAATGTGTGCCATATTTTCACAAGTTAATATTCATACCATGTATTTATTCTTAGCCTTGAAAACTATTATTGGTTTCATGCAATGTCAACAACCCCCATCTCCAGCTCTAGATCTTTTTTCTAAACCTTGCAATAAAACAATGGATTGCATACCCAATTTGTGTTGTCAAGAGGGATCTAAAAAAGTTTGCAGATCATCAAAAAGTTCAGTTTTGAAACTAGCTGTTCAAGCAACAGCGGTAAGTTCACGCGGCAACAAATTATTCAAATAAAAAAACCAATTTTCATCATTATTATTATTTTACAGAGATTTATTAAGGGATAGGAAAGTGATAAAAACCAATGTGTTTTTACGAACCATTTTACTGAATTCTTGTTAGTACAGTCTTAACATTCTGACTTGATACTAATAATTAACAACTTTGAATGTAAAATCTGCTCCTTTGACAAGTTCAGTTTATTTGGTTTGTAACTTAATCCAACTGTAACAAAAATAAAAATATCATTAATGTATGCAATAAGTTAAAAAATTTCAATAAATTAGTATCAAAACATTTTTTAAAGAATATTTATTTTCACTATCAAATTAAGTAAAGTCTGATAGAATTTTCTTATTTCTTCATTTTCAATCAAGAAAAATTTTCTCAAAGACTCTTACCTTTTTAAATCCAATGTCAGCCGCATACTCTCTGAAGCACTGACGGCACAGATTGAGAGCATATTTACGGATTATTCCGTGCCTGTTAGAACACGCATGGCTGAAAAAAATAAAAAAATGCTGTTATTCGGGGAAACTAAAGATACAGTCGACGAAGATATACGTATATTTTCCAAAATTGGATGAACTTGAAATAGTGGTGAATAAACTATTTTAATTAAAGAAAAGTTCGCGAACGGTTGAATGATGTTTAATTATTGGTATAATTCTTCATTGTTATTTTCAATTAATGCAAAAATACTGTACGACTAGGGTACCATTTGGAATGTGTAGGTTAGAAACAGATATGATCAATTGAAAGATGAATAAGTGCTTGAGTTTTCTTACCAGGATCTTGATCCTTGGCCGTATTTGCGTGGATGAGAATAGTGAATATTTTCGTGACCCATTTTGAATTTAAATTTGTGCCTAATTAGTGAATTAGCGACAATAGTCACTGTGCAATGCACATAGAATTAATATAATAACCGGTGTAGCAGCGTGCCGCGTTCGTGTCGTTCAGGCTGTGCGAGGCGAACCTAAAAGTTGGCAGCAGTGTAGCTACGAGTCATTGCTGCCTTGTTGGCCCGAAATTTAAACCGTTTGGATGGTTTGTACAAATTTTTAAAAATTTTTCTATCGACTGTCGCATTTGGTTGATTCTCCCGAAGTTTGCTCTTTCGGGGATAGAAAATGAAAAAATGGCGAAAATTTTTTTTTCACATTGAACGGTGCGAATTAGTTTACCCTTTCTTTATCCATAAAATGTAAGTAATCATTGAATCTGGGGCCTGGAGATTTCGTTTTACGAAAACTATGTCCGATTTTATGCTTAAAATTGACTATTTTCGGTTACGGAGGTGACACACACGGAGGTGACAAATCGCTGCTTTGATCAAAAAAGTACGAAAAATAAGAAACGCACAAAATTTTCCGTACAACCCGAAATTCGGTCAAAGCTCAAGATATTCATATCCGAGGTGACAGTTTTTTTTAAACACGTGAATTTTCCAATAGTATTATCGCTGCATAGCTAAAATGTAAAATTTGAACCCGCAACCTACACTGATCGAAAGTTGGATCATAATACTTAACATTTATGTATCTATAGGGACATCAAAAATGAGTTAGCGACTAAAACCAGGCGGTATATTTGAAATTATTCAGAATTACAATGAGAGACATTTTTCAATTGTGTGGGAAATTTTTTAAAAACATTTTTCAAAGCCCTATTATTATAGACTTAAACTTTACTCTGGATGTATAGAAGCTGGTCTCATAGTTATTATAGGGTCAGGTGCTAATGAGAATGCATGGTACATGCAAATAGAGTTGATTTTGAGATGTAGACATGCCACAGAGGTGACATTTGGCATGTATATCTTCACGGCAAATTTAACTGACCCTAAAAAATTGAAATATTTATGTCCTATCAGAAAGAATACAATAATATTGAATGAACGACCGATCGAGATTTGGCTTATCTTCACTAGTTTAAGAACAACCATTTGCGTTTTTTAATGTTTAAATGCAAATATAAAAACGATTATCTTTTTTATTTATAATAAATAAATGATATTGTTAAATTGCATTATCTTGAGTTTGTAAAACATAATTCAATAACACAGGGTGCTAACAAAAGGGTTCATAAGATTCGTCCACGAAACGGTACTAAAAAAAAAGTTTATTGTTGAAAATGTTTAACTTTTCTTATATACTGATACATGAATAATATTGAAAAAAATTAGATTTCCTAAAATTCCGAGTCGTTTGCTAATTAATCAAAAAATATTCATTACAAATAACGCAGCTTACGAATTTAATTGATTTTTGCGAGAGAAAGTGGCTGAGCAAAACATATCTATTCCATAAGGCATATGAATATAGGAATTGAATCGAAGGAGAAAGAAGGAGCGTGTGTAGTAAGAATCGGGGAGAAAGAAGATGTGTTGAACACGTATAGAAAAAGAAAGAGAGAAAGAGAGAGAGAGAAAGAGAGAGAGAGAAAGAGAGTTGGAAAGCACAATTGGAAACAGGTTTCTGGTGACTTTTACTCGAGTGATTCTGCTTGCCAAGAGGCTAAGAAGGGACGGAGGAGTTGCGTACGGTATTTTTTTAGCAGCCATTTGAGCGACGCACTGCACCGGCTAGGTGTATATACAAAGTGCTCCGTAGCCACGATACATGTGTCCGAGTCCGCGTGCTTGTGTACACGCGTCGTGCTCCAACGTAAATGTAACGCGAATTATTTAATCAGTGCAACAAATGTTACCAAACGTCATTGGATTTTTGTGGTAGCGAGAAAAAACGAGCGTAGCGTAATTAGCGCGTTTCTGCTTGTGAAAATGACCCAAGTCAAGAAGCCGAGCACAGAGGTACTAATACTTTAAATTCAATCTGTTGGAATCATTTTGCCAATTTACGTTTGTCGAATTGCAGGTAGGGCAAGTGAAGAGAGCGAGCCTAAGCGATCGGCTGCTCAGTACCAAAGTCAAAGTACTGGCAAAAATTATCCTATCGGTATTCATAGCGCCGGCGATTCTATACGGTCTGTTTTTCCTGTTTCTCCGCTACCAATCGCAGCTGACTCGAGTCGAGATCAAGCAAGTCAGCGTGAAGGAGAAACGGCCCGTTTACTGGCTTTACAACGCCAAAGAGCCGCGGAGTACGGGCCACTTGAAGCACGTTATCCGCGTGCTCGAGCGTCTGGGATTCGAGCGAGGCAGCAACGAGTCCGATTGGGATCTTTTGTGGGCCCACGACTATCCGTTTAAAAATCTCTACTCGCAGCTGTATCAGCCGAAACCTCACCAGCTGATCAACCATTTTCCCGGTTGCGGCTATATAACGAACAAAGTCGACCTGTCCACGAGCGAAGGAGATTTCCTTCCCAAATCCTTTAAAATACCCGAGGACAAAGACAAGCTGCTGGAATTCGTGGAGAAAAATCCGGAAAAGACGTTCGTTCAAAAATCCAATGCTCATCGTGGCATCAAGATCCAGCGAGTTCAAGAATTGAATCTTACTGCGGTGGGCTCCTTCGTCCAGGAGTTCATCGAACGGCCCTATCTAGTCGACGGCTTCAAATTCGACATCGGTATCTACACGGTCGTAACGTCGATCGATCCGCTACGAGTCTACGCTTACAAAGGCGACGTCCTCTTCCGTTTTTGTCCCGTCGAGTATTACCCCTTCGATCCGGAAAACATCGACAAGTACGTCGTTGGCGACGATTACCTACCGATATGGAACGTACCTTCGCTCAAGAATTCTTACACCAAGCTGGGCCTGTCGATGAAGGAGTCCTTCGACACTTACGTCAGATCCACTGGCAAGGATCCCCAACGGATGTGGGACGCTTGCTTCGATGCCATTAAAAATGTCCTACTCCAAAAGGAGGCCCAAATACGCGACGTCGTCGAAAAGAGATTCCGAGGCACTCGTCGCAACTTCTTCGAACTCGTCAGATTCGACTTCACCGTTGACGAAAACCTCGATGTTTTCATGATGGAAGCGAATATGTCGCCCAATCTATCCTCGGCTCATTACCCACCCAACCAATTGCTTTACGAGCAGGTATTGTACAACCTGTTCTCCTTGATTGGGCTCGCTCAGAGGACCAGGAAGGACTCGCTCAAACCAGGGTAATTTTTCTTTATAATTCCTTCGAGTAGCACATTACCAAATTAAAATGCATACATTGACAGGAGCAAAGAAGAGCGAGATATGGTTGTTGCGGATAAAAATCTCGTTGTTTTACCCGAAGTATGCTCAGAGTGCGAGGATTGCTTCAAAGTAGAATGCCAACTGTGTCGATTTTGTTTCACCGACGATACGAGGCGCATTTTGACACAAACCTATTGGGAGCATCAAAACAAAATGGACTATTTAAGACTTTTTCCTCCAGTTATCGTGAGTGCAAACATTTCAGCTAATCATTTCATGTATATCATTTTTAATCTTAAAATTTTTAATTTTTTAGAAAAAAAACATGGTGCTTAAAGACTATTCTCTGAGAAATCAACTTTTAGTTCGATGGTTCCAGGGCAAATGTGAGCTCGATCCAACGTGGTGCAATTAGCAATGCATTCAGTTTCAACGGATATACTCTTTTAGTACTTGATATTTTTATTATACAAATTGTACAAAGAGAATTATTTAGATTGTAGGAATTGTAAACAATTATAATATTCAGAGTTTTTAATTACCCTGATACTAAGTACCTCTGAATTGTTTTATTAAATTTACATAATGTACATAGTTTGAATTACAAAAATGCATGTAAAATATATGTATAAATAAAAAAAGTAAAAAATTTACATTCATAAAATTATCAACATACTTGGAATTTTCCAGTACCTAATATACTCACTTGAAATCTACTTGGTCAACACAGTTATAGCATTTTGTATACTTTTTAAAATTAACAATTTATTTTAGTTGGCAACTATTTTAAGTAAACAATTCCACTTTTTTTAAATCCAATGCACTATTATACTTTGTTTGGCGTTTTTGAAAAATCAATCAGTTATTGTCCAATTTTTTCTTTCTACCTTTTTTGGTTTCTGGCGCGTTAGGGTTTGTACCTTTGTAAAAATCTTTAAGTAATTGCATCGCTTCAACGCCTTTTACATTACCTACTACATTTATTTTAGAATCATAAACTTTAGATACTTCAAAAACACTTTTACAGCCTCCAAACCTATCGTTGGCACAGCCATAAATTATGCTGTTAATACGCAGTTGGTGTAAAGCTGCAGCACACATTATGCAAGGTTCCACTGTGACTACAACATCAATTTTCGTAAAAACTTCCTTAGAATTAAGATTGTTTTTCTGACAATAGACTAGAACATCATCGATACAATTAAGCTCAGCATGGCGAGTGGCATTCTTTGTTTCATTAACAGTATTGCTACCTGTTGCTATTATCTCATTTTTATAAATAAATAAACAGCCTACAGGTACTTCTCCTCTTTTTAAAGATATTTGGGCTTCGTGTAGAGCCTTATCCATCCAAGCATTGGCATCCATGTTATCACTTACAATTAAAAAAATATTTACAAAAAATCATTCAAAGTACATAAAACAAATACAATGATTCATTTTGGAGTCACTATGATGGATATAATTAGTTGAATTTGATTTAATTTAAAAAATAATCCATTAACTTGTATTCTTCTAGCTTAAGTTTGGCTTTCTGATTCCAATTTTCATTACCTACTGATCTTGGACTTGGATGTGGAATACACAAAACCTGTGGAGATTACACATTTTTGTATTGGTTAAAAATTAATAATTAATAGTGATGAACTTATAATTTCAATAGTATTTTTCACATTTTGTACTACCTTTACTGGTAGACCATCTGTTTTAACAACGGTTTGGGCCCTTTTTTCTGCAAATCTTCCTACTCCTAATACTATCTCTACTTGAAGTAATTTTAATACAGATGCTAATGCTCTGTCACATGCTTCAAATAAAGTGTACTGTTCTTGACCCTGTAAAGTAGAAAGTTGAAATTATTAACTAAGCAATTGTTGTTTGAATTTAAAATGTTTTGCCTTTAATTCAGCAGGAGTGATGTTTCGACCTCCTTGATCCATCAAAGCAATTGGGCAATAATTGTGCAAGAATGAATGTCTAAAAAATTTATCTATATCTTCGTTGCATATGTCTCTAAATAGATTCCAAAATCTACGACCACTAATCTCACTACGCTTACAATTAAACCCTGTTACTCTTCTATCAGCCTGTTCACGAACAGGCTTTCCAATATTACATTTTATTTGCATCCAGTCTCTCACAACATTTACTTCACCAAATGGCACTCCCGTTTGTGACATACCCCAAGGTCCTGGATTCATTCCAAGAAACAAAATTTTTTTCGTTGTCTTGCAGTATCTTGTTACGTACATAGCATGAGCTTGAAATGCATAGTCAATAGGATTATACACGTACTCAACAGGAAAATTAAAACTGAGTAATCTCAATTTTCGAGAAAGTTCACACTCAATAGATAATAAATTATCTGGAATGCTTGTAATACTTTGTATGGGTAAGTTAGGTATGAAAAAAATTTCCTTATCACCATTTTTGCTATTGCGTATATTTTCTGTGCTATCTTCCTTTTTCTTTGTGCTAAGATCCAATGGGACTTCGTCATATTCCATTTCAGCTCTTTTTGATGTGTCCATCTCTCTATACGTAGCAATTATAAATCTGCGTTAACGTTCGCTTCAACCCATAATCCGTTGCAATATTTTTACGAAAAAAAATCGCTAAACGATCGAAGCTCACTACGATATACGAAACATGCAGTAGCATTTGTGCGCAAAAAACCCATTGAAATAGCGATTATAATGATAAATAAATACGCAAGCGTACTGTCGAACAGAGTTTAACATTGTTATTGATTTTGTCGTTCACCAACATGTACAATTATTGCATTCACACTTGCGTACACTGACTGTATGTATAGTACTGAGGAGTAGTAGGTTTATGAAAGAGAGCGCACCAATGAACTTTTTTGTATCCTTTGTTCGTGATCGCACTCGCATTCACAGACATCCGTGTACATACACACTTCAACAGTACGCTAATGGGATGGTTTCCAAAATGAAAATTATCCGTGAAGTGTAATACATTACATGCGATCAACACGTGCACATTTAGGCAACTGTCAGAACTAATTTTAATTCATGCAAAGACAATTGGTAACGTCAAATTAATATCTCAAATAGTACCGGTACGTTTAATATGCGACTATGAAGCATACATAAAGATACGCTCAACAAAAGTAAAACAGAAAAACTTACCTTAATTGGAAAACTTCGATGCTTATCACGCTTTTATTTATGAGGTATCGAGAGTTATTTGTGTGTCTATAGCCAGTAATTGACTAACAATTGACATTAATGCGCGTGTACATGTATGTATGCATGTAGAATAAGATAGATATAGGACACGAAACAATGAAAACAGCGGATAATCCCCGGGAGTCGGGAGAGAATCCTGGGTAATGCTGCACACAGTGCAACAGTCTCTGCTTATCATAGAGAAATGTACTGTGTACGATGCGCTTGCCCCGGCCCCGCAGCTTCGTATAAACTAGTGCCATCTCTTCAGCGTTTTATGTACAAATACTTATTTTTATCCGCTATGCGTGGGTCAAAACGATACCATCATCATCTATACATAATTTGTGTACGAAGCAAACTATATCCATACGGAGTAACATGTTACTATCGAGGAGTGTGCGCTTTTCAACGTACAGATTGCCTAAACTGCCGAGCTGATCGTTGCATACCTTGCAGCATGTCAAGTATCCTCAGATATCTTTCGAAGTTCCGATAAAAGCAAATCAATGTTTATTGAATCAGGTGCTAAGTAGGAATGAGCCTAATATTTACAATCCCTCGACTTGAATTTCCCGCAATTACATTTACACATTTCTCTAAAACAGTTAAAAAACCGGCTTGCAGAGGGCCTGTAACGCAAACTTAGTAGTCTGCTGTTGGCAGTTGCTGTTTGTTAATATAACCTGTTGAAGTTGTTTGTGCAGTGTTTGTGAATTGTAACTGTTAATTATCAACATGGTTGTCGAAGAAAAATCCAGTGGTCCCCCACAAATATTTGACACAAGTATTCCTTTTAGTGCCCAAAAAGTCGATGACGTTTACATCGAAGAAATATGCCTTTCCAAATTTTCAATCCGGCGAATTATGATGCTGGAGTTCAGCCAATATTTGGAAAAGTATCTTTGGCCCAACTATGATGCAAAGACAGCAAGAAGAGCACATACTATGTCAATTGTTGTTATGGTCAATGAAAAATTTAGGGAGCGTGTTCAAGTGTGGGAAGCTTTTGAGAAGCAACCAGAGCAATTTGAAGGGTTCTTTCAAAATGTTTTGGAAGCTACTTTAGAAGATGATATCATGGATTTCAATTTGAGTGAACAAACAGCATTGATAGTTTTTTTGAATCATTGCTTTAATTCTATGGAAATTGGTCTTGTTAGAGACAGAGTAAAAAGGCTGGTTTCACCAACTATATGGATTTGCCTTCAACAAGGTCGAAGAGAAGCTGAATTCAAGAAATATCCAAAATGGAAAAAAAAGTTCAAACTTATATTAAAAAAGGATAAGCCAGAGGAAAAAGATAAATTAGATTGGGAGCGTAGATTTTTACACAAATTAATGATTAAGTTTATGACTATTCTAGAAACTATTCCAGAAAAAGGTTTGTCTTTCTATGGTTGATTTTATTGATATACTTTATAGTTTAAAAATATAATTAAATATTCAATTTCTTTTTCTTTAAGGTGATTTAAATGCCGATAAAGTACATTATTGTGAAAGATTTCTAGAACTAATGATTGATCTTGAGGCCCTATTACCTACAAGAAGGTATTTTCACACTGTTTTGGATGATTGTCATTTAGTGGTCAGATGTCAGCTGTCAAATTTACTTAAACGTCAAGAAGGTGGTTTATTTGGACAGGTGAGTTATATTAAAGCATTTTATTTTTCAAGCAAATTGAAAAAAAATTTGGTCATGTTGTGTATGGTTAATAATATATATGTGTATAAATTTAAAAATCTTATATAAATATTAGGTACATCATATTATATTTTCTTATAAGCTCACTTGTGTTTTACATCAATGTCAAGGCACAAGTATGAGAATTTGCATTGAGACATGATTTTATAAAATGACTGCATTTCTTCCTAAAACTAGATCATTATACTTAATTGTCTCTTTCATAATTTTAGACAAATGTTTATACTTATTGATAAAATATGTACAACTGTTATCACTCATGTTATTCATTTCTATTTGAACTATTCTTTGTTCATTTACTTTGAGTATTCCTGTTTTAATAACATAGTTTCATGAAAATCCCAGAAATTCAATTTGATCTACTTCAATTCTTGCACATTCTCATTATTTAATACAATTCCATCTTATTTCAATAATTTTAATTCTACTGTGATTTAAATATATCAAAGTAATAAGAAACGATTAAAAATCATATCAATACTTGAGAGATTCTAAATTGATTGCAAGAAAAAGTATTTAAATACTTAATATCCAGCATTTATAGCAGTCATTTCCTCTCCCCATTCGAAACCATCTGGATTTTCACTAGGAATACAACAATTGCACGTTTTTCCTAGAAGAAATTTGACTCGTTTTTGACCAAATACACAAATATAAAGAATTGCAAGTGCTTCAATCACATTGACAATTATGTTACAATATATAAGTCCATCATATTTCAGTAATGACAATAAAAGTGATACCCAGCCAAAAGTCATTACTCCAAAAACTAATAAAAATGTTCTAAAACTAGTTTTCATTTTTAAATGAATTCTTCCATAAGTAGGCATTCTTTTAAGCTTATTAATTGTAGTTAATACAAAGCACAGATTGACAATTAATGTAAATCCCATTGATGTAAATAAGACAGATAATGCTAACCAACCAATAGTTTCTTGAGCAGCAAAAGCCACTCCACCAACCATAGGTACATTAGTTTCTAAAGTGAAGTGAGCAAAAATAGCTGTTGCTGCTATGCAAAAAGTTGAACTCCAAACATACATGGAATATAAACAATACTTTTTCCTATCAGTACTACGTAAAAAAACATTGTTTGACCTAAATGTATTCCACACATAATATCCTAGAGCATTGAGCCAGCAGAAAGCTGCTAACAGTGCTATATATTGAACTGAATCTGTAATTAGAAAAATAGTTAAGAAATTTCAAAAATTAGTGTACAATTTCAATTACAGATATAATAAACTTGCCTGCAACCATAAAACTGATGTGGTTTCCAAATTCTGTGAAAATTTTGACAATCGAAGCACTTTGTTCAACGATAAGGCACAAAGTCATACTAGTAATCATATTACCCACGAGATCTCTGAGTTGTGGTAGTACAAAATAAACAATAGCTACCACTAAATAACTGACCATGGCAAGCGCATGAAAAGCAGGATCAATAGCTTTTTTCATGAGATTATCAGTACTCGCCCATTTGTCAGGGCTTGGAACGCAAATTTTGGCGTACGTAATGATCAAATTATCTTTAGTCAGTATAGCTTTATCGGCACAGTAATGTCCAAAAGAATAGTCATAGTGGATGGCTTTTGCTTGCACTTCTTCAGAATCAAAATCATCAACACCATACATCTCTTTAGCTTTCTGCTCGGGATCCTCCTGATCAGACACATAGTGCCTGAGTTGACCGTTAAGCATCATTACCAGTCTATCGGTGCCAGTGGGATGACTGTAAACATCCCACTGCTTCTCATTACTCTTACACTTGGGCTGGCCATGTAAAAGAGTATATTTTGGCTCTTTGACTGGCTGAGCACCCTCATAAGTATCCTCGGCTTCAAAAGTCGGCTTCCACAGTTCCGTGTAATTGGCTTGCTTCTGCGTGACACAGTGGCCATCCAAAAGGATTTCGTCGTCCTCGCAGCACTTTGCTATTTTCACGAGATCTTCCTCCTTCTGACCGAAGGTATCTCGAGCAGGATCGTCACCTATTCGAGGCGCATAATTGCTCGCGTAATTGGCGGTGGCCGTTGTCGTGCCAACGAGCAGGAGCAAGGCAAAATATTCACGCGTCGTCCACATGTTTGCAAAGATTATACGTCTGTCATGGAATTACGATAGTTTAGAAACGAGTCGCGTATCGTCGACATGAGTAATCGCGTATATGGTTCTGGTAGCAGACATCGAAGCGAAGCATTGACACTGCTGACGGGTGCGAGCGCGTTCTATGTGCTCCGTGGCGTTAAGTAACGCTCACCTTTCTCGAGTTACCTGCCCGTGTCGATCGACCACGGCGGTGGAGGTGGAGAGCAGCAGCAGCAACAGCAACAGCAGCTTGTATATATTTTCCTCGTTCCTCGCCTGTTTTTGTGCTCCCTGCGTGTGGAACGCTCATCGACGTCCAGTGCTGCAGTTGTCAAAGCGCACGTCGAATTGTCTTTTTTTTTTCAGAAATAAAAATAATCCTTCTCTATATAGCTCGATCCATCCATACTGCCGCGCTGCGCCTCATCCACACGTGCTACGTAGCAAATACTCGATCGCGTACTCTGGTAGACCAGAAATAAATCGATGCCAAGCGTCTGGCGTTTTTTTGTTGCGACTACTGGAGAGATGAACGCTTTTGCGGCTCGAGCGTTCGACACGACTATAATACTAGATAGGTAAGGATATGGGGATAGCAATAACATGCGCTGCGTGGCCGGTGTCCCCCCCCCCCCCCTTGGGTGACGCGACGCTCCTCCACTACGCTACGTACGGACTGCTCAGTCAGTGTTACTTCTTTATACTATAGAGTTGCTGCGCTCGCATGCTATTTCGCGTACTTCTGCTGGCCCCCTCTTCGCGAGAATATATATGCGTCGCAAACACGATTTTGTATCCACACGCAGTCCGACTGCACTGGATGAGCTGCAGAGTCGCTTTTCGTTGCACAAGTATAGACTATAGATATAGGATGTATAGCCGAGCGTCGATGTCAGCGCGATTTCAACTTATCGTCGCACTCCGCTTCTACTAAACATCTCGGCTTGACGATTTAGTTCGAGGGAAAAGAAAAATTTCGAGCAAACGATTCAATCTACGATACAGTTGTACAGCTCAATCTTATCAAAAACTCCAGAAAATCTTGAAAAGAGTTACGAAATTCGTGCGCGTGTTGACTCACGAGCGCAACAGTTATGTTTTACCGGATTTGCTCCGTCTTTAAAATGTTCTAGGGCATTTTTGCCTCGTCAGCTCTTGTTCTTTAAGTAGGCTCGATTGCTCCGAAGAAAATTGAGAGCCACACGTTTGATTTGCGCTAATTTGCCCTTATTGCTGGAGCTCGCCAGTGCGCTAACATCTACGCACATATATATACGCACAGGCTGTCGAGCAAAAAAGAATTCATGTCGCACTCGAGCCTTGCCAGTACAAAGCGAACCAATTAGACTCGTAAATCACAGCTATTTATTTTTATTATCATTATATGTACAGTGGGACAATTTACAATTATAATGTGTGTGTTAAAACTATTTAAGTCGATGATTTTTCCTCTCGTATATAAAATGACATGTTGCAAAGCACAGGCACACATATTACACACATACACTTAATATCTCAATGTACAGAGTGGAAAAAGAAGAAATAATTGAATTATGCGCGGTACAAAAAGCGGTAGAGGTAATTATAAAACCATCGAATGGAAATGTTTGTGAAACGCTTTCGAAAAGTTTTTGTGCGTCTTGTTCGCAATCGACGAGGCGACAAAATATATCTGTTTATATATGGCACCTTAAGCTTGGATAATGATATGTTTTCCAACAGAAGTTATGTGCGTTGGCTCTGCACGAGTGTAGTAAGAATAATTATGATTAAAATCCTCTACGTTATAATTGACCAAAAGCCGCAGACGTATGCGAGTCGATCGGACATTATTTTCTGGTGCAGTCGAGTTTTGTCCCTGCGAACTAGCTCGGCTAGATCGTCGCGAAAAGCCTTTATGCTATGGAGAGTTCGAGCTCGATCGGGCCTGGTTTCTCCAGCTGCTCGTCGTACGCCAACCACGACCTTGGAAAATTGATGCCGAGAGGTCGTCTCGTGGCCAGAGCTTTTTTCACTTTGTTTCTCGACAGCACCAAAATATAGAACATGATGATACCTTGAAGGGCGTTGAGAACGTCCGTTGCCAACCTGATAAATAGAAAAAAAAAAGATGAATGAGGACTTTAACGCAGCAGCGAGATGGATTTCGACGGATGTGCAGACTTACCAGTATACGTCGCGGCCATCCCCGAAGACGAAGGATCCGATCTCGAATAACCAGGTGAAGCCCATGAGAAAGGCGAGCTTGAGGTACATGCAGCACTTGAGTCTGAGGGTGTTGAGTCGGTTGTCGTCGTCGCTCGACAAGCCGCTGTACTGGTGCCAGAGCTTGTAGCTGGTCAGAGCCAGATAGACGAGGTTCGCGCACAAAAGACAGAGAACCGGCCCGTAGAAGAACAGCCAATTCGAGTGCTTTCCTGTAAAGGTCCGAGCGTAGCGTCAACAGAGTCGACAGAGTCAAGAGCGAAATCGATCGAATGGAAATTGTTTTACCCGCGAACCAGCAGCCGATTTCGCCCATGCCAGGGTTGAACGGGTGGACGATCTCCAAGCCGTGATGACAGGCCACGGCGACGAGCAGAAACGCCAGAGGCGTCAGCCATCCGACCAAGCTGTACACGAGGAACATGAACTTTCGATCGGGTGAACAGCTCGGGTACCAGACCGACTTCCAGATGTTGAACGATATGATGTTGAGCCAGAAGAAGGCGCACATGTACGCGTAGTACATTGCGAATCCTGCAAATCGAATCGTTTTAATGGGTCTGCTTAATTTTACGGACAGCTAAATCTTACCCAAAACGACGCATATAATTGTACCCGAGTGGCTGGGGAAGATTCGCAGATTCGAGCTGAAGAAAAAAGCCACCGCGAACGCGGCTACCATCGACGTTATGGCCTTGTCCTGCACTTCCCTCAATTCCGGCAAGTGAACGTAAATGCAGAAGGTGAGGAAGAGAAACAAGCTGGATAGCGCGCCGCAGAAGCCGAACATGAGCTCCCTAAATCGTTGGTACTCCGCGTAGGGTGACTCGGTGAAGCAGACCAGGGCCACCAGTTCGTTCGGCACTTGAGTGGATTTGGTCACGCAGTATCTACGAGTAAAGGCAAGATGGTCAATCGATCGCGAATACAAGTGTACCGGCTGCAGCTGGGCAAGCTCACTCGTTGGACGGTATGCGCTGCCAGTCGTCGGACGCGTGCTCGGTATCGTTGAGAACGAGCCACGTCTCGTTGTGCTCCTCGACGAATGTGAACGTCAAGCTGGGCTCTATGCTGGTTTGCAGAAGGAACGACAAGGAACAGTCCATCTGGACGATCCCTCCATCGTTGCAGTTTTGCGTGTTGTTCAGCCACAAGACGTTTGGGCCGCAGCACTGCGGTGGCTCGCTTCGTCCTTCCGCGAAGAGGAGGCACCAGACTATCGCGACCAGCAGCATCGTCCCTACGATCATAGCTTTTTCATTGTTTTCTCCTTTCTTTTTATTTTAAATTCGCTCCTAGTTGACTATGGTAACGTCGATAAACGTTTTCGAGTGCCTCTAGAGACATTTGCGAATGTTTATTATCGCGCGCGAAACACGTGTGTAGCGTTGGGCCGCTATTCTCGCGCACACATCTGCTTTTTTTCTGCTCTACTTATGCGTTACGATAATGCAACTAGTTGAATGCGAATCAACGCCTTATCGCTCTCGGCTTTTAGCAACAAACGTCATAGGAATTAATGGCCAATTAGAAAAATTGAGGCGTCATTCACTCACTGAGAGAAATCGAACGCTAATACAAACGATCGCTGCTATTTTTCAACCAATTGACCGCTGCTTCGATTTTGACTCGAGTTTTAGCCACGAGCACTTGAAAAACCAATGAAATTTATTTCATCTCAATTAAGAATTATTCAACCGTAGCGTTTTAGGCACTAAATATAAACGTGTGAGCAACAAGCGACTCGTTCATGCAGTTCAACTAAATATAGACAGAGAAAAAGTCGCGCGTTCATTCAGCAATCGTGGCTAGGCTGATTTTCACATTTGTCGAATGATTTATTGGCGCGCGCGCGAGATAATTCACCTGTTTTGACGTTAATTTGTCCAAGATTGCACGTGGTCTCGAGGCACGATATCGTACTTCACTTTTGCTTCATTTCCACGTTGTTTGTTTTTGCGAGTGGCGTAGTTGGGCGAGCTGCGCTGACAGTCGCGCGTTGCCTCCCGAGAGAAGACTGGCCAGTCGTACAGGTGTCCGCAGCTCTCGGCTGGCAATGGAGCATGTGCCAAGCGGAGATGATATCTACGCAGGTATCGATCTTGGTGCGTCTGCGACTCGTGCAGTACCCAAGTGCACTGCAGAACGTAATCGATGAGAGAGAGAGAGAGAGCAGCTGCAGAAGAAAGCGTGTCCCAATAGCGAGACGCTCGATATACTTTTGAGCTGCCTCGCTTCGCTCGTCTATGTTGGACCGTCGTGATTATCTTACCCGCGCATTTACCCCTTCTCCGCGTCTCTCTCTCTCTCTCTCTTTCTCTCTTGACTCGCACTCGTCGTACAACTCGTACTTGCACTCGCACTTACTCCCCGTGCCGTGACTTTTACGAAATTCCACGCTCGACGACCACTTTTCAATGCCTGGAAACATATTTTTTATAAAAACTTTTACTGTATAAATGTGATTTCTTGCCATTGGCCAATATTTCTTTTACGCATAAACTAGAACGAAATCTGTTATTTAAATTAATTGATAAAACTATAACGATTCAAAGATATTTCGATGCCTTTCAATAGAAATTTTATTTAATCGATGATTTCATTTGACAACGCTGACGTAACATTTTAAACTCTGCCTCATTTGCATAATTTATTTGTACTTTTTTTTTCATTCCATCGCACAATGCTTTGTTGTATTAGATGATCCAAGTATATTTATTGAGAAGAAACAAAACAAGAATAAATTCCTATATCGATAATGACTAGTGAAGATGGCTATAGAGTAACCTGTTGTCAGGCGGACAAAAAAGCCTGACTGACGTCCAAGTCGAAAATAACGAACCTATTGATTTATGTTTCCAGCTGCTGGAGATGCTCAAATTTTATGCCCGATTCGAAATCAGCGAAAATACTGGTGAATCATTGACGGATTACGACATGACACAGCTCCATTACTCAAAAATCCAGTCCTTGCAAACGGCTGCATTCGCCAAATTTCCCGATCTCCTGTCGTTCGCCCTGGCAAATGTCGCGAGCGTCGACACTCGCGATTCCCTTCTCAAGCATTTCGGCGCTCTCAGTCAGGAAAAATTACAAGCGATCGCCAGTTACCTGAACCTGGTACCAGCGGAGGAGCGCCAGAGCGACGAGAATTGGTTCAGGTTCGATCTAGATTTTCTCAAGGAGTTATTGGTAAGTAAGGAGCAGTGAAATCAAAATATGCCTCTATCGGATTGAGAAAAAAAACAACTTTTTGTTCTCCGCAGATTTCTCGACACGAGCGCAGAGTTTCCCAATTGGAAGCTCTCAACGAGATGCCGCTCTACCCTACCGAGGACATCATTTGGAACGAGAGCATAGTGCCGACCGAGTATTTCTCTGGCGAAGGCTGTCTGGCCCTGCCAAAGCTCAATCTGCAATTTCTCACTCTGCACGATTATCTACTGAGGAACTTCAATCTGTTTCGTCTTGAATCGACTTGTATGTTTTTCCTCGCTTTCGCGCTTTTTTCTTTAAATACTCGTTTGAGAATTTGCATGTGTTCTGTGTTCAAGTTCACTTTTTGTGATTCATTCTGATTCATTCCTTGACCTCTGAAAAAGAAAGAAAAATACATTATTTTCGTCGAAATGGAGCACATGCTGATTTATCGAACTTTTAAAAAATGACTATACATTTTCCCGCATTAATTTGCATTAATGTGTTTTTTTCTTCCGACAGATGAAATTCGACAAGACATCGAAGATTCGGTGAGCCGTCTCAGTCCATGGTGAGTTACGTCTATTAAAATTTTTAAGTATTTTCCACTGAACTAAAGCACTCGTTATAAATGTCAACAGTTATGCAATTTTGCACAATAGATGGTCGATTAAAAATGTTTTCAAATCGCGATCCATACAACAACGCATGTGGCTAGGAAATACCCAAGCATTACTCCGTCATTGCATTTTTCACGCGTGTCGCTGAACACGGCGCTCGTTGGCTTTAATTATAATTTCCCGTTAACTTATGATATTCGGAGGATCGATCGGCGCGCAAAAATTATAGAAACCGCAGGCTACGTCAACGCTCCTGTGCTAATACGTAAATGATATTTTGCACACAGGAAAGCCGAGGACGGCAGCGCATACTTTGGTGGTTGGGCGCGCATGGCACAACCGATCACTCAATTCGCTGTGGTCGAGGTGGCCAAGCCGAACATCGGCGAGAAGCAGCCGTCGCGGGTGCGAGCCGACGTCTCCATCAATTTGAGCGTCAGAAAGGAGATCAAATCCGAGTGGGAGAACCTCAGAAAGCACGACGTCTGTTTTCTCATCACTGTCCGACCACCCAATCCTATTGGTGCGTTTCAAGTATTTCTTTGCATTTTTCCGACATCAAGCATGCAAACGTATATTTTACTAATCGATACTTTTGTTACAGGCACGAAATACAGTCACAAATTGCCGTTCGTACCTCAAGTCGGCTTAACCACGGTACGCGGATGCGAAGTCGAAGGAATGCTCGACTCGAACGGACGCGTCATCGAGGACGGGCCCGAGCCCAGGCCCCTTTTGCCAGGCGACACGCGCACCTATCGAGTTTGGCTGGACTCGAATCAGTACCGCTTGGACATGGACAGCGCCAGTCACGGCGGCGACGACGTCTACGAGAGCTTCAACATCATCATGCGACGAAAGCCCAAAGAGAATAATTTCAAGGCCGTGTTGGAGACCATCAGAGAGCTCATGAATACCGAATGCGTCGTGCCCGATTGGCTGCACGACATCATTTTGGGATACGGCGATCCTAGCGTTGCTCAGTACAGCAGGTAGGCGCGATTTATTGCTGCGGAGGCAAAAACCAAGGGAAATTAACGTCCTTGTATCTTTTATTTCAGTATGCCGAATGAAATAGAAACGATGGATTTCAATGATACGTTCCTAGACATCGATCATTTAAAGCATAGCTTCCCCGACTATCAGATCAAGTTATCTACAGAGGATCCGGAAAAACTTGTCAGTCCTTTCCGTCTTACCTTCGAAGACGTCATTTGCAAGAAAAATAACGAAGAGCTTCGCAAAGTAATAACGGTCGAGCCTCACGTACCACCCAGTCGTGGCCCTTACAAAGCTAACGAACCAAAAAAGTAAGTACACTCACACAGTCAAACAATGTGCATGAAAATTAACGACGCTCTTTGAATTCTAGAAACCAAATTCCATTTACGCCGACGCAAGTCGAAGCTATACGCGCTGGAATGCAACCTGGTTTGACTCTCGTCGTCGGTCCACCCGGTACGGGTAAAACTGATGTTGCCGTACAAATAATATCAAATCTCTATCACAATTTCCCTAACCAGCGCACACTGATTGTCACGCACTCCAATCAGGCTCTCAATCAGCTTTTTGAAAAAATTATGGCTCTGGACATCGACGAGAGGCATCTATTGCGTCTTGGTCACGGTGAAGAGGCTTTGGAAACTGAAAAGGATTTCAGCAGATACGGTAGGGTGAATTATGTACTGGCTAAACGTTTGGATTTGCTTGTCGAAGTGCAAAGATTGCAGGTGAGTTTTTGCTATCATTTTAATGTACGACCTTCATCACCTGTCCTAAAAAAAATCTTAATTTTCTCAGGAATCACTTGCAGTCTTAGGAGATGTCGCTTACACATGTGAAACTGCTGGTTACTTTTTCACTTATCAAATACAGACGAGGTGGGAAAATTTCAAAAAAGTTGTCAAGCAACGCTCCGAGGGCGACAAAGAGCCACCTGCACAAATAATAGATGAAGAATTTCCTTTCCACAAATTTTTCGATAATGCGCCGCAACCTCTATTTAGGGGAAAAAATTTCGAGGAGGATTTGGAAATAGCTGAAAGCTGCTACAGATACATCGAACGAATATTCACCCAACTCGAAGAGTTTCGTGCATTTGAACTGCTTCGATCAGGTCTGGATCGATCCAAGTATTTGCTTGTTAAAGAGGCCAAAGTAATAGCTATGACTTGTACTCACGCTGCTTTGAAACGTCGTGAACTCGTCGATATGGGCTTCAAGTACGATAACATCCTCATGGAAGAATCGGCTCAAATTCTTGAAATTGAGACTTTCATACCTTTGCTTCTGCAAAATCCTGAGGATGGTTACAATCGCCTGAAACGCTGGATAATGATTGGTGACCATCATCAATTGCCCCCTGTCATTAAAAACATGGCCTTCCAAAAGTACTCAAATATGGAGCAATCACTCTTCACGCGTTTCGTTCGCCTTGGTGTACCAACCGTTGATCTCGACGGACAGGGTCGTGCCAGGCCGAGCATATGTAATCTCTACAATTGGAGATACAAAAAATTAGGTAATTTGCGACACGTCGAGGAAGGGCCCGAGTACCAGATGGCTAACGCGGGCTTTTTGTATGATTTCCAATTGATCAACGTAGAAGATTTCAACGGTGTAGGAGAGAGCGAACCCAGTGCCTATTTTTATCAAAATTTGGCCGAAGCTGAGTATTGCGTCGCAGTGTTCATGTACATGAGACTGCTGGGATATCCAGCTGAAAAAATTAGCATTTTGACGACTTACAATGGTCAGAAACACTTGATTCGAGACGTCATTAACATAAGGTGTGCCAATAATCCCTTGATAGGACGTCCAGCCAAAGTAACGACAGTCGACAAATATCAAGGTCAACAAAACGATTATATCCTGCTATCACTCGTAAAAACGAGAGCAGTTGGTCACTTGCGCGATCCAAGACGTCTTATCGTCGCCATGTCTCGTGCTCGTCTTGGTCTCTACGTTTTCGCTCGGGTTTCATTGTTCAAGGACTGCTTCGAACTTGCCTCGGCCTTCAAACAGCTCATGCGCCGCCCTCTGAATCTTGCTATTTTACCTAACGAAACTTATCCCGCAACCAGGCCCAACGATCAGAACCCTTCTGATGAGCCACTAATCATACAGGACATGCCACATATGGCCAAATTTGTGTACGACTTTTATCTTGACAAAATGAATATTAAGGTAAGTCTATTGAAAATAACTCGAGATGAATTAATTAGATACTAAAATTCAAGTTTTGTTTTACAGGATATTCAACAACAACCGAATCAATCGATAAATATGGAAATTGACATAAAAGAAAGTAATCCGGAACATTTTGTATCGGCACATCCTGGGGCTGACGATAACGACTCGGATGAAGATATGGAGAAACCAGATATTGAGCAGATTGATACAGAATTACTACAGCAAGCCGAAGAAGAAGCTAAAAATGTTGAGCCTAGAAAAGAAACAATAATAGCACCGATTGAAAATTTAGTTATAGAAGTAGTCAACGAGCCCATAGGTGGCGACTCAGATGACGAATGAATTAATTGTATTTTTGGAATAAATATCTAATACGCTCATTTTTATATATTCATGTTTATTTAATTCTAAACTATCACATTTAAAAAAATGCGGAGCCAATCAACAACAGCAGTCTTCTATTCTATACCTCTAAGGGTACAAGTTGTTTATGCTAATTTTTTTTTACAATAGATCTTATAAATAAAAAACAACGAACAATTATTTTTATTTATAAATTTGAATTGAAAGATATTTTATCGTAAAGCCATTAGATAAATTTGATTTGTATCGAAAATAAAATTTTTTTCCATAATACATCATTTCAAAACGTGTATGCATAATTTGTAAAATATTTCTCCGTTTAAAATAAATTTTTGACTACATTTTCAAAGCATTGCAACATAAAATGATAAATGATCATTTTCACACAGATTACTTAATAAATAAGTGCTTAAATCAAGATTTCATCTTGAATTAATGTGTATATCACACCAAACCGATTATAAATTATTTCTATTTCATGAAAACGGTTATCCTGATAATTGCTGTATATTATTTCTAAGTTTGTAAAATTGACTGGAAGGATCTAAACAGCCATGATATCGCTGTTAATAAATATATAAAAATACTACGATTCGTTGCCACACTTTTGACAAAAAATCTAGCAACTGCGAAGAATACAAACGCACACTGAAAAGCCCGTAGTTGCAACAACTATAATGACATCAAATTCGATTAATTATTGTTTATGGAAAATCATGACTAATGATCATGACTTTTACATAGAGACTCAAAGGCCATAAAACACTTATGAACTAAAAGCCGCTCTGAAATTGATGCGTATACATCATTGTTATGCAACCCGAAAATTTACTTTTCGTAACAGATTTTAAGCTACTTTAATTTCACAACGTACATGATCTTTTGATTTTTTAATGTCTTACACACTTATCGGTATCTAAAAATATCGCTTACAAAACTTTTTAAATCAGGGGTCGATGACGTTATTCACGTACAATATGTAAAATTTTTATTCCAAATAATCAACTTTGCCTATTTCCATTGTAAATCCGTTATGAAAAAAAGTGTAGCACCTTACGTATTAAAGTCACTTGCGGTTAAAATCTATGTATATAATAAATATTTCAAAGAAAAAGCCAAGAAGGCACTTTATTCGAAGCTGAAATCCTCCGTTGCTTTCAAAATCATCGCTGCTTTTTCCTCTCCCCCATTAAAAACTAAACTGTTGTTTCAAACCTCCCCCGTGATAGTCAGTATTAATCAAGTCATAGATGTTCAAAATTGGACTCGATGCTTAAATCGGGTGCTCTCCATAATTAAGCTGGTGCGCACACCGAGCTGTAAATTCTGCTCGTCAGATCTGCCTTAGAAGCTGCCGCACTCGCGCAGGACGCGATTGCCCAGTGGCAACGGAGGACGGAAATTGTTGATCACGACACCGTGATTCTCATGGCAGGGACACTCCTCGCCACGAGGAAACTTGCGCAGATTGCGAAAAACGTTGAGTTGGTGATGCGACACCTCGATGTAGCGCTTGAACAGGATCCAGGTGACGCTCTCGTTGCAAGGCGGCGTCGTCAGTGAACCAAGGTACGTCCAGTAGCCGTTGTCATCTGTAAAATCATCAATGCAGACGTTAGTTTTTTTCCTTTTTTCTTCGCAAGATTAATACATCGTGCATAAGCAGATCGTAAAATATATTATGCAAGCTTCCAGTGCAATCGTCTTAAAGTCTTAAAAGAAAAACTGTGACGTGTAAGTATGCGCGTGTGTGTGTGTGTGTGTGTGTGCAGTGCAGCTAATATATAATGCAAATGCCGCACAAAGTCGATCGTGAAACATGGTAACGAAAAATCGAGGGAACACTCGAATGCACCATTTTGTATCATGCTAAAGTTGATGCTTACAGTTCACAAACCTTGAGAAATTTCTAACCGAAAAGCTTAAATTTTTCATAATTTTGATTGATTGCTGAAGTAGATTATTTATATTGAAGCTCATGCTTACTATTTTACTAATAATAGAAACATGTTAAGCCCGGTTCAATGATTTTCTTTTGAAGCTATACATAGGCTTATAAGAGAATGTAAGCGTGAAAACAACAGTAAAGTTGAAAAATTCGATATGCACGCGTGTTTTCTTTTACTAAGAACTGAAGCTCCACCAGCTCATTTTATTTTTGACAAATGAAGCGTGAGTAACGCATCAATTTGCTAACAAGCTTTTATGCTTTTATAATAAATTATGATTTTATAATAATGCAACAATAAAGATCGGAAAATGAAGGTGCTTCCATTGCATGCAGTGTCTTATATCGATCATGCAGAACTTTTTTTAAACATTCCTTTGGGTTAATTCTCTGTTACAAACCTTGCCAATCGCGAGACTTGTTATCGGGCCTTATAATGCGTCCAGCCCAGCGCATGCATGGGTTGATGCAATTTTGACTGGCACTGCTATTGCCAGCTCTACCACCCCGTACTTTATGTGTTCGAAAATATTTACATATAGTATAGGTATATTGTATGTGTGTAAGTGATTTGAGTCAATTGCATTATTGTGTTTATAGGAGGAGAAATACATTTTAAAGATATGTAAGTGTATGTAAACTGCGCGACGCAATGACGATTTGTCACGTGATTCAAAAGACAAAAGGAAAGGATTAATTCTTTCAGATTGACCCAAGGTTACTCAAGTTTGTACAAAAGAAAAAGAAGAAAAAAAATAACGAGCAATGAATAAAACTGCATGCACTTTCTTTAGCGATTCAATAAAATAAACGAGTTTTTGAATCAAAATTCATTCAATTCAATATCGAGGATGTATATTGCACGCGAAGAAAAGATGAAGAGGAAAAATCGAACTCAACAATGGCAAGATATTTTACAATAAATTGCCTTAATTTTGATGCACGCGCTTGCCGTATGCTTCTGTCTTTATGCTGTTTTACAATTACGAAAACATCCGTTTTATGAGGAGGGGTCAAAAGCAGCTTATAATATATGTGTGTATATTGATATATTGCGGGAAAAAATGTTTTCGAACTTACCAGGAAGCAATTTGCTGGGATCGATCGACTCGTTGATTGGTAGATTGTCGTCCTTGTGCGACACATAAGGCAGCAAACGGGCGATTTTTTCCAGTTCTTCGTGAGCTTTACCAGCCTGCAAAAGTAACATGAATATAAAAAGCTGTTTCATTAGACTGAAGTGCGTTTATATTCAAACAACGGCTCTTCGACACGAGCGTAATTTTTTCGCACTTTTACACCTTTGCGTGTTTAATTGCAGCTATGCGAATGAATCATATTATTTGTGTTTTTTTGTTGTTCCCGTTTTTTTTTATCATTTGCACTCCGAAGAATTAGATCCGTCCGTGACATGAAATATTTTTAGGTGACAACTGTCACATACGTACATGCAGACATAGAGGCGTGCAAGGCTAAATTGTATATTCCTAACGCTATTGTTTATTCTTTCGTTGCTCTGGATTAGACATTGCCATAAGCGCGTGTACAGCTGTAGAGTTGCATTTTCGTGCACACCTACAATTTGTCGCCGAGTGACGTAAGCCACCGCACGAGATCTTTCCACGAAAATTTTCTTGCATACTCATAATCTTGCGGACAGTCAAAAAAGAGAGGAAGGAAAAAAAATTGCGCATCGATCCGGCGTACTGTTGTCATTGTTTTACGAACGTTGATTTAACTAAATGCCGTGCTTGGCGTGCTCGAGCGCGTGCCTATTGTGTAATAATACAGACGTCGTAATTCTTTAAATCGTTCCTTGGATGATTTTTCAATTTGGTTTAATTTTTGCCGCAAGCCACGGGTATTGTTTCTCGAACCAACACGCATACATGAACGATCGTGTATAGAGAAATAAAAGAAGCAAAAAAAAAAAAAAAACGATTTTACCGAGTTGCGATCTATAATTCAAAGACACGCAGCGGGAGTGTATACGTATATGATATGTGTAAGCAACAAACGGTGACGCGCTTCATAAATAAGTATACATTTGTTTATAGATGTAGCGCAAGTCAAGGCGAATTAAATAATCACCAAAAAATATAGATGCCTTTGTCGTAAAGACTAATTACCTATAAAAGAAATTAGACCTCGTACAATTCCACAATGACAATTTTTAGCTCGCAATACCGATTTATCGACTAATTAGTTTATATCATTACACGGTATTACACGAGCATGTACTAATGTGCCTTTTATGTACACATATCGATGTGTGAAATTGAAATTCCTCAAACGATAATAGACCATTTGTAAGATAAGCATAAATATTTGTCGATAGAAAAGATGCAACTGTGATGTCTCGTGCGAGAAATGATGATAATAAATGAAAAAGCTTTTATTATAATCACATGGTATTTGTGTATTTGAGGAATAAAAACTAATACAGTTGAGTGTATTATCGGTCATTATGTAAGGCACGTGAGAGTGTATATTTAGTATCTACAAGCGACGCGTTGGAGTAACGCGAATAAAATAGAGAGAAAGAGAGAGAGAAGCCAACCCCCGATTGTGTGGGCTCTGTTATTGGAAGGGTAGGTGTTGCGAAGCTTATATAAACCGTGTCTCTCATATGCATTCTTTGAGCGCATCCATACAAGCTGAAATGCGTCCACTTATGCATGTTGTGTGTACACGTTTTCCGATGACAGGCTGAGATAAATAAATTGCGATTGCGAGTTGCGCCGCGCTCCACGAGGCGTCTATGCACACGGCGTGCCAGCACGAAATTTGCGTCTCTAGATAAGGATATGTAATATTTTTTTCGCAAAAGAGCCGAGTAAATGCGTCGGTAAGTCGTAATCAAGGCCAAGCCGCTTCAGGCCTATCGCACATCGGCACAGTAAACTCGGCGCGCGGTATTTATTATCGTTTCGTTTGCATTATTCGTATATATACGTACAATCGAGTATGTACAGGTCTAAAGAGTAACTACCTATGCATAAAATGAAAGAAAAAATAAACATTTCGATAAACTGTAACAGAGAAACGTCCAATAGACAGGAAAAAAGTCCGAGAGTAGCTCTTTTCTGTTGATTTTTTGCTTTACGTAATTGGAGCTATTTTTACGATCGTCGTAAAGGCGCGCGCCGAGTCAGAATGATAAAAATATAATTAGCTAGTGCACAAATGAATTAATCGCTTCTGTTTGACGACCCATTAATCGTAGATCAAACCGGAAGAAGAATCATTATCTATTGTATGCCAACTTCATTCATCATCGAGCTTTTCATTTTTTAACAAAATGTGATAAAATAATGTAGACGTACCTTGAGAAAAACGCCAAGAACTGCTAAGCCATCGGGAGCCCTGGCGGCTTCAGCGAACGTCTTGTACTTGGTGGTATTCCAGTGCACCAGGTGTAGCTGCAAAGACAAATACAATTTTGTTAGTTTTCGGCTCCGATAATACAAATTTACAACGTTTGCCGCGGATACTCTTACGTAAAGAAAGGATTCCTCTAAGAGTGCAAAACCAATTTTTACGTAAGATACGCGAGTCGGCGTCTTCTTTCGGTCTCTTTTGCCGAGATTCGCTGTCGCTCCAGGCGAACTTTTACGATGTCTTACACAATATTTATACGAGCAGGAAAAAATGCTTGTTATCGCCCACGTTGGCGGCGGACCACCAAAACAGAGTATCTGATAAAGTCCGCTTTCATAGACGCCCGATGCGTAAATATTTTCCTCGACGAACAATAAAATCTATAACTGCGCATGTACACATGCACGGCAGTCACGCGCATCATAAACAACGAAGATTTACAATCGAGGAAAAACGGCGCGTTTACACGTGTACGTTTACAAGTGCATTTCTTATACATTCAAACGGATACGAGTTTTTTTTCTTATTGAGTGCGCCCGAGAATGCCCGCAACAGCGAAACAAAAATTTGGCCACTCGAAAGAGTAGTATTCTTGGGGGCTGTCGACATTTTTCCCCGCTCGTATGCGTGTGTGTGACACAGTGTCACGAGCTTCGTCGTGGAAACGGCAATTAATCGAGCTGACCGATAGAAGTAAGTGAGTTGACCGGCCAGTCGCGCTACTACATACCATAGCACACGGGATTATGTAATAGGATGAGATTGTTAGATCATACACGTGATGATGAAGCGTCGACGAGCGGCGCATTTTTCTCCATCTCTCGTATATAGATCGATGATCTTTTTCAGGTCATTATATCGGAATCACGCCGTGGCTTATTTATATGTGCATTACAAATTATTAGCTGCATTATTAATGAAATCGTAAATTGGAAGGAAATAAATTACAAAAAAATAGAAATTCGTTATGTAAGCCGAGCACAGTAGAGAAGTTTGCACAATGTACACATGTGTATCGGCGATACTACGTGCCGCGAGTCAACGATAATTAGTATGCGCGCCTTCGAGCATTTGATGCATATGCGCGGCGCATAAAGGCTTATCAGGACGCCCAGAATTAGGTAACGCGCGTTCGAAGCCGTGCCTGAATTTTTTCGTCTCTAGCGCGCACTCTGGAAAGCGCGCAATGTGCAACAAAAAAAATAGCCACTGCATGATCAATTTCATTCCATAGTCCGAGAGTTCCAGTTTGAACTAGAAATTAGCGCTGCATATAGCCTCCGTGAGAACTTGATTGCGCGAAAAAGGCGAGTGCGTCAAATTTATACATCGATGTCATAAATGCTGTTTGGCTCTCTGTGCGCCAAACCAAATAGTGACCGAGTCTATATTGGCGCTTTCTACTACTACCACTAGATCATTTCGAAAATATCCCGATGATTGACCTTAAATCCGTCGGCAAAATTTTAATAACACGTCATTTGTGTATTTCTGGATATGCATATAACAGAATTTAATAGGACTTGTTGAGATCAATGTCGTTGTACGAGCTGCCATGATTAATAAAATGAAAAAATCGTTAAAAAAATATACAAGTTGCTTTTTCACATCTCGCATGAAGGTTCACTGCTTTTTCTCAACTCGTTGAAAAATTATAGAAAACTCTTTCCCGAATTTTCGATTTGATTGTCAAGATTTAAGAGAATTATATGATATAGTTATCAAAGGTGATATAAATTACGCGTCGTTATCGATTGTTCACTACATCTCAAATTTAAGCGTATATCATACGATTGTAAGCCCGATAAACGCATAAAAATAGATTGTAAATGACAAGAAACTTGGTCAATTTGATATGCACCAATAATATACGCGTCAATCCGTAAGGTTCATCGCACGACTGGATGTAAACATTATTTACGACTATAATGCTTGAGTAAAAGGAGAGGAAAAAAGTGCTCGGGTAAAAACAGGTTTTGGGAAGCATTTGTTAAACACACGGCGATGAATCAGTAAATTTACAAATGTAAAATAATCGTATGATGTATGTATATATGGGGGACTGGGACGTCATAACGCCTGATCATTAGTGCGGATTCACGCACGGACGTATGAGAATTACGGTGCGATTTAAGCGTGCGTCGCAAGCGCAATTTTTCGATCGATCGATTTGTACAGACCAAGACATGTCGCCGTTTTATATGATGCGACGAGTATCGCGATTACGCTGAATAATCAACTTTCTCGATCGAAGGTTCGAAAAATAACACTATTATGAATAGAAAAAAAGGAAAATATCTCACCTCGCCGGCGAATGCTTGTCCGTCGACGGTGTGCTCTGATCCTCGAGAATCGCTGCAGCCCCAGTGGCAGTGATATTGTTCCAGCTTATAAACATCGTCCATTAGGGGTCCGCCAGTCAGATCTGAAAGACAAACAAGTGATGAATTAGCTATGATTTAATATAGTTTTTTTTCGAACAAAGACATATGCCAAAGAAGTAAGCTATCGCTTGTTTGGACTTGAGGTAAGACCGCCAGACATAAGAGGCGTTCGTTCACAATTCGTTCATGACATAAGCATCAATTGATCTAGAGTAGGCACGTGTTACAAATTCATTTGTGCGCATTTTATTTGGTTTATCGTGAAATTCTGTCAAGTCATAAATAAGCTGTAATCGCGTCGCGAGACTTCAGCTTATGGCACTCGAGTGGCTAGACGGAATGAGGAGAAATAACGTCTGAGAGTCGGGTGGAAAACCCCATACCTCCAATGAATTGAAATTTCGCCGAAAGCTCTCTGGTACTATGCCAAACCCATGCGATAACTCTGCCAGCGCGTTTATGTTTTTCTGTGATTATTTTGGCTCTATTTTTATTTTCATCACCGGCTCGTATTTGAACATAGAGAGAAAACAACAAAACTTGTAGGCTGTGCCGAGCTTATCGAAGAGATGCGTGCGCAAAAAAACAAAAAGAATAATTCATTTGTGATTCACGTTGATAATGGCTTTTAGACCAAGGCTTCGATGTAACAAACGATTGTCTTGCATTTTTACACTTGATTACTGCCCAAGACAGAGTATAGAGAACCGAGCATGCACAAGTGCATGATTTCGATTTTCATTGAAGCGCGTCGCAAGCGCATATCCACCTATAGGACATAGAACTGAACTGAATAAATAAAATGACCAACTGTACATAGTTTTTTAACGTGAGTTGGCAACGTTTTTGTTTTTCGAGTCACGAGTTTTTTTCTTTCACGTATTGTATATATAATATGCGCTATAACAGATCGTTTGTTGTTTTTCTTCGATGATTGTCGAGTAAATAATGCCTGATTTATAATTGTTTTTCTTGCTTAATAAAAATATTTTAAGTAAATCAATCGATTTCTATCTTGTTTTTTCTTTATATTTTTTTATTGAAACGAACGATTTGCTCATGCGTTTCGAATAAAAACAAAGGATCAAACGTGTCTGACGGACTTCCGCATAAAAAGCTCGACTTGTAGAGCAACGAAGAATTCGGTTGTTATCGATAGCAGTCGAGCGTGTCACGTTTTCGCGCGCAATTGAGCGAGCTGCATCTGTGGGATGCGGCACATATTGCCAATCCGCGTCCAGTACAAGCGATAACATTACATGGACGGTGTCAATGCAGGCCGAGAGCTGCGTATACGTAATGATGTGCAGCTGGCGCGCGTAAGCTCTCTCGTCGCTTCGCTAAATATACACCAGCTGGAGGAGCTTTTTAATCAAAAACAATCGACGTAATGCCTGGTTCGCGCGTACGACGTTACGATATTGTATGCATATACTTACAAGTTCCATCGCCATCGGTATCGACCCTCCAGCAGTAGCCCGGATTGACGATGGCACGGGAGGCCGTCGCCGGGTACTTCCATCGGAGAGGCTTACTGCTCAGCGCCTCGTGATCCGTTTCGACTCGATCGGTCTCGATGTTGACCGGACTCTGGCGCGAGCCAGCAGCCATTGGAAATTTGTCGACCCATGTGCTTGGTCCTGAAACACATAAAGAAAACGTTAAAGTTTATTTTACGATATAGCGCATCGATTGACATTCCAAGCATTAACCGGCACCGATGGCGTGACGATGATTTTAATGAGGCATGAGATTGCCAATGCTATTATACCGCATGTAAAGCTACTTCAAAACAGTCGAATTTTTTATTACTGATTTTTTTCAACGAGGCTTGAATTTGAAGAATGCGAAAATATTTTTGATCCATTAATCGCCTACAGGTGATGTGCCATTGTAAAATCCTCTCAGTTCGCTTACGCGGCCTACCGATACGCGACATCGATTATTCGCGCACGTACAAATCGATTCAGGAATTTTAGCGGCGCTTTGATTTTGATACTCAAATTTGAGTATTGTTTATCAAATCGCTTTAATGTTCACCGATCGACGATCCTAATCGTTTGTTTAAAAAAAAAGACGTCAATAATGGTCCCCACGGGGAGTATTGATTACATCGTTGATCGCTTTATATGTAATACAAAAATTTGCGATTGGTCTTTAAAAACCTTGATCAATCGAACTCGTACGTGCTTATATTTATGATAAAGGAATGTACGAGTCTTTAACATTAGAGACGCAGACTGGAGTGGCCATGAGATTGTTTGCTGGGGCTCTCGAGTATATGTACGAATATCGTTATCTTTGCCCGCACGCCTCTTCCGGCTACCTGATTATTTACGCAGGCAATATAAATGCAAAGGTCAATTGGGCTCCGTTCGTTCTTTGGTTGATTTGACGAGCTCCGGTGCATTAATATTTTTTTTTCCTTCGTGTACGCGCATCCTCGAGTTTTTTTTTTATTTACGCCTCCGCAGTTCGTTTTCGCAAACTACGCATGCAAATGCCTGCAGGGCAATTACGTGTAACGCGAGTTTGTAAAATTCCGATAATTTAAGTGCGCGCGTTTTTCTCGGCTCGATTCTGCCGTCCAGATGTCTGGCTAGCACACGAATGCTGCACACGAGGTCGGTAATTGTCTCGACGATACGAAAGCGTTGTCACAAGTGGATCATTATTTTTTTCGAATGACTTTTAAAGGAATTTTTCAACACTGCATAGTTGCGAACTATTGACGCGACAGATAATAAAGCATAATAAGAATATTTTTTCAGAAGTAATTAAACCAACTAATTTAAGACGGAAAAAATAAATATTACTAGATGTATACAGGCGCACTACGAGTGAGGCTGATTCATCGAGACCGCGTGTTTAATTGTATCATTTTAAAAGATCTATAGCTTTACTGACAATCGCAAATATCCAGAAATATGACTGTGATGTACTGTGAGCTCGTAGAAAGAACCAGAAGGCGCACACACAAGACTTGCAAGTAAATATTGGTAAGAGTTATTTCAATTATCCATTGGACACGTGCATTTATGTTGCGTTGTACAAACGCGAGCCCCAACTTGGATTGAAGCGATTCGCGCACGAGCGTTAGCAAATCTATACGATTGGTCTCTTTCATTATCTCAAGCCTCTGAGGGGCATTTGTATACCCATATTGTATGAATCGTAGTTTTTCATTCGCGATAAAGTTAATATGTTCTCTCTCGGTCGCGCGCCAGCGCTTATCGCACGCCGTGAAGCTGTAAAATTTCAACATATACATAACGAACTATTTTATTGTATGCATATGGATCGGTACTCGCTGTAATGCTCCAACGTAGGCTTTTCGGTGAAAACATTTTTTCTATTTCCGAGATCCTATTTGTTCTTGCTATTTGACTTACGGCTCAGGCACTATTTCGTACACGCACGAAACCGATAAAAAAAGGTAATTATCACAATGGTCGACACGCCCATAATACGGACACATGTTTTAGCGCTATTCAAAGAAACCGCAATAGTATGTGAGTTTATTGAGAACAAATAACACACGAGCTATTCTTTTTTTATGTTTTCCTATCAAGTGTACATCGATCGACGTAAAAAAAGTTGATTCCGATCATTTGTAACAATGACAACTACAATGAGATAACACAGTTGCCATATTAATCGAGATAGTGCGATGCAATACATCGTCGCGTAGATTTTTTTGTTCTATAAATATAAAGATGGGTAAGAAATTTGAAAAATTATATCAATGCGTCATGATTTACCGTTCAAACGATTAGGCGATTTTCACGAGAGAGAAGTATAACATGGATCTATTCAGATTTTCGTTGGAAAGAAAACTTCCTGATAAAGAGACGATCAAATATCGAGCCGTCGAACCGAAGCCAAACAAAGGGACAAAGACTTTGATATGCATGATTGGACACTAGGACGGGCTTCTGTTGTAATTTTTCCAGCGACAGTAGTAACGGGTCCTCAACGAAGTTATAAACTCAAATTACCGACTTTAATGCGATTAGGTGAAGGCTTACTCGCAATGACATAGTCGAGAGATAGAGAGAGGCATGTAGAGAAAAGCTGCACTTGCAGCAGAGCAGCTGCAGCACGGCAATATGAAACGACAATGCGAAGATAATGACGATAATATGCAAAGACGCGCATCTCTTTCTCTCTCTATCGTGCCAGTATACACTCACACAAGCCGATCTTGTGTATCAGAGAAATAAACACAAGCTGCGCCGACGACGCGTTTCCGGTAATTATCAAAGTAATTCGATGTCAAGGACGGAGAGCTTGCGGTGCGCGCACGGGGATAGAAATTCAAGTATGACGAGCAGTATTATATATGCGAGGGCGATAAATTTCTGTCCTTAGTTGGAAAAAAAAGAGAGATAAAGGGTAGTAGCTCGACGCGTATACCGAGTACGTGCTCACACCTATGTGGATAGAGTTAATGTCGTTAGGGAGAAAAGTGGAAACACACCTTCGTCATAACAACGACGCACATGACGCTCGTTTAGTGCGTATAGACCGAAATTAATTCAAGAGCTGCCGAGCGTGCTGCCGTCCGTGTCACGCGAACATTGCGTTAAACTGAAAAATAGCCTGCCTGCGTGAATTGAATTAACGAGAGAGCGAGAAGAGAGAGAGAGAAAACAACCTTGCTTTATGCGTGATGTGCTCGCTTAGACAGTAGCAATTCGCACCTATCTCTTGGCTCTTTAGTGGTTTGCAAATGCCGAGTACTTAATACTTATCGTCCGAAACAGAGGGACAATAATAGATTGGAAAATCCAGATAAACATTTATCAAAGCATTTATGACATGGGCGATAATGACTTTATAGTTTCATTTGACACGACGTACGACACAGCGTACACGCGTATTTGCGCATACAAGTCTGAGGTAAGTTCGTTGCGCTTTTCCTCGTAACTCAGCTACGAGAAGCGCCGACTCGATTCGAAACAATGAAACTGAATGAAGCGATCGCGATCTGCGGATTTTAAATGTGCAGGAAGTCGAAAGACATATCTTTTTCAATCATATTCTAGCTCTGCTACGGTACGAGCCCGGAATATCTTCAGTTGGAAAATATCGGCCAAGTTTACCGAGTTTTGCCCGAGTTCGAACAGAGGCGCAAAGTAAGCATAGGAGAAGCGTTACACAAGCGCGACGCAACTGAGGCAGCAAAGAAAATCGAGCTATATTCGTCATTTAAATCGCCGCGTATTTTAAATCAGCAGCGGCAGAAAACGAGGAAAGTTTCGGGGGGAAAAATACGTAGCGGTACGATCGTCGGGCGATCGGCGCAGAGGTCAACGATTTGCGCGATGCACATTCGAAAAGTCGACTCTACGTATAAAATGCAAGTTATGCGCGCATCGGTGGCGGACGACGATGGGCTCGGCGGCGCTCGTCTCTTTCACTCGTCGCTATACTCGAGGCTCGCAGCTGCAACTGGAACCGGTTTTCTCCGGATGAAAACGCGTCTCGAGACTTGGGCATGAAAATTTGCATTCCTTTATTTTCTCTTTGCGGCAAAAAAGTCGCTCTAATGCGACTAAAAATACCTTCGAGGCTTTCAAATCTCGTCATTGAAATCACTCGCTCGCTATCTAGTCCATTAAGCAAAGGGCGTCCATTAGGAAAAGTTTGATTGATATCGATCGGGCAAAAAAGCGGGCAAAAAAGCCGATGAAACTGCAGGATGTATCATAAATTAACGGTTACGAATATACGGAGGGCATTTAATGGCGACGATGGCACATCTTTCCAGGTCGCACAGATTCGATCCGATCCTTGACGATCTCTAAGTGATATTACGGGGCGATTGGCGCGACGCCGACGAATTGGGTTAGCCGCGCTAACTGTCCTGCCGGTCGGCTTGATTTTTTATCGCGATTCGTGCCCCGCGCACGTATCAAATGTATTTCATCGCGTACTGTTCGCTTATTGTTCGTTATAAATCACGCGACGCGAGCCGCATTAAAATATTTTATCGAACGGAAAGAGTATGGAATACGCAACTGCGCAACGCGTCAATTACCTCGTCCGTATTTATAAGTAGACGACGAGGCGATCGAGATTAAAATATCAAATGAATAAAGCATTAGTCGCGCATTAGAAAGGTTTTTGCGCGCGCGCCTTATCTCGGACAGAGTGTAAATGGCCGCCGCTGCTGGACTGGCGAGTTATGTGCAGTAAGACATGGCGAGCGGCGGTCGTGTCACGCGCGGGGTCGAAGCTCCCGAACGACTCTTTTTTTTCTCTATTTACGCGCACGTATAGTGGAAAAGACGATCGATCGCTCACAGCTGAAAATAACCGATCAATCGTCCGAGCCGAGCTTGGCTGGGAGCAGTCTGCACTGCAGCTACTAGAGCACACCTGTAGATATCCACTCGCATATGTGTGCCACGATTGTTTGCACAGCATACATGTGGCTCTTTGTGGCACGAATAGACGAGAGGAAATTATATTAAAAAAACGTGTCATCGCTGCTATGGGCAAACATAGTGTGTACATGGGATGGCGTGCACGACTCGCCGAGCTGCGACGATCATCGTGTTCGCATAATGTCACAATCGTCGTAGGTATGTTGGCCCTCGAGTCGAGTTTCGCCTATACGGAGAAAAACTCCGTTCCGCGATAACGACGCGGAGCAATTGATTTTCTTTCGAAGAGAGGCTTTTCCGAGTCTATTCATAGGATCGTCAGTTTGCACGTAATCGTGATACCGATAATGATTGCAGCCGCGCGAGTGGCTGCAGCGTAGCGCGATAGTAAAACGTTTTTCCGGCGGTACACGTGATAATGATATACGCCGCGTGTATACACACGTACATATATGTGCAGGAAATCCGCGCGCTCAGGCATTTTCCGCACAAAATCATATAAGAACGAGCTGATAAGAAAATTGTGTGCGCAAGAATAAAAAAAAATAGAATAAACACGCGTACATGCATCGTTCGAATTGTGCATCGATGGCAATTGATTTGCTCACCACATGCACTCGTCGTTTTTCCGCTGATTTCGCACGAAGCATGAAACATATAATGTAAATTATAAATTATCGCTCCCTCCCTCCTTGGGCAGTCGCGCGAGTCGCGCTGCGTCTCTTTTAGAATCGATCAACACACAAAATCGATGAAAGTTTATTAAATAATTATTTCAACGATACGCAGCCTCGAGCACATGTACGATGAATGGAGGAAAACACGCGACTTTGTATATAGTATTGCTTAAAAGTAAAAATGGAGAAACGACGCGTTTTTTCGTTTTTTCGTTTTTTCCCCTTCGAAACACGTTGCAAGCTACACGAATATCTGTAATGTACGCTACGATGCGTGCAATTAACATAATTTTCGAAACGTCGGTGACTTGCATCACATTTCTTGACTATTTTAATACATTATACGGTTTTGAAAATTCACTCGCTCTGACCAGAGTATTTGCACGGGGTCAGCCGTGCGTACACAGAGGACACGAGTTAAAAGAAAAGCTAAAATTATGACCGGCGCTTGTACGAGACTTGTCTACATAAAATCAGCCGCAACTTTCTATATCGGACTTTCCCGGACCACACTAGCAATACCTACTAGTAGCAGCAGCAGCAGCAGCTCAACGTAAATATACACGTAAACAGAGAGAAAGAGAGGAAAAGGAGGTGCCGAAGCGAGTCGATGAACTTTATACGAAGGGGCATGAAAAATTAATTATACAGCTTGTTGTAAATAATTGTTGATTGACTTACCATTCTGATTGGAGTAGTCCCATTCCTTGATACCGGCCATCTCGGGGGAGTTTGATGAGGACGAATTACTTACGGAAAATTCAAATCTGGGTAATTGCGTTCCGAGTAGGGCTTATTCCCGCTCGTCTTGACTGCCTTCGTCACAAACGACGACGTAATGGATCAGTGTATCAAAAGCGTAATCGAGTAAAGGGCACGGCTTGGCAGGTCGCGCTCGTCTCGATTGCAGACTTTAACGATGTAAAAGGCAATAAAAAACGACTCTGCACTACTTGGGTGCCGAGACCAGAAGAGGTGTAAAAATCCGCTTGGAACAGCGACGAACAAAAAAAACTTGAGAAAGCTTCGAACTCGTATAGAGCACAAGAGCGGAGCGCAGAGAAAGAGTTAGCTGCGGTGATGCTTCTCCAACGAGATTTCAAACGAGACTGATCCAGCCGGCCGGCGCTGCTATGTTTATACTGCAGACTGCTGGAACTATACAGGCACGAAGCAGCGTCACCAGTCGTCGATCTTGTCAACTGTGTGTGTGTGTGTGTGTGAGCTGTATATGAACGTGAACGCTGCGCACATGTGTGCGTGCGTGGTTCTGCTAACCAGACTGGAGGGGGCCCTTGCGGGGGCCGAATTTCTAGCAGAGGGGGGAGAGCAATCAACCAAGCTATGTGTCGCATGATTATATACGCGCACGACTGTGTGTGTGTGTGCGTGAAGCTTTACCTAGAAATACAAGACATTAAGATGACTGTATATTACAAGCCAGGCAAGTGTTAAGTTACATCGAACTGGGGACTGCCCCACCGCATGTTTTTCTGCACATACACTATACAGTGCGAAGATAAAGGAGTGCGCGAGGCCTACTGCGCACTGGTTTGTAAATACTCGCACGTGCGTTACGCCGTAGCAGCACAATGGCATATTAATATACACGCACGTGCGCGATGCTATTTTCAACCAATTTATCAGCGCATTCAAACGTATACATATACGCACCCACGCACCGCCACATTGTGCAATAATTATGGGCACATCGTGACGCACGATAGCTCATGACTATTAGCTACAATCCAACTTTTTAATATTTATCAAATCAACTGATGACACTTTCCACCATCAAGATGACTTTTCTCTTTTTTTCTCGTCTTTTTCCTTCGCACCTCTTCGATCGCTGTTTCAAATTACAATCTGTTGCATATCTAGCGAGGCATCGCATTTCAAATCTTCATTAACATAATTTGACTTAATCGATCGCATGCATGGTAGCAGCTCGTTAATCAAAAAAATGTCTCTAATTGAGAAATAGTTTCATCGGACATCCGATCAATCATTGTGTCAGTGCGCGGGTCCAGCATATAGCCATCTTCATAGTATCACATTACCTAGTATAAAAGTCGGCCACTCGTGTCCGAGTGAAAGTACGTTGCCGTGGTTTCTTTCCATTCCTCGATGTACGAGTAAACACTTTAAATGGGGGTTACCCTTCGCGAGCCCATGTTTACCGAGAACAGGTTTTAAAAGTTTGTTTCGAGTGCTGAGAGACTTGGCCAAAGGTCTATTCTTATATGTACAGTATTACGATAAAATTGGTGTATTTTCTATCGAGTAATCGGACACTTGTTCACACTATGCGCGTACGGGTTTTCCGTCTATTAGAATTAATAGATAAAGAGATTATTCATTATTCGACTAGTTGGAACGGGTTCGAGAGCAAAACGTATGACGTCATCTTACAATACTAGTTTGATGGATAGAGAGAAAATCTGTATTTTCGGAATTATTCAGCTATATTCTCGTTAAAACACGAATCAAATGGTTATGTAACAATTCATCGATATCCACTCCAGTCTCGTGAGCTAATTAAGAAAACAATGTACTTGAAAATATGCACGCAAAATACAAGGAAATCGGTATCTTTTTTCCCTTTATGACCCTCCGTTGACAATCGACTACAACTTTTTTTTACGCCAAAACAAAAAAAGACAATAAGCCGTGATTTTTCCTTTCAAGGTAATGCTTGCACGCGAAAAGTATTTGTCTGACACGCTCTGGAAGCACGTGATTTTTTTGTTCTGCTTTTATAAAATATTCAGTTGTGCATGTGTAATTTGTCAATTTTCCTCCAGTGACTCGCTCGTTTCCCTCGTCCAATGCAACTTTTCACCCATTGTCATTTATTATTCCTGAAAATCAATTTTCTAAAATATAGTTTGGCAACTTAAATTATTTTATTCAGCAATATTGTCACTCACAATTTTTAAGTACATTATAAGATCATCGTGTTGATATCAAATTAATTTTACAGCAATGGTTTGAAATGGCTCAAGTTTTTAAATAATCAAATAAAAACTGAGCCTAGATTTTTCGGCGTCATCTTGTGTACCAAAGAAATTACAAAGGCTCATTGACTGGCTGAAACGAGTAGCAAACAAGTTACGCCATGTGTGGTGACAACTCACGTATATCTTATCGACCAAAAGACGACATGAATTTACCTATTCAGGCTTTACTCGGCTGATCTAAACTTTTTCATTGTATAATGTGCCCGACGAGCCTCCAATTTACGAGAATAATATTTGTAGATGGAACTGATTAGTTTGACGGATGGGTTTTACGCCTCCCCGCTGTCTGCACCTTTCTTTAAATCGATTGATCTCCAACACAATCTTACTCATGGTATAGGCTTTTGTATTATGCCAATTGTACAATCATTTATTTTTCTACAAACCTCGTAAATTTTTCAATTTTCTTAAGAAACTCGCCAATGACAAATAACAGCGAAAGGTTTCAAAAGATAATTTCGCTGTTTTCTGGAAATAACTATATAATGCAAGAAAAGTCGTAAAATGTAACTTTTACAAATTGAATGCTATTTTACAAATTTTGCATTTAATAAGAAAGCATATTTTTTTACTTTTTTATACTTCTTAGGATATGAAACAACTACTTTATAATTTGTGATGCAGCGAAACTCTAAAGTTCAGCCTAATCAGCAAGATGAAAAAAGTGCTTGTTATAAAACTATTTCATCATCATTATATATTTTTATCTTATAAGGGTGTCGCATGGTTTAACTTTCCTCATGAATTGCGTTCCAGCGTCTCTATAATTAAAACAATTTTTGTTACTTTTTCGAAAACTTGTAATCATTTAAAAATGATTAAATGTATTAATTCAACAAAAAACAATTTATATAAATATTAGTAACATTGTTCATCAAATAATAAATTCAATTTTTAAGTATGTTATCTCTTCGTAAAAGCTTCTCTTACAAAAATGACATTTGGATGAACCATGAAAGATGATACCTAATTAGATAAACTTGCATCAGCCATTTGTAATGGATCCACAGATGTGTTTGGTACCTTAAAAAATAATAGCCAATAATAGAAGTGTAGAGTATCTGACATCCGATCCGTAGAATCATGCTGACGTAAGGTCAAATAATACATTTTTGAAAGAAATCGAATTTTTGAGTATGACTATCAATGAGTACTTACGGAAATAAACGTTCTATATAAACGGGCCAAGCATTTTTATTGGTAGAGTGGAATTGCCTGTTTCGCGTTTATGGATTCATTTAAATTTTGTGAGATGAGCAAATTCTTGGACATTTACAAAAAATATGAATTTCATTAGACAGTTTTAATTGCATATTAGATGAGCACTTTTTTGCATATTAATTTGCAGCTAGAATAATTTCAACATCTTCAATTGCCTTTTGATAAATTTTATAAATTGCCAATTTTAGTTCAGAGCTTGAAAGTACATTAAAATAAACAATTTTCACTTTATATTTTTAAAAAATGTTCCTTTCTCTTTTCAATACATTTTTTAAAATCAAACTTTAATTATCTGATTAATATTTTGTTTGTGTGCTTTTTCTTCTTTTCAGTTTTCTGGAAGATTGGCTTTTTCTTCAAATTTGTTCATTTGTTATAACTTTCAGAACTCACCATTTAAAATAGCATCCATTTTGTTAAAAAAATATGCATGGCATTTTTGAGTTTTTTGTTTTTTCTCTTAAAAAAAATGTCTCAATCGAGAACTTTATGACTACTGTGCTACACATTTTTTTGAATAAATAGTTTGAATATTAGGTATATATCTACATCATCAACAGACTCTTATTTTGACGTACTTATAAAGTCTTATTTGATTGGATATTTTTTATTCTCTAAAGTTAATTTTTTTCTCAAAGTGTATTATTTGTTCTTTTAAAACCTATCCAATAGCCATCCCTACATCTATGTCATGTGCTTATTGACTCGCAGAAGCTACAAGAACAGTTCATAGAAAACTTTTAACCTGCGTCTATCATGAATTTCTTTTAATTATACGATAAAATTTGCAGTATTTAGATGCCGCCCTGAGATAAATACTTCAGAAAAAAATTATATTTTGACCGAAAGTAATTTTTACTATGTTACCCCGTTAAATTTTAGAAGAATTATTAAATGAGACGTTTTTAAAATTTATTTAATCGTAAAAAATAAAGTTTGAAGGCATACAAGTAGGTTCTGGTAACTAAAGGAAAGTTGAAATTTTGTATCTTGCTATAAAGACATATTATGGTGTACGTACAGCACCAAATACAAAATTTAAGATAAATAAATACATGGGAATTTAAAAAGTATTAATATCCCAAAATTAGACTTTTTAACCTTTTTCGGAAAATCTCATTTTAAAAAAAATATGAACACATCGAAAATCGATCATCATTTCTACCAGAGGCGTATTTTTAATGTAGTCAAAAAATAAATAAATAAGTAAACAAATAAAAAAAGAGAAATATGTACAAAGTAAAACTTTTTCGAAAGTATTTAAAAACTAGATATTTTATCCTACATCAAATGAATTTGATTATGGCCTAGAAAATTATCAGAATGTAAATCAGTATTGATGTCGAACATAATATTATTTTAGCTGTTTTAATTGTTCTTATTTTATTTACATAGCAATTTACTCTGCAGGTAGTGCATCTACAACTATAAAGACAATCGTAATTTTCAAGGATAAACGATTATGAAACTTTTTACATCAACACTTATCAGCTTGCGTTTCTAATTTTGCAAAAATTTTCGATTTTACAGGAAATGAAGAACTTTCCTATAGTAAAAAAAAAATTTATCCATTCACGATTAAAATGAAAGATAGTAGATGTCACGGTATTCGCGTGCCGTTTGCCGAATTGGCACTTTTTGTGGCGGCGAGCTCGGGTGACTCGGTCAGTACACGAAGATAGACTGTAGCATTAACAACTATCAATAATACGAAGTTGACGATCTACTTGTCAGTATACTTATTTCACCTCTCCTCCTCTCATCCCGTTAACTCTAAGCTAACGACGACGGACGGAACCCTAATTACGACCCCCGTGACATTCTGAACACTTTGTAATATTAGATTTATTCGCAGAATTACGAATTATTTGATTCAGACTTTTTATAGCTTTTTTCATTCACTCTTTAGTTCTTTTCTACACAAAAATGTTGTGCAAATTTTCCTTTTGATGTGGAAAATGTAAAATTTCAAGAAGCTTTTTATTTTATTATCATTTCATGAAAATATTTTTTATTATCATTTCATGAAAACTTTTTACTATCATTTCATGAAAAAATGTACATAATTCTCTAAACGATCATATTAAAAAATGAAGAGACGAAAAAACTATTTTGAATTTGCCGCTTACTTGCTAGTTGACATATGTAATGCTTCAGTTGGGTGGCGCGCGGCAATGCTGGCCGCACGTGTTGGCAGATTTTTTTAAGACATTGCCAGCCAGACCGGCAGTAGTCTATCAGAACATCTCAGCTTTTTAAAACTTTGTGACGATTATACCACGTGTTTTGTTAGTTCAATTCGATTGTAAGTAAGCCGTAAATAAGAAAAAAAAAGAAATATGCGTAAAAGAAGCGCTAAACAGGCTGCATTAGTGCCACAAAAGAATGAGGTAAACTTGTTGATTTACTACTTATATATCTATAGTTATAAAATTTCATTTTTCATTTATCACTTCCATAAATTTTTTTACTCAAATATATGTTTATTTATTCACAGACACCTGTGATTAAAGATAAAATTGAAAATAATTCGGCTGGTGAAGAAGAATTTAGCTTTAGGGAATTTGATAGTGATGAAGAGTACGATGACCATAGCGAACAAGATGATTTTTATGACAGTAGTGATGAGCAAGAGGGCGATGATCAAGAACAAGACTACGATGACGAAAGTGATGTAGAAGAAGACGACGATGAAGACGACGATGAAGACGACGATAAAGATAACAGTGAGGGTGAAGCTGACTCTAATGAAGAAACTGAAGAGGAAGAACATGAAGTCAGTGGAGAATTTTCAGACCAAGAGGACAATTTGAGCAATGTCACAGCATCTCTCAAAAAGTTGAACAATGTTCAAAAATCCAAAAAAACCATTCGAGATAAGCAACCCAAAACAAAAGTCCCCTACAGTGCAAAGAATGAAAAAGTTTCCATTGTCGAGCAAACTAAAGCCAAACAAAATAATGATGATAAAGCTGAAATTGTAAAAGCAAAGAATGTCAGCAAAAATAACACAGAAGTTGGTTTAAAAAATCAAGTTGCATTAAAATTGGCTGAAAATCAAAGTGAAAGAGATGAATATGCAAGTGATTCTTCCGATGAAGAAGATACTCGAAATACTGTAGGTAACATTCCCATGAAATGGTACGATGGGTATGAACACGTGGGTTATAATTGGGATGGAAAAAAAATTTTGAAGCCTGAAAAAGGAGATCAGCTTGAAAATTTCTTGAAACGCATGGAAGATCCTGATTTTTGGAGAACTGTCAAAGATTATCAAACAGGGCAAGATGTTGTTCTTAGTGAAGCTGATATTGAACTTATCACAAGAATACAAAAGCAAAGAATTCCTGATGCTCAGTTTGATGAATATGCAGTGAGTGACAATTCTACATTAACAAAATTAAACTATAATTTATAATAATTGATTGTAATTTACTACGTTTTGATTTATTTTTGATTCATTATAGCCTTGGGTAGAATGGTTTTCTTCACAAGTCATGAAAACTCCACTCAGGCAATTTCCTGAGCACAAAAGATCATTTCTTCCATCAAAGAGTGAAGCTCAAAAAGTTTCAAAACTGGTTCATGCTTTGAAAATGGGATGGATTAAGTCGTCAGCTCAGTTGAGGAAAGAAAGAGCAGAGAATAATCCAAATGAGCAACAGTTTTACATGCTATGGAAAACTGATGATCAAGCAGAAGAAATGAGAAGAATTCAAAAGCACATTCCAGCACCAAAAAGATTTTTACCTGGACACGCTGAGAGCTACAATCCTCCTACTGAGTATTTGTTTGATAATCGAGAGATAAAAGAATGGCACAAACTTAAATCACAACCTCATAAAAGGAAGCTTCATTTTGTTCCTCAAAAATACGATGCGCTGAGAAATGTACCTTCTTACCCCCGGTATATTAAGGAAAGATTTCAAAGATGTTTGGATCTGTTTTTGTGTCCAAGAGCTATAAAAATGAAGTTGACTATTGAACCAGAGGAACTAGTTCCTCAATTGCCAAGTCCCAAAGATTTACAGCCATTCCCAACCACTCAATCCATTATTTATAAGGGGCATACAGATATGGTGAGATGTATGACTGTAGAAGCATCTGGTCAATACCTTGCTACTGGAGGTGATGATAATACTTTAAGAGGTAAGGGTTTCTACATCTTTATTATAAAAGCAAAAAGTTGTTCAAGTATCACTTTTTTGATTCATTCTCAATTAAATTGATTATTCAATTAAATTTAATTTTCAGTGTGGGAAGTATCAACTGGAAGATGTTTGAAAGTAGTGGATTGTGGCGGAGTAGTAAGAAGTGTTGCCTGGTGTCCAAATCAAAATTTACCCTTAATTGCTGTAGCAGCAGATGAGCAGGTACTGCTGATTAATTCTGGCGTTGGAGATCATTTGATTGCAAAGAAAGCAGACAAGCTTTTAGAAATTATTCCTGAAACTGATTCTATAGGTAATATGAGTTGTACTGTTTATTTCAAATATTAATTTCAAACATAATCAGATTATTTAATGCTGAGATAATATTTTACAGTTTCTGAAAGAGTTAAAGCTGCTGTACAGTGGCAGCAAATCACTGAAATAGATAATCCAGACCAATGGAAAAAAGGTATAAGAATTGTTTTGAAACATTTCAAAACTGTGAAACAAGTGACCTGGCATGGCAAAGGTGACTACTTCTCTACAGTTATGCCAGATGGTCAAAATAGATCAATTCTCATTCATCAGCTGTCAAAGAGAAAATCATTCATTCCTATTGGTAGACCAAGAGGACAAGTTCAATGTGTACTGTTCCATCCAATCAAACCATTTTTCTTTGTGGCCGTAAGTGTCAATCCATGTTTATTGCATTTTACTACTATTTTCATCAACATACAATTACGATTTTACAATTTAAAATTTTTAGACTCAAAGACATATCAGAATTTATGATCTTACTCAGCAAGAAATGATAAAAAAACTCTTGACAGGATCTCAGTGGATTTCTTCCATGTCCATACATCCAGGTATGAAAATAATTACAAGGAAAATAAATATTATAATTATAATAAAATTTACATTACATTCATATTTATTGATCAGGTGGTGACAATTTAATTGTTGGGACATACGATAAAAAATTGCTGTGGTTCGATTTAGATTTGAGCACAAAGCCATATCAAACACTTCGTCTCCATGGTACAGGAATTCGAGGAGTAGCATATCACAAACGATATCCTCTGTTTGCTTCAGGGTCAGATGATAAGTCATTGATAGTGTGTCATGGCATGGTGTACAAGTAAGTGCTAATAACTATAATAACATGTTTAAAAATTCTTGTTTGGCAAAAATAACATAATGTTCAATACTTTTCAGTGATTTACTGCAAAATCCGCTTATTGTGCCTCTAAAACGACTGTGCGATCATGAAACATTCGATGATTTTGGGATTTTGGATGTTATATTCCATCCAATTCAACCATGGGTCTTTTCTGCAGGTGCAGATTCAACTATACGTTTATACACATAAAACAAACACAAAAACTTTTGTATTTTTGTACATAAAACTATTAAAATAGGAAGTTTAGTTTTAAAATCGTTTGAAATGAATATTTTGTAAAAGTTGGAATATGGTTTTTTTTGTACATTTGACCGATTTTGTTACTTGAATAAAATATCAATTTGTGCATATATTTCACTAAGAATACATTTCATGGTCACACTTATACATTCCCAAAAATTGTCATTATCAACATGAGCTAATTAGTGCTCAAATTATAATTCCATTATGAATCAATTCTGAACTAGTTTGAATAGAAACTATCTGATTTAAAATAATCTGTGATAAAAATATTTACTAGTAGAAAATTAAATTTAGCATAGTCTATTAGAATTGTAGCTGCACTAAAATCTATTGTTTTTGATGAGCACTTGAATTTTTAGTCGGCGAATGTCCTGGACATTGCCATTCCGGTTCGCCGCAATCGCACGTTCGAGTTGCATGACGTATTTGAAATACCGTAACTATTCGACTATCGTCATCAAATTTACAAGTGATGTGCAGGTCATGAATAAGAAACGTGTAAAATTGATTACCATAACGTTGCCGTAAATAAACAGACCTAGGATCTTCTTTCAAAACGTTTTCTACAGCTTGTTTCTTTTCAACACACTTATCTTTTGCTATTTCCCGAAGTTGCATCAAAGACCGTTCATTAAAATTAACATTTAAAGGTGCACTATGATCTTGAGATATCCAATCAGGCACCCGAATGGCTTCATCGTCGATATTTGAATTAGCTGCTCTTGAATTACCATGGAAAATTTGATTAATGGTAGTTCTGTTTGTAGATAGTGTTTGAGCGTTTTGTTGAAGATCCAAACCTTCTTCGCCATCTGGTGCTTCACGCATATCCATTCTGATAGGTGAAGAAGAAGGTAAATTGTTTAGCCCTAAGTTGGAAACGTGTCTAGAGATTAGATTTATGTCTGCATTACACCCTGAATGTGGCCCATCAGCACCATCCATTAGTCTGGAATTTCTAATATTGAATTCAGATTGGCTATTCAATTCTGAGCTTGAAATATTATAACTAATAGAATTAGAGTTATCACTGTTATTCATGATAGCTTCTAGCTCTCTATCTTCTAGACTATTAGCACCTTCTGCATTGTCAGAAAAATTACTGCTCAAATTTTCAACATGATTTGTTTCTGTTGACTCCAAATTTGTCATTTCTCCTGTAAAATTAGACGCAAATACTCTAGAAGATGATGCAGTACATGGAGGAAAATTTTGATCTTTCCTCAAGTGAAAGTCATACAGGCTTGTATCGACATTTTCATTGGGGTCTTCATTACTCAAAGATCTAATATTTTTTACATCCATATCACTGTCTTCTTTTGATTGTACAGCTTGTAAAACTCTTTCTACATTTGAAGGATTGTCATATTGTGGAATGTATGGTTTTATATCTAGAACCGGCGTTTGATCTACCATGTCAACCCCTTCAAAATAAATAGTGCAGTCTTGTATTTTAATTATTTTCACTAAACTCAAGCCAATAGGGCAGGGACGATGGGGGGATCTAGTTGAAAAAACTCCAGTTTTTACTCCATTCAATCTAGGAGGAGCAATTTTAGCTCGGACATGATTAGATTCATTTCTATGAAAGTGGAACAAAATCCTAAAAAAAATTATAGTAAATAATTCATAATAGTTTTATATTTTGCATTATATACACTAACCACATGTGGGAAAATTGTTCCAATCCCTGCAGAGCATGTTCTGGATTAGTGAAAACATTTTTGTTCAACACAATTTTTCCAGGGGCTTTACTGCAAATGACAGGCTGTCGTGGAGTGCCCCTTTTACTTGGGAACCAAGTAGAAATGGTACCAATGGCTTGACACTGGAGAGTTTCTTTGTCTAAGCTTACATTATTGCTGGCAGGTTCTGTACTGTTGCATGAATCAGTGATTGGAATATTTCCTAGAAGTTGTTTAATTTTAACAACTTCTTTTTCATGACTATACCGAAGACCTTTTATCTGTTGCCTGTTAAAAATTATTCATATAGTAAAAAATGAAAGCAACAAAAAATTAATTTAAAAAAATGAAGCTAGCATGTTGTAATAGTAATGAAAACCTTAAGTTATTTATTTCTGTTCTCGCTATTAATAACTGTTGCATCAAGTACTTGGGGTTGGATTCCAAATTTTGGTAGTTTTCTTCCATCGTCAATCAGGGTCATACAAACCATTCGTCTGTAAAAAATCTGCATTCATAGACAGCTATCGATGAAAACTGTGTACTTCAAATACGTAAACATTCAAAAGTTTGAACGATAGAATGTTCGATTTAAAGATCTATTACAGATTCACGAATTACTCAGTGCAAAAACGTCTGCAACTGAGACGTGCTGTGCACCTGCGCGTCATTGCGCAGTGGATAATCAAGACAAGAACCAACTATTTGAATCAGTGTTACTAAGTCCTACTAACAGTAATTAAAGGATAAACATAATTTGAGGAAAATATATAATTAAAGCTGCTGCCGCGGAAAGATTCTCTTTTTTCGGAATACCACTTTTTAAACTATTAGTACATAGTTGTAAAAAAAAATTATTGCAAAGCGTTTGGCTACTTTGAAAATTTTTAGTAAAATTTATAAATGACCATTAAAACTCATTTATAGCAAGTGACTCAATGCCAACTGAACTTTTTTTACCGTAATCGTAAATTTTATGGTAAAGATCGATGCTTTTTAGTTATTATCACGGGAAAAACTATCTCAATTCCTTTATATTTATATCTGATGAGGCACAAACTGCTTTTTTCTTCGTTACTCCAGTGTAAACAGGTCAAGTATTTTTGAGACCCGATTACGCCGCTTATTAGTTGTTATCGATTTAATTTTAGACAGTTTTAATTCTCCTTTGAACTATAAATTACTTATAAGGAATAATATAAGATAGAATTTTGTATTAAAAATAAAATATTCGTAAATTATTTTTTATAATGGCTTTATTAACTGTTTCATGTATGCTTGTATACAATATTTTGTCCAGATATACATTCTGATTGATAAATCACTTTCATTATAATTACACACGCGCATTTGCGCATACACCCAGAATTTATGTTTCGTAGCTTTTATTTTAGCGCACATACATTGTATGTATGAAACTTAATGTCAAGTCATTTCCAAGTGTCGTTTACCCATTGTAATTTACTTTTAAGTGGCAGTACCATAATACAATGGCTTATTACTGTTGGCGGTATATCTATTAACTATTTTAAAATATGTTCGATATGCGAAGCAATACGTGATTTTCTTACAATCGGCGAAGAGTAAACATGCTAAATAAATGGATATGTAATTAGAATCTCCAGATTGAATTTGGAATAGTTGTATTTACAAAAGGTTCAAATTTAACACCCTCTTAATTTTTCAGTTAAGTTTTCTTTTACTTCGGTCCCACAATGGAATACTCAATTCGCAGCATATGATTATTATACATTTTTTTACTCATTTGTACCTTTAAACCGTTATTTCATTAAAGGTATATCAAATTTTTCATATTCGGTATGTATAATTATATTTCGATGTTTCTATAAACGCATGCTAAGCAACGATACTCATGTCATTAAGTTAACGTGAAAATCTGATCAAAATTGTTTAATACATACACATTTAAATATATATACATACAATACATGCACATATACAATATATTATTCTATGTGTTATGTGAAAAAGAGAAAGAGAAAGAGAGAAAGAGTTAAGTATACGGTTTTTAGATTTTATTCAGTTTTCCTCGTACATGAACCTTTTAAATTTCAAATCACAAAATTTTATTGCTCGTGGAACATAAAACACTTCAAGGTCAGACTTACACGTAATATATATCGTTAAAAGTGTCTTTAATAGTTTCTAAAAAAATTTCATTATAAATGAAGTTTTAATTACAATAATCAATATCAAAAACTCCAAAGTATCTTCAATGTAATATACATCTTATATAATCAAGTACTTTATCGAAAATGTAATGTACTTCGGTATCCTACGATGTAATACCGGTCGATACTTCATCGAAGAATGTCGATGATTTTAGTTAAAATTTACAAGGTTTTTTCATTTTTCAGAGTTACTAAAACATCGTTTCGAAAAAATCACCATTTGTTAGATCGATGTTAGAACAGCTTTATTTTATAAACGTATATTTTTAAGTCCCTTAATACAATTTGCCTTTGTAAATTTATTTTTTTTTGTTCTGTCAACACACCAACGTATTTGTGGCTAATTACAAAATTTCTTAATATTGACGCCATTTAATATGCGGATAATTTATACCCATACAACACACGTTGTAGCTCGTGATTTTTTTTAAACTTGAGAAAAATGTTTGCTATGTACTAAAGTGTAAACGAACTACGTAAATTAATCATACACTTCATCGATATTTAATCGCTTTTGGAGTATCTATAATATTCTTTTGAGATTGAGATTCCGATTTTAAAATGTCATTTTTGAAAAAAAATTCGGATCTATAGTACACAAGCGCGCATAAATGTTACTATTATACCCTTTCAATGCTCTTTCTGGCTTTATGATTAGTAAAGTTTTGGCTTGGTAACTAGGTGTATCAATTCTATGATTAATAAATTTGCCGTCGTATGCAACATTAATCATTTTGCAAGATTATCATATTCCCAGATCTTCTAGCTAAGTTTCACGTTATTGATTGAAAATTTACCGCTTTTTTCATTTTTGGTCGAAAAAAAAAGAAAAAAATAGATTTTAAAAATCTTAAAAATAGGATGAAATAATAATAAAAAAGTGCTATGTTTTTATAAATTTCTTAAATTTTTAAATGCTTGAAATTGTTCAAATGGTACATTATCATACATTACAGATAATATTCACAATTCATGTGAACTTACTGATAAAATAGAAGAGTATCGAATGATTAATTAGTACAACAGTTATTAAAACATAAGACTTATGCACAATAAGTGTATAGAAATTGAAGATTCATATTTTACAATTATAATTTTTCGCTCTGGTAGTACATCTTTGATACGTATTGTACCAATGGAAGCAGGTTTGTAAATTACATTTCACAATGAGAACAGTCATTTAATATAATATGTATAATTTTAAAAATTCATTCGAGTAAACGGAGACGATTTGATCGAATTAAAAATGCCAATTTATTGTGTTCAAAGTTTGGCAGTGTTTACGAGAATTTTCAAAGTACATTAAACAGTCTAAAATTTCATCGAATATTCGTCAATAGAAACGAATACTTCATAAACCCAGTGTAAAAAAACGATTTTCATTCGCATTATTTTCGCTGCACTTCTTCACTGAACGCATATATTTATATACAATAAAAAAGATTATTTCATTATATAATTTCATTATTTTCCACGTAAAATTTTCTTTTAAATTTTTTTCGATGCACAAGTATGAGATTTTACGAGAATCATGATGGGTTTTTCTTAGTTTCGTTTTGCGCTAAACGCGAAGTTCGTTACAAAAGGCAACGCGTGATCGACGAAGTTTCCAATAAGTCAGTTTTCGTTGACGCTCCTGAACTTTGGTTTGTTATTTTTAGTGTGCGTATTGTTTTATTTGATACCGGAGCTCAGTCACTTGTCATAATTGAAAAATCATCATTATACAATGCTCGTACATATAATATGGGCTCTCGGGCAAACTACAATTAATCTCTAAACATGATCAGAAAATTAACAATAAAAAATCGTTCAAAAGCCGAATCGAAAATTTAAAATAAAAAGTTTGCGGAAGAGCCCCAGCTTTGGAAGAACCTACGTTAATTCAGCATTCAAAACTCGTACTCTTGCATACACATACATACACATACATATAGACACTGACACATGCACTTCCGCACTTCTAATATTTATATAATTAAGTAATAATAAGCGATCATCGGCGAGATTCACAGAAGCCATTTTTAATACGGGTCACAACGGTGGATTCATCGCCGCCGATCATCGCGAGCATGTACTTGCGAGTTGGCGAGTGTAGCGTGCCATTGCCATTGCTGTTAATATTGTTATTACTGATGCCGTTTGCGTGCTTGTTGTTATTTTTTATGCTTCGATCCTTGCTCTGTTAGGGTGGCACGTACGGAGGTGGCTTTCTGTACGTTGGCGTAGGTTTTGGTCTATTCAGACGATTGCTGTCGCGATTCGTCGCGAACGGCGGTGGCGGTTGGTAAGGCTCTTCGGAATTTTCTTTCGATAACATGGGAATGTCTGCACCATCCTCGGCACGCTGATACTCTGGAGGCGGTAGAGGTGGTTTTTCTTCTTTGAGAATTATCGGCGATTTGTTACCTATATAATTAAATTATAATTAAACAATTATCGATGAATGTGATAACTTGACAATGTATCTAAAATATAAACCCCAACTTACCAGGATCTGGTTTTTCATCTAGCTCATCTTGGAAGATAACGGGTATACCTCTGCTTCTGAAACTCTGTCTTTCTTCGTCCTTTTCGCTTATACTCATTTTACCGCTTCGCTTTCTCTTATATAAAATACAGGCGATTATGCCAGCTAAAGCGAACATAGAGCCGATAATTACGGCTGGTAATACATAAGTTATGTATAAATCATCGTGTTTAGCTCCAACCGATCTAGAATCATCGATCGGCGGTTTTTCCGGACTGCCGTAAATTTGCTTTTCACACACTCCTCGAAGTTTGAATGTAACTTGTGATACAATGAAATCAGGTTGTTGGCCATTTTGGAATTCTCGCTTGAAAGCCGCAGTGAAATTTTTCTCTCCATTGTGATCAGTAGCAATGACATTGGTCAAACGAGCTATTTCATCATGAGGGCATTCGTGCGTTGGCAAAGTAATGTTACGCCATGAGATGGTGGTACCATCGTTGTTACCGTGCATTTCCACAAGGGATATAGCACTCGTGTCGCGATCACCATAGACTTTCTGCAGTTTTTCGACAAATATACGCTTTTTAAGCGCAGAATGTGCGAAATCGTTGCGCGGCATGTTGAGTACCATGGAGATCTGCAAAGGGTGTCGATAAAATGGCGCTGAATGAACTTCGGCTACGAGACTGTCGGTCGCTTCCAAACCTTCGCTATCTTTAACTACAAGCTGATACGTTTTTTGACCAACGTCCTGATCCATCGGCACACCATAGAATTCCTGATTACTACTATCAAATTGTAACCAATCCGACGATGGTATTTCTGTTCTCGAAGCAGTCAACAGAGTTGCTTTCATGCTTCGAGTATCACCGTCTTCTTCATCGAAGAACGTGTCCTAAGCAAAACAAAAAAATTGTTATTTTAAACACTGTATACAATTTCACTGGTAGTACAAACAATTTTAATTTACTTTTGGCACTCTGTAGACGAAGAGTTGACCAGCGGTCGCGTTCAAACGGTCAATTTGATTTCTCGGTACAGGATATTCGTTAAACTTCGTTTCTTTAGTTTTTTGACATTGTTCAAGGCCTTGGTATTCGACACGTTTCGGTATTATTTTCGGTCCCAATACGCTTATCAAGTTGTCGCTCGGCTCTTCACTGTTCTCCTTCGAAATGAGCATCTGTTTGCAAAAATAGAAAATTATTATTCATTCATGTACTTTTTGAGCAACAAAATGTTTACTATGCAACTTACTTGATGAAGTTTATTGATTTCTTCGTGAGGGCAGTCGCTGGTCCGTATCAAACTATCGTTGGTCCACGTGTAAATAGCTTGATCGTTATTGATGTCTATAGCTCTGACAGTTATGTAACTCAAATCCTTGTCACCGTAAAGTTGAGCCAAATTACGCATGACTTCAAGTTGCCAATCGACATTCTTCGGAAAATCACTCCTTTTGACAATTTTCAAATATAGAGTGAATTCATGATTGATCGCACGAGTTTGTTTGTGTTGTTGGACAGAAATATCAAGCTTGTCGCTCGCAGTCAAACCCTCGCTATCCGAAGCTTCAACTTCGAATAAGTATGTTCCGTAATGTTCTTCTAACGGCCTATGAAATTTATCATTCATTGGTGATGCACTTTATGACAATTTAAAATGAAAGGGCACAAAATACTTACAGTCCATAAATTTCTTGAGTGCGCTCGTTGAACTGTAACCAGTGACTAGGCTTCAACGGAGCACCTTTCTCGGTGACTCTCAGACTCAGCTTGCGTGTATTTCCATCCTCTGGGTCGCTAAAAGTATCTTCAGGAATGGTGTAGCTCAACGATTTACCTTGAGTAATGGGTATCTTTTTCAGACGCCTTTCTACTTTAGGTGCCATGTTTCTAATTCTTGGATAGAAACTCTCCGTCGTCCTTAAAGTGGTAGTGGTAGAAGTCGTAGTTGTAGTTGTGGTACTCGGAGTGGTAGATGTTGTGGATGGTTCTTCGGTCGTTGTTGTAGTGGTCGTTGTGGTGGTAGAAGATGGCGTCGAAGGTTCTGGCATCGTTGTGGATGTAGTTGTCGTCGTTGCTTCAGTCGTAGTTGTGGTACTGCTTGTTGTACTAGGTTCTCTTGTTGATGTCGTAAGAGCCACAGTGGACGTAGACGTTGATAACGTTGGTTGTTGTGTACTGCACAAACAATTTTATCGTTAAATAACTCCTTAAATTGCGCGAGTAATTCATCGATCCATTACCTTGACGAATCAAAAGCAGAAATATTGTAGTTGTCGATCGGAATTTGAGACGATTGGACAGTTTTTTCCGTGGGGTTTTCGCTTGACATCGATACAGTGACACTCGTCGATGGCGATCCAGATGAATCCTTAGTTTTTTCAGTATTCTAAAATGTGTTATAATTAGTATATAAATGCGAAATGTTTAGAATTTTTTGCCTACTTTTTTTATTGTACGAGTGTATAGTATGTATAATTGATTTAAAAAATCAAAATAATTATAGAAAAATTTGTGGTTTTTTTAAAGTGTATACACAAATTAACCAATAATAACATACAAAGAAAACCCTTGGTAACTTTAAACAAAACCTTACGTTGACTTTGCACTGAGAGATAAAAATAAAAGGTTTATACTTGTTGAATGAATGATAAAACTGAATACGATATGTGAAAGATGCATGAAGGTAAACTTGAATGAGGTTGTGCAAAAAGGAAAACGCAAAAGTGTGCTTGCCAATATTTTTTGCGTGTGCGTGTATGAAAGCAAATTTTTAATGATAATGTGCATTTCGAGTTAATCATACGCCAATATGATAAATGGAAAATAAAAAATTGTCTCAAGATTACATCTTTGATTTTTTGTCCAACACATAGAAAAATATCATGCTTTTTCTATACAAACAAAACCAAAGAAATTACTAATAAAAAACTCACACAAATGATCAAACTTAACAAATATACAATAACGCGAAAAAATCTGCAGCACAAAAAGCGTATCGCCTATATGAGTAATGATTGATGTGGAAATTTTCTTTTGTTTTGTCTTCCTATTCTCGTGATCATGAATTACCTCCACCGGTGTGAATTGTACAGAAATTGTTGTGCTGATGTCTTCCTCGCTAACATTGCTGGTGCTATTAGTAACGCTAGTTGGTCCATATGTGAATTCGACACTCGAAACGGGTACGGAAGAGGTCGACTCTTGATCGGTAGTCGTAGACTCTGGTAGAGTTTCCGTTTCAGTCACGTTCTGGTAATCGTTATCGTCGATTAGATTCACCGACAAGTCGATGCTATTGTTTTGGCTCAAAGGTACAGTTGGGCCAGTAAAAACTTGATTTTCATTATTATTTATCAGCGGTGTTTCACTTGGAACAAATTCGTTCTTTGTTACTTTACTGAAAGTATCAGTCGATGTATTGGTCGTCGCAGAGGAAGACGTGGAGCTTTCGATTGTCATGTCTGGTATTTCGATTTCTTCATCTATTTCCTCATCGACGTCGACTTCGGCTATTTCGTCTTCATCTACTTTTTCTTCGTCTATGATGTTGGAATTACTCGAGGTTTCCATAATGATTGGAGGGGTGGGAGGTTCGGTCGACACGGTCGTATCGCTCGTCGACGCTTCGGACGGTGCTGGACTTTCAGTGGTCGTTGTCATGATGATGGGCGTTTCGGTGGTCGTTGTGGTAGTAGTTGTGGTGGTGCTCGTAGAGGTAGTAGTCGTCGTCGTCGTTGTCGTTGTTGACGATGGTAATTCATTTTCGATGTTGGTCTGTGAAACGGTTAGTATATGCGGCGAATGGCAGAAATTATTGTTAGTTACGTACTTTGGGAGAATCGTTGACTGGTTTTTTTACATTAAATTTGAAATATTTACAAGGTTTTACGAAGGAAGATTTTTTACAAGACAATAACCATTCAACATCGATACCCAAGTTGTTATATTGTGCACTGGGTACTTAATTAAGCAATGTTATCAGAGAATTATCGAATAAAAGCGAAAATGTATATCAGGAAACAGGAGAAACCTGATCTACAATGTTTACAAAAATTTACACCAATACCTCTTGTTAAGATAAAAAAGTCATTTTACAAATATTAGATAAGCCATCGATTTATCACGAAATGATGAGCACGAAGTGAGAAAATGTTCAATTTGACTTACCGTCACTGACGCTGAACTCGTCGTGTTCGTTTTATCGAACAGAGAATTGTTTATTTCTGGACCTCTCCAGATGAAATCATCCTCATGCTGCAAGTTAATTTTTTTTTCGATCCATCAGAATACGAACAGAGTCCAAAGAGAAAGAAAGAGAGAAAGAGAAAGAGGGAGAGAAAGAGAGCGAATAGGAGTTAGATGGATAGATGGAGCAATCAGACTCACGTTAACACCCGATCCAATGGCGGCGATATTCTCGTCGCCGTGATGATGCCTGTGCGGGTGCTCGTCGATAACGAGCTTAGGCTCGACGCCGGACTGGGTAATTGGCTTTTCCGTGCGCGGCGCTGCGGTCACGCCTTCGTTGTAATCCGCGTCCTCGTCGTCGTACTCGTCCTCGTTCTCGTCGTCGTACTCGTTGCCGTCGCCGTCGGGCAGCACGTCGTCGCCGGAGCCCGCGCCAGCCTGACGCCGACTGCGGGTCGCGTCTGCGGCCTCGTTCCTCACGCGCCACTGGTAAACCGGAAGTTCCATGACTTCGGCCAACGTACCGTCGCGAGCGTGCTCGGGTATTTGCTTGATCGTGTCGATCTGGTGGGGCCAGAAGTGGCCATCGCAACCGACCTGTCAACAGATCAACAAACCATTCACAAACGAGGGGCCAAAAGCACCGGGACCTTCATTTTTCCTCTCGATAAATGCAGTAATGCCGAGAGATAGAAGAAAGCTACACAGCTAAATAAATGACGATTAATAGCTGAGATATATGGGCGCAGGGAGTTGTTTTACTCGCCTCGTGCTTTGGCATTTGACGCAGATATTAAGGTCGTTGAATTTAAATGAAAGCTTGTCAAGAGCCAAGCACATGCTGAACGCAGCGAGCTACACCAAGTCCGCAATTGTACACGAGTGACGAGGAGAGAGTCACGCGGAGTAAACTGGATTATATTTACATAAAGATATTTTTGCGCGTAAATAGAACGAAAGCATCCAAAGTCATCTTACCTGCCACTGCACAGCAGTCGAATATTTTTCCCGTCTCTTAGAACTGCCCGGTCCCGAGAGAACAATCGATGAGCCTCGACTTGGCACTGGGCTATCTTTTCCTGCGTCCGGAAGAATAGTCAGCGAGTTCTGAAAAAAAGATGAAAATCAATGAGTTAAATTGCGAAGTGAATAGAAATTGCAACCGGTGGCTCGATTCTATTTTAAGCTCATTGGTTCGAGATTTACTCGGGTAAAAATTTCCTGCGCGATTTTCTCATCGACATCCTTAAATTCTCGCCGCAACGAGCGTGCCATAAAGCGAGACTTTTAATTACATTTTTTTTCTTCGCGAGCAGTGTGTACGTACGTGTGTATGTAAGAACACACCCATAAGCGTAAGTACATATAATCTCTCGACTCGCAAGCAAGTGTATTACATTCAATTTCGATTCGTTTATGTGTATATAGGTAGAGCGAAAAGAAAAAAAAACAAGTTTAACGAGACGACCACGGAGAGACTCGTATAAGGACGTACACACATCAACTCGAGTTTCTCTTTTTTTTGCGCCCTTAAAATTGCCGTATACACCTACGACTTACCCGTGTTGCGAGTCAAGAAGAAGTACTATACTGCTACACCTGCACACGCCCGTATCATTCAAAATTCTTGTAATTAGGACATTTACAGCTTTATATTAAGACTCGAGTCTAGACCGTTTAATCACACGAAGGAGAGCGAGACGAGCGTTCATTGGCTTTGTCGCGAAGTATAACTTTTGTCTCGTTAGTTTTTGGATTTTTTAAAAACATTTTCAGGAAAAGTAAAATATTTTTCGTAAATATTACATTGATTGATTTAAGAATATATACAAATTCAGACAATGAAGCTGTAGTCTCAAGTACGTATAAACTTATTTGCAAAAAAAAAGGAATAGAGCTGCTTGACGTTTAATGCTGGTGATCTCTGAAACGAGATGCCCGAGGGTTTGGCTGGATCTCGTTTACAGTCGATCAAGTTTGGTTGAACCGAAGGTGCAAAAACAACTGGCAAGAAATGTACGATGTGCAGCAGAACTCACCGCCGGTACTCCGTAAAATCCAGCTACGTTTTCGATTGCATTGACTTTGGCTTGGGGTTTCAAACTGTCGTACTGCGCGTCCAGCATAATGGTCAGCAGCGTCCGGTCCTGATCGTCGGAGCAGCGTTTCTGCAATAGTCAAAAGATCGCGATGATATCCCGAATGCCTGCTTAGGCCTCAACCATCGTCCTTACCTTTCCGTCTTTGTGGGCGAAGTGATCGTTTTTGGTCGGCACCACGTGGATGTAGAAGGAGTCTTGAGCCGAATCGCCGCGGCTGCCGACCGCCCTGATGGTCACGCGATGGCGTCCGACGTCGCGTCGCGACGGCACGCCGTACAAAGCCGAGGCTGGCTCGTCCCAGCGCAGCCAGTGCGGCAGACCTCTATTGTTGACACCTCGTGCCTGGTGCGACAAGAAAAAAATCGAGCATAATTTAGGATTCTATGCGTTTGGGCTAATTATTCTCGAGAGCTCGCCCGGTGAATTTATGCGCGCCTGCAAGCTCTGTTTGTGAAATGTATGCTTTGTATTGTCGCGCGCAGCTAGTTAAGAGCCAGCGCACAATAGGCTCCCATTCTCCTCCCCCGGTCGCTTTGCTCCGGCTCGTACACAATTTACATGCGAAAATTGCATTTAATTTCAATTTAATGCCTGCTCCAGCGTTATAAACTAATGCAGAAATAAAAAGTACGACTCGCGAAATGTCGTGAATTTCGATGGACACGCTAGGCAACGAAATGTCATTCGAAGGCGTAAGTTGAGTAAAAGCGGAGCCTCTAAGCGAGGTGAATTCATTGCCTCCTCGCGAAGATTCAGTACGAGTATAAAAAAGGTAGGTACTTGGGTATAGTAGCTAGCCAGGAAGGAGGAAGGAGAAAGGCGAAAAAGGAAAAATCGCGTCGTGTGCCTCGACAATGGACTATAGGCTCTGTATACAACGTCTGGCAGGCATCCAGTCGGCGTGCGTCGTATTTTTTCTCCCCCTACAAATGAAAAAGTAAGACCGAGCCGAGCGCACACGTGTATGTATACGCGGTATATAAGAGGAAAAAATCGTCGACGCGTCTGCATGCGTGCGTGCGTGCGCATGTGGCAAGTAATAACGCCGTTAACAATAGATTTTGATAACAACTGTTGCGCCTGTATATACCTCGTAATAATCGACGTTGCCGGAGAAAGCCTGCTTGGGCACGTGCAGCTTGAAGACCTTTCCCACGGTGGCGGCGATGTCGGGCATGCCCAGCAGCTTCTCGACCCGCAACCATTTTTTCGGCTCCTTGGCGTGTTGGCGCTCCTCGAGCTGCTCGGCTTGGCTGCTGGTCGGCGAGGCCGACTCGTCGCCGACGTCGTCGAACACGAGGTCGTCCTCCTGGTAGCTGGCGGCTAGACTCAGCCCCGTGACCAGGCCCAGCAGCAGCAGCAGCAGCAGCACTACAGCTGGCGAGCTTCCCTTCATCTTGGCGCGCATCGTTGTGTGTGGTGGTGCTCTCGACGACTATCCTCTTATATCATAGCATACTTCGTTAGCGAGCTGCAACAGAAAAAGGAGCTAAGATTATTTTTTAATTTGGGAATATTGGCACTTAAGATGGTCGTGAGTTGACGCAAAGCGCCTTTAACAATCTGTGCTTTTGCTACTACGAGAATTGCTAGTTTACATGCCACGTGCAGCGCACAAGGCCAATTTAATTATTTCATCGCGTAATTTTACTAACGTATATTATGCATGTATGCGGGCTGGCTTGATTAATCATTGCTGTATTGAAGCACGTGGAAGCTCGAACCCACCTGAGGTCGACTCGTACACGTTGCGACGGGGCGCAAGGCATGCAGCCAGCGGTCCGCAAAATCTCGGCTACATTGCGAGAGCACGCGAGCATGAGTGTGCGTATGTATGTGTTTTCACGACTTGCAGGTCTGCGCGGCGGTATAAGCAGCGGCAGCGAGCAACAACGATTCGGCACGCAGAGAGAGAGAGAGACTTAACGTAAATGTTCGTTCGCTGGGCATTTTGAAGTGGGTATTTTCGCGGATTTCAGCCAGAGTTCAACCGTGAGTCAGCGGGTCCACAGCTAGTTCGTACTGATGTCGGGCCCAATATTCCCTCTGGGAGTAGTTGACCAGGTAAGGTGGTCCCTTAGTAAATTTATTCGACGGCAAGTGATTTGCTGCTTTTCCCCACCTCGAGGTCAGCCGCCCGTCGCAACGTATTATTGATTAGTTGATAACCAAATTCCAGTATTAGCGGGGCAAGTGCTTGAAAAAGTTGAAAGATGAATAGACGCGGAGCTGCAAGTGTGCGAGTCGAGTCAGTAGAGCATATGGAAATATGCACTCGTTTGCTCATCCTCGTCACTCCCTACGCAGCTGCCATTATTATTATATTATCGCAGGTATAATACACAGGGGCATGACATGTGTGTATAACGAAGCTCGACGTGTTTCCAGTTCACCCCGACTATAGCATATCTCTCTCCAGAGGAGACTACACAGTCGGGCGCGTGCGTTGCTTTTTTTTTACTCGTTGAATCAGTGTACACGCTTTGACAGTGCGACGCTACAACGTGTGTACGAACTTTTTCGTTGGTGTTTTTATGTACTCGCGCCAGCGATACGCTGGACAAAAAATACACGCGTACAGAAATTGACAGCAGCGCAAGCTCGGCCGACGCGTGTGTCGAGGTCATTGACGTGTACGCGAAACAGCTGGTCTACCCGCTGCCAATGTAGCTCATCTTAGCAGGATTTTTGCATTTAACGTTCGAGTGTAACAATGTCGTGCAAGCTAGCCCTCGTCGCAGACGTTCTCTCGAGATTTACTCCAACGGATAGCGATAATACGTGTACTTGAGTCAGATTTTAATCATCGCGGGCTGCTTCGCGCTCTGGAATACGTACGAGTGGAGAGATATTTTCTCGTTGAAAAAACTTTTGTTGCCAGCAGCAACAGTCTCAAAAGTCCCTCGCTAATCGCGTAAAGCCCCTTATACATATTCACCGCAGACGTGTTATCCACACCCTCTTGCACGTACGTGTATGCGTGAGTGCACAGAGAGGGAGTGAGAGAGGGACAATTCCGAATAGCTCGGTGGCAAGGAACGCGCCTAGCAATAATGCCAGCAATACCTAAAGTACACGAATACCCGGCACACACACACACACATACACATACAGCGCACCAATGGAAAATGCAAAATGGAGAATGGACGATGCCGCAATGCACATTCGCCTTCCCAGACGATATGTTTCAATGCCGAGCGCGCGGCATCTTGCACTCCCCCATTATACACCAAAGTTATCCGCAAGAAGTTTTAATTGCTACGCTTTGTTACTTTGAACATATATGTGTAAAGCAGTCACCTCGAGATTGAAAAATCATTGGACTTTTGTATTGCTCATCACTTATAGCTCGTGTATCACACATGCGCATCTTTGAACAATGTATCACGAGCAATCGACAAAGAGCACATGTATTGCCTTGCGTATGTGTATATATACCCGATCTTGCCATTTCTTTCTTTCGAGAGTTCGAACGAACACGACGACGGCGACGCGAAGATGATATATTGGTCTTGAGTTCTGTTTCTTATCAATCGAATATGTTTATATACAGCTCACACGAGTGCAAGAATAAATTTCGAGCAACAAAAACCCGAGCTCGAACATACGACGAATTAAGTACGGACGTAAAATCGATCGATGTTATAATCGAAACAATTACAAAGTGTATCATTAGCACGGGTTTTTTCGTTCAATCGAGAAAAAAAGCTCGGAATGAAAAATTCAAACGTACATGAGCGATGCTGACGTTTTAATATCACAATTTCCAGGGCTGCACACAGAGCTCCGCTGCACTAATGAAAGATTATCGTGCTAATATATATGTATGTATATAATACAGTGTACAGCGCACGATACAAAAGTGCAATATAATAAAGCTGCGTCAGCAGCACGATAAAGCGCGCGCGGCAACGAAAAAGGGAGCGAGAGACGGAGAGAAAAAAAAGTAATGAGCCACTGATTCATATAAACGCTGAACGATTCAGAACAAGCGCTCCGCCGATTTTTAAATTAGCATATTAGAAATTTCTATCGGCCTGTCCCTCTTGGTTTGTCAATCCTGCACTCTCTGCTGCGATGCCGAGCGACATTTACTTATCATAAATCGACCAGGGGCGCTCGGCTGAAATTTTTTTCAGTTGCGGAAAAAAGGAGCTGAGCGAGCTTTTCTAGCCTCGCGCCGCCGCATTATACAGACAGAACGGATGGGAAATTCTCGATGGATTTAAAAAACCTCGCTAAATAAAATGAGCACGCAGACGAACGCGAGTCGGATCCTTTTTTAAAGCTACGTGGAAAAAAAGCATTTTCCTCGCCGGCGCAAAAAGATCGATCCCTTTTTTCCGTGCGCTGCGACTGCGGTCGGCCCGACAAGACGTGAAATAAAATTTTTCATCCCGAGCACAGTATAACACATATTCGCTGCGAGAAAAGAGAAACGACGACATTGTTGTTCGAGAGTCGCAGTTGCTATATGCTTACGCTATTCGCAGAACGATAAACAGAAAGTCGCTCTCATACGTTGCTATCTTTCTCTCTCTCTCTCTTTCTTTCTCAACCTTCACACTTCACTTCTTTTCCTGCAACTGCAGCTTCTTCTTTCTTTTCTTCTCCATTTCATCTCATCTCTCGAGACGCACACATGTACAAACACGAGCATTAACGGTCGCGAGAGCCGTTTTAACCTCTTTCTCTGCTCACTGTCGGCTGCTGCTGTTGCTGATACTGCTACCGTAGAGCAAAGAATTTTCTTCCTTTTTTTTCCTCTTTCGCAACAGACTTTTCGCGCGAGTTGTTTTATGTGTACAACATTTTTTTTCTATGTACTTTTTTTCAACTTTAACTAAAAGAGGAGGAGGAGGAGGAGGAGGAGAAGAAGTAGTAAAGTAGACGACGTCAGCAGGGCACACAGTAGGTCTATGTTTGTCTGTGCGTGTGTGTGTTTTAACGAAAGAGCTTATGCTAATTCTTCCCAGCAGGTATTTTTTGCTTTTACTAACTGCGTTAAACGCGCGAAAGACATTCCGAATGTAGGCCGTTTTATATCGTGCATGGCAAGTACATCATTGCGCTGGACGCGATCGAGAAAATTAATCGATCGAAAGCACGCGACGAATAAATCTCGCTCTGTACAGGCGAAACAAAAACTTTTTTTAGCCCCACACCAGCATTTATCATTTTAATTTTTCTCTCCCTGCAGCAGCTCGTTTGTCTCAATCACGATGCACTCGACGAGTCGTCGTTGCAATATTTTCTTCTCATTCTCGATTATATGGATAAATGAATTTTCTTAGGCATAATTCGTCGCGACTCCAACGATTGGAGGCAGCGGGAGCAATTAGCGCACTCGAGAGCTTTCTAACAAACGAACCTTGTTAAAACTAGTAACTATATGGGCTTGTATACATAAGTCGAGTTTAATTTGATATAGATTTATCGACTGGAGCTCGCGATAAAGTCTGCCGTAACCCTTTATTTTATTTTTTTTGTCGTAATGCATAATCTTTTCAGCTTCGCGAGCCATGCTTTGTTTCATCGATAAGTGCAGCTCGTCATCGGTCAAGTCTTTTTGTCTTTTTTTTCGATTGATAAGCGGTAAAAAATAAACCACGCGCACTTGTACATTTGCAATGCGCATCAGAGTTGGATACTTTTAGCCGCTAGCAAAAGACGAAATTATTAAGCATTAAGATTCGAAATTATCCAAGAGTTATAGAAGCTTACGATCGATCTGGCCAGTTCAGTGTTCGGATCTTGTAGGCGCACATATACACGGATGCGTGATCGATACTCGCGTACGCTTCGATAGCTCGAAGCGACGCGTGCACATGCACATGCACGTAGGTATATGCACAGAAGGTAACAGCTTGATTGGCAAATGCCCGATATTTACGGACTTGCACAAATATGCTCTGCTCCGTACATGCGTATACCTGCGTGCAAACATAACACAGAATACAGTTCTGCGGTGCAGTGCAGGGCTAGTCATAGTCATATCAATTTACATAAATATATAGGTAAAAATGCCAGCCAGCGACAAAGTCATTCGAAATATGTAACGCTGTAATTGCCCATGTGAACTGTGAGATCGCTCGAACGTGCATTAAATCTATGAAATCGTATTCAAGTATTGAATAATTTCAATCTGAAACGAGTACGCTGCGGAGTTCTATGCAAAGATTTGATTCGCGCGATTGTTGTCGGTGACGGCTGGCGGCAATGAGCAGTCGATATCCGCATGCGCGCGCCTTTGGAACTAGTGGAACGCTGCTCCTATCCTTTGACCGACCAAAGTTCACTGGCTTGATGGGCGCTAAAAGTACACAGAGCCCGGTACACCTTTATAGAAGCAGCTAAATTTACGGGCTTCGAGTCAGGATGAAAAGGGAGAAAAGCTCGCTTTTCTCCGCAAAAGGAAGAAAAAGCTCGATCCGTGCATGTAAGGAAGCTCTTTCACTAAAAAAGAGAGCT